GCTCCTCGGCCAGGAGCATAGGCTCTGGCCTGGCATCCAGGCTTTCTCTTCCCCTTGGAACTACAGCCGGACCAAACCGGAAGCAGAACCTTCACAGAGACCAGTGAGTAGTAGCCGGGCCCGGGCCTCCCGTCGGGGCCGGACTGGGACGAGGCCCCGGGGAGGCCCCTAGGCCACCTTCCTCACCTTCCCTCAAGCCGACGTCCGTCGGGAAGATGCAACGCGCCCTGCCCGGTGCCCGCCAGCATCTGGGGGCCATCCTGGCCAGCGCCAGCGTGGTGGTGAAGGCGCTGTGCGCCGTGGTACTCTTCCTCTATCTGCTTTCCTTCGCCGTGGACACGGACTGCCTGGCGGTCACCCCGGGCTACCTTTTCCCACCCAACTTCTGGATCTGGACCCTGGCCACCCATGGGCTGATGGAACAGCACGTGTGGGACGTGGCCATCAGTCTGGCCACAGTCGTGGTGGCCGGGCGACTGCTGGAGCCCCTCTGGGGAGCCTTGGAGCTGCTCATCTTCTTCTCGGTGGTGAATGTGTCAGTGGGGCTTTTGGGGGCCTTCGCCTATCTCCTCACCTACATGGCTTCCTTCAACTTGGTCTACCTGTTCACTATTCGTATCCATGGCGCCCTGGGTTTCCTAGGCGGTGTTCTGGTCGCACTCAAGCAAACTATGGGAGACTGTGTGGTTCTGCGAGTGCCCCAGGTCCGCGTCAGCGTAGTGCCCATGCTGTTGTTGGCATTGCTGCTACTGCTCCGCCTGGCCACGCTGCTCCAGAGCCCGGCCCTGGCTTCCTACGGCTTTGGACTGCTATCCAGTTGGGTGTATCTTCGCTTCTATCAGCGCCACAGCCGGGGCCGAGGGGACATGGCCGACCATTTTGCTTTTGCCACCTTCTTCCCGGAGATCCTGCAGCCTGTGGTGGGACTGCTAGCGAACTTGGTGCATGGCCTCCTGGTGAAAGTAAAGATTTGCCAGAAGACAGTGAAGCGCTACGATGTGGGAGCGCCGTCTTCCATCACCATCAGCCTCCCGGGGACAGACCCTCAAGATGCCGAGCGGAGAAGGTACTGTGAACACTTCCAGAGCCTTGGCTAGCTAGACTCTGGTGGAGTCACGTACCATCCATTGAGGAGCTTGCTCTACATGGGCTGGAGAACTTCAGGCAGGAGTTGGGGGCCGCTTCAGAAAGGACTCAGGATTGGGCCTTGAGGAAGGAACTCAGTGTGTAGGTTTCTGGGCTCTAGTGGGTTTTCCTCACCACTTGGGCCGCTTAACCGGCCCACCTGCCTAGTCGCCATTGGTCTTGCCTCAGAGTTTCCAAATTCTAGAGACTGGCCCTGTAGGAGACAGAAACTGTTGGTCCGTTTCTCCTGTGATGGGGATGGGGAAGGATGTCTGTGTAAGCGTTTCCCTTCCTCTTAATGTAGGATGGTTGGGGTATTACTAAATTCGCATGTCACCAAACATAGGGGGACAGGCTGAATGACCCACTGCAGGAACCCGCTGACCACACCAGGCAGATCTGAGACCTTTGCATTCCCTAGAACCCAGAGTGTCTGCAGCCTCAGTAATTTCACTGCATTATTCACTGGACACTTTGGCCGAGGCAGAAGAAAGCTTTTTAAATTTAGCTCTTACTACCTCAGACCTATGGACAGTTTACAGTCCCAGCTCCGTGTCCAATGTTATTCTTGAGACTTTTCAAGCAGTCTCTCAAAAGCCTTAGTCCTCAGCATTTGTCAAAAGCTCCTGCCTTTGCTCACCTGTGAAACAGGTTCCTGACATCAGTGGAAGAATTCTCTCCGGGCTTAATCCACTGACGCTGTATAGTTGAGTGTAGAACATGTCTTCCTTGAAGGGTTACCAGCTGGTAGGTGTGGGAACACACCCGAGCATGCTGCAGGCCTAATTCCGGGCCCTACAGCTTGAGGGTTTTGGAGGGTGTCCTAAAGACAATTCCATCTTGGCCTTATTTAGTAGAAGAAATGGGCTGGGAGGGCTGAGCTTTCGAGCTGTTCAGATGGGGCTGGGCCAGAGGTTGCCCTTGCCCTAGTGAGAGGTCTTGAATTGCTATGGTTGACTAGTCATTCAGAAAACCACTACCCAAGATCAAGAAAATGGACAGAAAGGGAAGAGTGGGGATTGGGGCGAGAGGCAGGTGTGTGGCGTAGGGTGATGGTTCTTGGCTGACGTGGAGTGGGTATTACTTTACAAACAGTTTTCATCTGACTGTGCCACTCTCAAACCCAGAGGGCTACAAGTAGGAAACAGGATTTCCTATAGGTCACTGACCCATGACAGAGTGACTACTGACAAAGGACATCTCCAAGAGTAGCCTGGGGAGGGCCAGGGAAGGAGTGTGGTGGGGTTTTAATGCCCATGTCCCTGTGGCTTTTCCTCTTTTTTCCTTAGCATGCTAGAAAGTCTGATCTTGGAAAGCCATAGGATGACCGCCTTTAGTGCAAATAGGCTGAGCCATCAGGATCCCCAGTGACCAGCTAGAGTGGCCACTTCCCCTTCTGTGGGCCAGAGTGCTGAACACTTGGACCCTGTTCTCCACTGAGGCTGTGTAGCTCAGTGTGTAGGGCATGTCTTCCTTGAAGGAGTATTCAGCTGGTGTCCAAGGTGGATGCACCCAAGGCATGCTGCAGGCTAATTCTGGGCCCTATGGCTTGCGTCCTTTTGGGTGTATTTTTTCACCTTTTCTCCAAATGGTGTCTGCAGAAGTCTACCCCATGGAAACAGTAGGCTCTGCTCTGTGCCATGCCCACACGGGCTCGTTCTTTTCTACCAGGGCTCTGCTAAGAACTCGGTGGCTTTGGAAAACTTCTAGGAAGAGTATCTTAGTTAGGAAGGGTGAAATGATCCAAACTGATCCTTAGCTGAGCCTGGTGAAACAGGTCTATAATCCACACTGCTCCGGAGGCTGAGACAGGAGGTTCATGAGTTCAAGGTCTGCCTGGGCTACAAGAGCTGCCTTAAAGCCAGCATGGACAATTTCATTAGCAAGACTTGCCTAAAAAAAAAAAAAAAAAGTGGGCCCAGCAGTGGTGGCGCACGCCTTTAATCCCAGCACTCAGGAGGCAGAGCCAGGCAGATCTCTGTGAGTTCAAGGTCAGCCTGGTCTACAGAGCAAGATCCAGGACAGGCACCAAAACTACACAGAGAAACCCTGTCTCGGAAAAAAAAAAAAAAAAAAGTTGTTTGTTTGTTTGTTTTAAGGGCTGGGAATATAGCTCTGTGGTAGAGTGCATGCCCTAGGTTTAATCCCTAGTACCACAAAAATAACTGACGCTGTCCTTGGACCTTACACCAGTACGCACTCATCTCCAGGACTAAGACATTCCACTTGTCTGCCCTGAAGCACTAGATCCGTCTTTAGCCAACAAACTCAGAAGCATCCCTGGTAGCCGGCTGGCCTGGGAGGTAGGCCGTAGCCTTCTCAGCCTGGAGATGTGGCGGCTGTGAGGGAGCGCCTCGTTCTGATTGGCAAAGCAGGTCCTGATCCAGTCTCCTGGACCCTGCAGGAGGAAGGGAAAACATGGGATTCTGGGGGCGAAGTGGGCTTGGGAGGGAGGTTGCAGGGTGTGTGCCTCTCCCAAGCCCACTGTGACGGCTTCTCTTTCTGGCTGTAGGCAGCTGGCCCTAAAGGCTCTCAACGAACGGCTGAAGAGAGTGGAGGATCAGTCGGTCTGGCCCAGCATGGATGATGATGAAGAGGAGGCTGGGGCCAAAAAGGACAGTCCTCTGCCCTCGGAAAACGCTTCCACACCCCCAGGGAAGGGCACTGCCCCAGAATCCAGCCTCATTACCTTCGAGGCAGCTCCCCCCCAACTGTAACTCCAGACCACTTCGAGCATAGCTCCTCGACTCCCATGCTCTCCCTGACACGTCTCAGCTACTCCAGGGCACTGACTGCTCTGAGGAGTGGGAAGAGGGCCTGCTGGGGGTTTCTCTGGCCTTCTGCCGTTTCTCGACAACACTACATGGGACCCTTGCTACCTGGTTCCAACTCCAGACAGCCACAATGCCAGGTATGGGGCCTCTGAGCGTCAGCCAGGCCAGACCCCGATTTGTGGTAAGATTGCACCTCAGCAGGTACAGTTCCTCACCAAGGAAGTGACTGCAGGGACACTGGGTCACAGCTCCGGGGCCAGCCCTCACATCTGAAACGGGTTGCCAACAGCCCTGAGCCAAGGCAAGGATTTGTATTTGCCAAAACTGTTCTGGGGGCCCGGCCAGTGTGGGTCTGCACATCTCTGCCCACCCCCAGACTGCATTCTTGTCAGGGTTCTGTGCCCTTCTCCTGTGGCAGTGACTGTCTAGCCAGAGCCGCCACAAGTCCCAGGTATTTTCTACAGGAGCACCTGAGCGGGCGGGCAGCCAGGCCCAGCCTCAGTGTCAATAAAGCGGTTCTTTGAGGTAGCTCTTGGGCTCCGTCAGGCCACCTTGTGCAGCCCTCTTGTGCTTGTCAAATGCAAAACTCAGTGTGTTTTCTGGGTCCTAGGGCTCAGTTCCATGGCAACTCCACCTGGCTAAGGACCCCTTGCCCCCACCTCTTCTCTACTACCATAGGCTGCTGCCAAGCAGCCTTGTCAGAGCCGGTACCTCAGTCCCGTACTTCTCTGGTCTCTCCTCACTCTGTTAGAAAGGCTCTGTGCAAGAGGACCTGACGGTTGAAGGCCTTTCCACCATAAGCAGTTGTCTTAGGCAGGACATGGTGGCACATGCCTAGAATCCCTGTCTCAAACAAACAAAAACCTGAGGCTGAAGGTGGAGCTCAGTTCGTAGAGCACTTGCTTAGCATTTAAAAGCTCTAGGTTTGAGTCCCAGCACTGCATAAGAGGAGCATGGTGTGTATATGTACACATGGTATATATGTACATACCTATGATCCCATTACTCAAAGGTGGAAGCAGGAGGATCTGAAGTTAAACCATCGTCCTTGGCCACATAACAAGTTCAAAGCCCACACGAGAAACATGAAACCTCTCAAAATCAAAAGGAAAGTTTTTCTTGTTCATGATTCAACTTTCTTTTTCGAGACAGGGTCTTACCATTGTAGCTTTGGCCGGCCTGGCCTGGAACTCATTTTGTTGACACTGGTCTTGAGTTCACAGAGATCCACCTGCCACCATAACCAACTATGGTTCAACTTTTAAGTTGTGCCCTGTGCGTGGCACCTGTGGAAACAGACCATCTCCATCTCCTATCACTGATCTAACCATAGTCTCCAGACTCCAGCACAGTTAGCTGGAAACAGCTGTACTGTCCACCTCTCACCTGCTAATACACTGGGTGTCATAGGAAGCTTAGCAGCAGGCTTCTGAGGACCTCCCACTTCCGGGAGAACGCCCACCATGTAGAGGGTCCACACCTCACCAGCTGCCCACAGTCTCATGGTAATGGCGGTAGCGAGAGCCACTCCCAGCTCGGCTCTGCTCCTCCCAGCTCGGCTCTGCTCCTCCCAGCAGTCTTCCCGGTTTGGGGTTTGTTTTTATTTTCAGTTTTTTGTTTATTTTTCTCCATGATTTCTGGCCTTACCAGTACAAATATAAGCTGTATGGCTGGGGAGACAGTGTTGCAACCCCAACATCATCCAGACACATGATCCATGTTCCCCTGGGTTGATAGTAAGAAAAGAAAAGGGAGGCACTCTAGCATGAGGAGCAGAAATGTTAGAGATCTACCCCTGAGTGCCCTGGTACCTGAAGTGTTCCCTGACCCCATCAGCTAAGAGCATCAGGCAAGTTCCCAGCCCCAGGTCCTACGCTGAGATGCAAATCCAGGTTTCCTTATGGCTGGGAAGTGCTCATGGTTGGATCCTCTTGCGGTATAGGTAGGCATTGCTCACTTGGTTCATGATTACCAAACTGGTGAGGACGGGGCACAGCACAGCCAGGTACCAGGCAATGCCAGTGACAGCAGCAGTGAACCAGAGTGAGCACATGCCCAACAAGAGGCTGGCACTGCCCAGCAGGTAGCCCACCAACCCAGAAGTGGCATGGTAGAGTTTCAGCTTTGCCAGGGGCCATCGAGGCAGCAACTTGGGGTAGAGCAGCCCCACACCACCTGAACACTGCAGACCTGCCCACAGCACCGCTAACAGCCCTGTCTGCCCATGTCGAGTGGCCAGGTGTGCTTTGCCAAGCTGCTCTTTGTGGAGGATGACAAGACCTAGACCCAGCAGAGCACAGAGTAGGGCTAGCAGCTGAAGCACCCAGTGGCAGCGTGCTCGGACCTTCCGTGAGAGGGAACGCAGCAGTGAACTCTCTGGAGAAAACATGAGGAGTGCCTCAGTCATCAGGAAGGAGAACTAAGGAGACAGAGAGACTCAAGTGAGAATGTTATAAGCACTTTAGATAACCCTCCAAGCAGGTGCACTTAGCCCCATCCTCCTTCATTCCCTTCCCCAAGGACAAAATGCTGCATTTGGTGAGACGGTGGAAGGCCCTGTGTGGGGCAAAATGTCTGCCCTGAGTAGTTAGGAACAGCTGCCTCTAGACTTCTTCCTAGGTACTTTTCTGAAATGTCACCTCTGCTACGTTACCCAGCAAACAAGATTTGAGACGTGGCAGTTATAAATGATTCACAGCTTTGTTTGCCTCCCATGAGGCTGGATACAATTTCTTGGCAAGAGCTGTCCACATGGGTGCACTGTTTCAGGGAAAATTAGATGCATCACCATAAATTAAGGTTTTCAAGGACAGAGCAATCTCCAAATGCAATCTCTCAGCTTCCTGGCTGGAGGTGAGAGAAGCCTCATTTTGTGCTTGGGTGAGCTTCACCCATCTGTCCTGGGTCTTCCGTTTTTCAATCCTTGGATATATATCAGAGGCAGTAGTTGGAACATGCAACTCCACTAAACTGGCCTTTTAATAATAAATAATAATAAATAAATGCCTTCAAGAATTCTGAGGGTCACCACCTATGCCCACACTCTACCCCTAAAAGCTACCCAGATCCACTACTTACAGCCAGAGACATAAGAACAGGGTGCCAGGAGAACAGACCTAGAATGAGAAGAGGAAGCCTCATGGAGCTGAGGGAAAAGGAACCAGCATAACCATCCCTACAGGCTGAATGTGGGCAGCCCATCCATCACCTAAAGAGGCAAATGTGAGTCCCCTCTTGTAACAAGCTCATCTTACCCACCCCCCTATTCTCTTCCTGGGACAGAGAGCATGCCCTACCACTCCTCTGGTAGCTCCTTCCTCCAGCGTCTCCATGAGTCAGGAATGAAATGCCAAGTCAAAGAGAAACCATGTACTCTCTGAAGCTTGGCCAGGCTGCCAGAGCCCCCACACTGATCTGCTCTCCCCAGGAGTTAAATACTGCCAGCACAGAACATTCCTCAGCCAGCCAAGCCTGTTCCCACGAGTTAAGCCCATCACTTCCTACTGCCCCTATTCCCCCAAGAAGAGTGGCTTTTTACTTCCCATAGTCAACTATGAACTCTACTTACTGGAGCCAGGTCTGGCAAGTACAGCCACAAAGATGGTAAAGCCCAAAGCCACAAGGTGGGCTGCAGCCCCAGAGGCAGTGCGCAGAGCTCGGTAGATGTGCGACTCCGTCTCCACAGAAAGGGCCATGGTCAGCCCAGCTGATAGCTGTACAGCCTGAAAGCATCGTAGGCGTTGGCAAGGGTGCCCACTGTCCACGCCTCTCACTGGGGACAGTAATTCAGGGCAGGAATGCCACCTTTTTTCGGAGGAGTTATGACAAGCAGAAAACGTCGGCACCAAGAATAGTCCCAACTTAACAGAGTCTACCTGTCAAACACCTGTATTTGAAGTGGTACTGATCGCACCGGCCAGGTGGGATGCGTAAGGACACGTAAGACTACAAATCCCAGAATGCAGCACGTCATCACTAGCTGGAACGGAAGGCGTGGAGCACTACGGGCATTGTAGTTCCCAGCTGCTTTCCTACCTAAGCGTGAATCTCTTTGCACATTGCCTCCCCACGTGCACCTAGCACGCTGTACCTCCACTGTAGAAATTTGCCTTCCTCACCTGCTTCTCAAGTTCGACGCAGTGACTTCCTCCAAAATAAACTGGACTCCCGGGCCCGCCAGCCGCGCCACCGCTCCGTTAAGGAGGCGCTTCACTTCCGGGTGTGTTGTCCACCCACCCAAGACTTCCTGGGACAAGCCCCCTTCCATCCCATCAGCGCCAGCCACGCCTCTGAGTCGCGCCGCGCAGGCGCTGTTGAGTTGACGGTTCTTCTGGTTTACGCTCACAAACCTCTCTATCCTAGCCCAGGCCTCTTTCTCTTTTTGACAGGTGTTCCCAGGGGTGGAGGCGACCACCGCACGAAAGACAAGGGACTACAGACTTGGGACGGTCAGCGCCATGGGCAGCAGCTGCCGCATCGAATGCATATTCTTCAGTGAATTCCACCCAACGCTGGGACCCAAAATTACCTATCAGGTGCCTTCCACACTCCCGGGACTGGACGAGGAGAGGGATGCTCTATGGAGCTCAACTGGCTGCCTGGAGGGGTTGTGGGTCCCCGTGCTGCATCCAGGCATGTCATTCCATTCATAGATAACCTTGAATGGAGAGGATACACAGAGCCAGGTCTCTGGTTCCTAGTAGGGGAAGGAGATTTGCCACATAGCAGTTTTTGTGGCAAATCAGGCTATAGGATTCAGGGAGGTGACAGGTCTTGTCGAGGTTTAGATGATCCAAGAGAATCACTGGATTGAGACACAAATAATGCATAAAACTTAGGTGAGAGCCGGGCGACTGTGGCGCAGGCCTTTAATCCCAGCACTGGGGAGGCAGAGCCAGGCAGATCTCTGTGAGTTCGAGGCCAGCCTGGTCTACAGAGTGAGATCCAGGACAGGCACCAAAACTACGCAGAGAAATCCTGTCTCGAAAACAAACAAACAAAAGAAACAAAAAAGTTAGGTGAGAGTAGAAAGAGTATTGCAGGCAGTGGGAATAATGAATGCCAAAGCCGGGAAGCTTTCCAAAACATAGCGTGTGTTTGGAAACACAAAGGAGTCGTATACTGGGTGGATGAGGGAAAGAAAACAGTAGAGGACTTGTGCCTGGGGTGGGATGTATCACCATCCCAGTGTCCACTGAGGGACTCTCGTCACTGCCCTCCCCAGGTCCCTGAGGATTTCATCTCCCGCGAGCTGTTCGACACGGTCCAGGTGTACATCATCACCAAGCCCGAGCTACAGAACAAGCTTATCACTGTGTGAGGTCTTAGTCAGGTGGGAGCAAAGGGGTCCCAGACTGGCTTGGGGGCGGGCTGACTCTGCTCTACCCATCCAGCACAGCCATGGAGAAGAAGCTGATTGGCTGCCCCGTGTGCATTGAGCACAAGAAGTACAGCCGCAATGCCCTCCTCTTCAACTTGGGCTTCGTGTGTGATGCTCAGGCCAAGACGTGCGCCCTGGAACCCATTGTTAAAAAGCTGGCTGGCTACTTGACCACACTGGAGGTCTGCAACACTGTGGGCATGGGTGCATGGCAGGCCCAGTTGGGGAAAGTGTTCCTGTGTCTCCAATCCCCAACCTCCAACACCTAGCTCGGAATGCCGACAGCTGGGGGCTCTGAGGTATACTCAACCGTGTTGTCCATGTTCTGTCCAGCTTGAAAGCAGCTTTGTGTCCACAGAGGAGAGCAAGCAGAAGTTGGTGCCCATCATGACCATCTTACTGGAAGAACTAAATGCCTCTGGCCGGTGCACTCTACCTATTGGTACGGGCAGCCTCTCCTGGGACACGATAAGATAGAGGAAGGATGGGGGAGTGCGGAAATGAGCACGGCCACTGCAGGAGAACAAGACTCTTGGACAGACTGGTGGGCAAGAAATAGCCACGGGCTGAAGCAGTGATGTGTGAGGGTTCGGGATATAATGGGGTGGAGGGGCAGCCAGCAGAATCCTTCAGCACTACTTCGTGGCTACATTCTTCCCCCCTCTCTGGGCCTTGGTTTCTTGCTCCATAAAACAGAAAGAGTGATGCTCCCAGGATCCACCTGCCTGCCTCAGCTAATGCTAGGAGAGTCAGGAAGTACTTGAGGCGCCTTGGGAAAGATGACACTGAGGGTATGGGTGGGGTCCCCCGCAGATGAATCCAACACCATCCACTTGAAGGTGATTGAGCAGCGGCCTGACCCTCCTGTGGCTCAGGAGTATGATGTGCCTGTCTTTACCAAGGACAAAGAGGACTTCTTCAACTCGCAGTGGGACCTTACCACACAGCAGGTGTACCGGCCCTCTCATGAGTATTATCACCTTGGGCTGCTCACACCCTTAGCTGCATCTCACCCTTGCTGACCCTGCCTTGCTCTTGACAGATCCTGCCCTACATTGATGGATTCCGCCATGTCCAGAAGATCTCCGCTGAGGCAGACGTGGAGCTCAACCTGGTGCGCATTGCCATTCAGAACCTGCTGTGAGTGGAGATCAGTTATGCCCATTATAGGCCGCCAGTCAGAGGGGAGCCGAAGGACCCCGAGTATGGGGGTGGGAAGACTGGTGTTTGCACACTAAGCATTTCTCTTTCCCCCAGGTACTATGGTGTCGTGACGCTGGTATCCATCCTCCAGGTAGGTGAGTCTGGGATACAGTTAAGTAAAATGGGAACCATATGGCTGGGCCAGATCAAGCCAGACTCCCAAGCACGTCGTTCAGGTCCTGCACCCTTGCTGTGTTCTAGTACTCCAATGTGTACTGCCCAACGCCAAAAGTCCAGGACCTGGTAGATGACAAGTCCCTACAGGAGGCGTGTCTGTCCTACGTCACCAAGCAAGGTAGTGGCAACCCCTGTGGGAGACCGATCTGGGAGGACAAGGCCACCTAGGAAGCTGACCCTGGCACCCACAGGACACAAAAGGGCCAGTCTCCGAGATGTATTCCAGCTGTACTGCAGCCTAAGCCCTGGCACCACTGTGCGAGACCTCATTGGCCGCCACCCCCAGCAGTTACAACACGTGGATGAAAGGTCAGAGGGTCATTCTCAGGCTTGCATGGTGGGGTGAAGTGTCTTGAGTCTCCCCGGAGGAGCCTCGAGTCAAAGAGGAAGCAGGAGATTCCCAATGAGTATAGTGTGTGGCCTGCTAGTCCAGGCAGGTTTCCTGGAGATGGTGAGCGTGGAGGTCACTCCAGCCCATAAGGCACTGAAGGAGAGGGTTGGCTAGGCTAGGGTATCAACTCTCTTCCCCAACCATCACTTCAGGAAGCTGATCCAGTTTGGGCTCATGAAGAACCTCATCCGGAGACTACAGAAGTATCCGGTTCGAGTAGCTCGGGAGGAACGGAGCCACCCTGCCCGCCTTTACACAGGCTGCCACAGCTACGATGAGATCTGCTGCAAGACAGGTGGAGGCAGGCGGGGCCGGCTGGGGCGGTGAGGGCTGACTGGCCGCGCCAAGGCTGCTGACCTTGCCTCCCTCACCCCACCAGGCATGAGCTACCATGAACTGGATGAGCGACTAGAAAATGACCCCAACATCATCATTTGCTGGAAGTGAGGCCGGCTGGAACATAATACTATGGCTACTTGCCCCTACTAAGCCCTCATGGGTCCAAGACACGTAGGCTAGTACATACCGTCTGGGAGGTGATCCTCGGTTTTGTACATAAAGTTACCCATTTCATCCTGTGGAATACTGAGTACTGCCTCAGCCAGCCACGGAAGAACTGTGAATGTGCCAGCCATGCCAACTAGCCTGGCCTGGCTGGAGTGCCACCTAGTGGACAGAAATGACAATGGCAAGTAAACAATAAGGTCTCGGTTTGATCTGGTCTGGTTTGGCTTTTGTTTTATTGGCGGGGGAGAGGGGAGGGGGAGAGGAGTTGGGGGGTAGGGGAGTGGGGGGGAGACTGTTGAGACAGGATCTCACTATGTAGCTTTGGCTGTCCTGGGATTCACTATGTAGTCCAGGCTGGCCTTCAACTCTGCCTGCCTCTTTTTTCTAAATGCTGGGATTAAAGGCATGCACCACTATGCCTGGACACACCTAGGTTTTTAATGTGTGTGTGTGTGTGTGTGTGTGTGTGTGTGTGTGTGTGTGTTTATTGGGGGTGAGGGTGTTTTTTGAGACAGGATCTTATGCAGCACAGACTGGCCTGAAGTCTGCTGTGTAGCAGATGACCTTGAACTTCTGATTCTCCTGCCTCAGTCTCCCTTGTACTAGGAGTGTAGACTTATGCTCCCACAGCCTATGTATGCAGTGCTGGGGATTAAAGCCAAGGCTTTGTGAATGCTAGGCAGGTACTCTACCAGATCAGCTATGACCACAGCTCTCTGGGCCTGTAAACTGAAAGAGCTAGAATCAGATGGGAGCAAAAGATGCTGTGGATTAGATTGTCTAGAAAGACCTCACTCGGGAGACCTCAAGCTGAACCTTGCAGGAGTAAAAAGAGTACTCCAAAAAAAATAGTCCCTAAAGCAAGGACTAACTGTGGTAGTGCATTCTTAGAATACCAACACTCAGTAAGCTAACATCAGGAACTGCTCCAAGTTCAAGGACAGCGTGGACTATATAATGTGTTTAAAGCCAGCCTGGGTGTCATAGTGAGACTTGTCTGGAAAAGCCAAAGGAGTCTGTGAGGAATTCAGGGGAAGCCCACGAGGTTGGAACATGGAAACAAGCATAGTGGTGCCCGCCCGAAACCCCAACACTTGGGAAGCTGACCAAGGAGGAGGAAGCTTTGGACCAACCCTGGCTGTCTAGTGAGCTCCACGTTGGTCTTGGCTATATGAGGTCCTGCCTCAAAGAGGAGGGGTGTTGGAGAGATGGCTCAGTGGTTAAGAACACTACTGCTCTTGTAGAAGACTAGAGTTTAGTTCCCAGCACCCATGTGGGACAGCTCACAACTGCCTATGACTCCAGCTCCAAGGGATTCGATGCCTCTGGCCTCTGGGTGTAAGCATTACAGCTCGGATGAAAAGGTATCCTGGCAGCCAAGGAATACCACAAAGTCACACTGCACAACAAACCACAACACACAAGAGATTTATTGGGAGGGAAAACAGGGGTGGCTGCCTCTGCTGGAGCAAGAAAGGGCAGTAAACCGAACAGGATACAGGGCTTATTTAGAGCATCTTGGAAAGGGGGTGGAACTCTTCAGGGCGGAGCTTTCCAGGGTGGAGATTGGTGGGATTTCATGTCCAGAGAGTGGGCTTTTTACTCTGTAGGGTGGGGGCAGGGTCCAGCAGTTCAGAGTATTCTGTGGGTGGCACCTGGCAGTGAGAGGTCCTCAGGGGAGGGGCCTCACTGGGCACCTGTACACACGTGCACAGACACAAACATAATTTAGAAATAAAAGAGGAGGGGGTGGGACAAAAATTGAAGCACAGAAGTAAGAGAAGGGGAGAGAGAGGTCCTTCAGAGCAGCTGGTGAGAACTGTGGTCTAGTATTTGGGGTGCCAGAGGTGCGGGGCCATCCTCAAGGGAAGAATGTTAGGTGTACATCTTTAGGACTCCTGGCTGCCGGGCTGAACACGGGGACACAAGCCTTTAATTTCAGCACTAAAGAGACAGAGCAGAGGCCCGTGGATCTCTATGACTTGGAGGCCAGTTTGATAGACAGGGAGTTCCAGGCCAGTCTGAGTCACATAGTAAGAGCCTGTCTCCAAAAAAATGACTCGGTGGCTGGGGAGAGTCCAGGGTGCAGGTACGCCCCCATTTGAGGCTAAGACACTGCAGCAGCAGGAGGTGGTAAGGATCCCAGTCACTCCATAGCTGCTCCTGGCCTGGAGGGGTGTGGCGAGTGTGTCTCGAGTCTCGGGCTGCTAATTGGCAGTGAGGTGGGCGTGGCAAGCGGGGCATCAGAACGACTCTACGCAGGCGCCAAGCTCACTGGTTCCCATGGCGACGAGTACCCACGCGCCCCAACGGCTTAGCAACTGTTCTGTCCCAGACTTTGGTCCGGCCACTGGAGTCCATCAGTTTCCCCATTCCGACTGCTGCCCAAAGCCAAACGAATCCTGGCCCACGGCATGGGCGACCTGGAGCTGCTGCTGCCTGGGGAGGCTGATGTGCTGGTGCGGGGCCTGCACAGCTTCCAGCTACGGGAGATGGGATCTGAAGGGTGAGGCAGCGGCAACAGGTGGGGTCTCCTGGTCCTTTAGTGGAGGACCTTGGAACTGACATTGGAGAAGGGGTTGCCCAATGTGGAGGGACCTCCAGGTGGGAGGCAAGCTCTTTGAGATAGAAGTGTATGGCTTCCGACGCCCCTCTGGCCTCAGGACTGGATCACATAGACCAGTAGATCCAGCCCCCACCCTCACTCCCGTTGTACATTTGAACACCCGATATACACACATCCCTTCGGGGCAGGTGGAATAAGCAGCATGAGAACCTGGAGAAGCTGAACATGCAAGCCATCCTTGACGCCACTGTCAGCCAGGGTGAGCCCATCCAGGAACTGCTGGTCACCCACGGGAAGGTAGGTCAAGATCACGGATCCCTGCCTTCCTACTACTCTACCTCTCGGGGACACTGGGCACCTGCTCTTCCTTCTGGCCTGGTATGCCTGTCCTTCCTAAGTGGGAAAGAAGAATGTGTTAGGTTTCTTGGCCTGTAGTCCAGGCTGCTGTTAGCTCCCTGTTTCTGACCCCACGTGTGGGGATTGCAGGCAGGCATCACGATGCCTGGCTACATTTCCTGTTGTATCCTAGGTGGATATGAGGGTTAATCAGAGAGACAGTCGTGGGTTCTAGGCTAGCACAGGCTGTAGGGGGAGCACCCAAGCGCTAAAGTCACCCTGAATTGACCGTGAGACCAAAAGAGATCCTCACTGAAGAGCAAGTGGGGTTTTCAAAATGGGAAAGGTAGCCTTTCTGACATAAGAGGGGAAACCAGGAAGACGCTGTGTTGTTGGCTATTTTTGCTCTTTTGCGGGGGGGGGGGTCTGGGGGGGCCACCAACCAACTCCCAAATTAATCACGCACGGAGGCTTATTCTTACTTATAAATGCCCAGCCATAGCTTTGCTTGTTTCTTGCCAGCTTTTCTTAACCTAAATTAATCCACCTACCTTTTTCCTTTGGGCTTTTCCCATTCTTTTACTCCGTGGCTGGCTGTGTAGCTGGGTGACTGGCCCCTGATGTCCTCCTCCTTCTCTGGCCACTTCTTTGCTCTTTCCTCCTCCTCTTTTTCTCCTTCTATATATCCTCTCTGCCTGCCAGCCCCGCCTATCCTTTCTCCTGCTTCATTATTGGCCATTCAGGTCTTTATTAGACCATCGGGTGTTTTAAACAGGCACAGTATCACAGCTTCACAGAGTTAAACAAATGCAACATAAACAAAAGTAACACACCTTAAAATAATATTCTACAACATGCCTCGCTGGAGGAGGGGCCAAGGGCGGGGCTAGTGTGCGGAAAGGGGTTTCCCTGCAAGAAAAAGGCAGAGCTGGGCACAAGGGGATGGTCTAGGAATAGGGGACAGTAAAAGGTCTAAGTGTGAGGCCACAGCACATAGCACCTTGGCAGGCCAGGTGACAAAGACCAGAGTGAGGACATGAAGAGGAGGGTGGGCCTGGAAGAAATGCCTAGGTAGAGAGGATGCGCTAAGGTGCAAGAGAAGCAGTAAAGGTCACTCGCAGGACACGTGGCTGATACCCCTTCCGAGATACGGAAGCAACAGGAAATGAAGGTCTACAGTACAGCAGGGACTTCCAGGGTACTTTGGAACCTGGGGAGTCTAAGGGTCCAAGAGAGCTAGAAAGCTAACCTGGGCTAAAGCAGGGACAGGAGAGCTGTGAGGCCAAGGTAGGTCCAGTTCATCTCTATTCGTCCCCTGCCCTTCCCAGATCCCAACCCTGGTGGAAGAGCTGATTGCCGTGGAGATGTGGAAACAGAAGGTGTTCCCGGTGCTATGCAGGCTAGAGGATTTCAAGCCTCAGAATACTTTTCCCATATACATGGTGGTGAGCTGGGCCTTCAGAGGGTCCTGAACCATGAATGAGAGCCACCAGCCCCTGTCCCTGCCTCACAGCCCAGCCCTATCCTCTTTGGCAGGTACACCATGAGGCCTCCATCATCAATCTTCTAGAGACAGTGTTCTTCCACAAGGTGAAGCACTATCCCTGCCGAGAGGCCACTTCTGTGGGCCAGAACCTGGTGGGGTATATCTGTGGGGAAGGGTAGCAAATACTGAACTCGCCCCTCCCTGAACCCCAGGAGGTGTGTGAGTCAGCAGATGACAAGGTATTGGACCTCGTGGACTATTGCCACCGAAAGCTGATACTGCTGGTGGCCCGGAATGGCTGTGGTGACCCATCTGAGGAAGAGCGGCCCCAGGACAGTACCCCTATGCAAGTAAGCTAAGGTTTCCTGGAGGTGGCAACCCCCCGAAGTGGGTGCTCCCAGGCCTCCACAGGTGGGGTGAATCTGTGTGCCTGTGTTCCCACCACCAGGAGCTGCAGAAACAGGCCGAGATGATGGAATTTGAGATCTCACTGAAGGCCCTCTCGGTCCTTCGCTACATCACCGATTGCGTGGATAGGTGGGCCACCCTCCAGGGCCTGGGGAATATGATAAAGGGCCGCAAGACTAGGCCTGTAGCCTCTGCTGACTCCCTCTTACTCCTACCCCTAGCCTTTCCCTGAGTACCTTGAACCGCATGCTCAGTACTCACAACTTGCCCTGCCTCCTGGTGGAGCTGCTGGAGCACAGTCCCTGGAGGCGGCGGGAAGGAGGTAAGGTCTTCTCCCACCTGCCTACGACCTTACTGGCTGCTTCCAGAACATCCTTCAGGGTTAATGGAAGTGGACAGCTGGACAGCGTGCGCATTGAGGATACCGGGATGCCTCACCCAAAATGGGGCTAGATTTTTGACTCTGAGGCAGGCCAGTCCTGTGGACTCACCTTGTTCTGACGAGTCTGGTGGCCCAGGTTTCTAACCTTGCCAGGCAGTTCTCCGTCCTCCAGTCCACACACTCAAAGAGAATGCAACGCCTCCATCCAGTGAGCTGCTTCTCCTTCCCAGGCAAGCTGCAGCGATTTGAGAATGGCCGCTGGCAGACAGTGGCCCCCTCAGAGCAGCAAAGACTAAACAAGCTGGATGGGCAAGTGTGGATCTCGCTGTATAACCTGCTGCTCAGCCCTGAGGCCCAAGCCCGGTACTGCCTTACAAGCTTCGTGAAGGGACAGCTGCTTAAGGTGGGGAGCTCAATGACCCTACCTACCGCCACCACCCCGCCCCACCCCCACTGCATCCCTGCCTCTCCCTGTCCTCTTTCCATAATTGGGCTTCAGGTGACATAAGAACTGGTGAGCCATAAACCCTCCAAGTGCCCCCAGCCCAACTTAGGGACTCCGTGTTTCTTGACCCTCTGGCCAGAACCTGCCTCACAATGGCCTTCCCTGGATACCTTGCAGCTTCAGGCCTTCCTCACGGATATACTACTTGACCAGCTGCCCAACCTGGCCGACCTGAAGGGTTTCCTGGCCCAGCTGGCCCTGGCTGAAACCCAGCCCCCTAAGAAGGACCTAGTGTTGGAACAGGTAGGCACCTAGAAATGTAGTTGCTCGGGACCATGGTCCACTTTGCCAGCTCCTTGCTCTCCTCTCCATTACGTTCTCTTAGATCCCAGAAATCTGGGATCGGCTGGAGCGAGAGAACCAAGGCAAATGGCAGGCCATCGCTAAGCACCAGCTGCGGCACGTGTTCAACCCCTCAGATCAGGATCTTCGCCGGCAGGCACAGAGGTAAGGGCTGCTGCCTGCCCGAAGACGGACGCATAGGACGTGGTGGGAGTGCTTCCGTGCGCCGACCTGTCAGGTCCGCTCAGATCTTCTTGGCCCCTCCCCCAGGTGGGCTGAAACCTACAGGCTGGACGTCCTAGAGGCCATAGCTCCAGAGAGGCCCCGCTGTGCTTACTGTAATGCAGAGGCCTCCAAGCGCTGCTCCAGATGCCAGAGTGTGTGGTATTGCTGCAGGTAAGGGGATCCTAGGACCTTAGTCCCCCTAAGCGCCAACGCTGGGTCCCCCCACAAGCACTGTCATCCTCATGCAACCCACCCCCTGCAGGGAGTGCCAAGTCAAGCACTGGGAGAAGCACGCCAAGACATGTGTTCTAGCAGCCCAAGGTGACAGAGCCAAGTGAAGGCTGCCGCTGCTGAGGGCCCACGGAGGAGCTCACCCAGAATGTGACTCTGAGCCTCCAGAACTCTGCCTGGTCCCTGTCAGACCTCAATTTCCCTGGTGGTGAGCACAGCTGAGTCAAGTTAAGCTGCAAACCACCGCCACCCGACATACACACAAGCAAAGACTCTTCACTTCCTGCCCCACCCAGCGAATACGCCGAGAACAGAACTAGGCCGCAGCATCAGCAAACTGGCAGGCAGGGTTGGGGGGCGTAAGCAAGGGCCGGATGTGGAGACCCTCTTCCTTTATCACAGTAAAACGGACTCATGAAATGCATCAGTGTGGCGCTTTGCAGTCGTCGCTGGGGACGGGGGAGGGGAGATGGAGCGAAGACTGGAAGACTGGGAAGGGGCTCTCCGAAAGCGCCCACCCCTGTGCCCCGCCCCGCCCACAAGTCCACACTGTCAGCTCGCCTCGGTTTCCATTGCGTTCTCCTCCGCTCTTTCCCGCCGCCCTGCCTTGATTCTGCTGGGGGCGGTGCCGAAGTGGCGGCCCGCCCTGCGACCTCGCCCGCTAGCGTCCAGTCCGGTGGAGCCCGGGCCTGACCGGGCCATGTCGGCGGAGCCAGAGCTCATTGAACTACGGGAGCTGGCACCGTCTGGGCGCATCGGCCCTGGCCGTACCCGGCTGGAGCGTGCCAACGCTCTGCGCATCGCGCCGTGCACGGCACGCAATCCGTCCCAGCAGCACGTCCCGGGTCGTGGCCACCGCTTCCAGCCTGCTGGTCCCGCTACGCACACGTGGTGCGACCTCTGTGGAGACTTCATCTGGGGCGTCGTGCGCAAGGGCCTCCAGTGCGCGCGTGAGTAGCGGCCCCGCACAGCCAGCCATCACGGAACGGGAGGTCAAAGGCAGCACCATGGCTGTGGGTCAAGGCGCAGCGGAGGGGGTCAGCAGTGATGATCTGCAGAGCAGCTCCCGTTGCCTTGCCCCATCAGGGAGCGTGTTTAAGAAAATGGTTTATCACTTGTCACACTTGGTCCGTGGCTGGCGCACAGATGGGCAGAGGCAGTTGCCTGTGAGTAACGAGGTGCTGGTTTCAAGTTCGTCTTTAAAGCGCCTGGGCCCTTGAAAAGCCTTTGCGCCTACTGTGCCCTGAGCCTACATTCCGAGGCCCGCCTCTTCCCAACGATTGGCTCACTGTGTTCCCCTCCAGATTCTTGGGTGACTTCACCCACATATGATAGGGGGCCAGAAAATGTTGAGCCTTGGTTGGGTTCCTTGTAAGTAGGAATTTTATTGAATTTTTAGTCAAGGTTTGTTTTGAGTCGGAGATCCAGAGGCTAAATAATGGAACACAATCACACACACAGTGGTCCTCCTGACCCCCTGGGAATTACCAGCAAACGGAAGTTACACTCACCCAGGATACGTTGTCCCCTCCAATCTCCTTGTGTCTAGATCTTCTCTCAGACTTGAGTTCATTGATGAAAGTGGACCTTAGGCATTGAGGGTTTGTTGTTTTGTTTTTGTTTTGTTTTGCCATTGTTTTGAGACAGCTCTAGCTGGCCTGTAACTCTATTCAGACCAGGATGTGACAGACATCCACCTGCCTCTGCTCCCAAATTCTGATATGTAGCTGGAGTTGAGAATCAGTGCTTTGAGCCATATAGGAACTTTTGTTTGTTTGTTTCTTTCTTTCTTTCGAGACAGGGTTTCTCTGTGTAGCTTTGGAGCCTGTCCTAGAACTCACTCTGTAGACCAGGCTGGCCTCGAACTTAGAGATCCGCCTGCCTCTGCCTCCTGAGTGCTGGGATTAAAGGCATGCGCCACCACCGCCTGGCGCCATATAGGAATTTAAGGTTGGCACTGTAAGTCTGTGCATGCCTAGAGCTCATCTCATTCACTACGTAAGTATGTCACAAATTCAGCTAGTGAAATACAGCAATTTGTGTCAGATACCACATGGGAGCCAGGGCTGCGATACTGCAACATTCTCTAAGAGAAATAAAATTGCTCTGGAGGTGAGAAACAGGACAGTTTGGGTGTTTGACCAGAGGCTCATGAGGGAATCAAATGTAAGTGTAGGGTTTTGCTTCAAACAACTGGATGAATAGTGGTAACTTCTGCTGAGATAGGAACCCAGGGGTAGGTTGAAGTCAAAGAAAAGTGAAATTTTGGCCATGTACATTTGAAATCTTTATTAGACATTAACGTGAAGGCACTACATGTAGGATTTATTCTAAAGAGGCAAATCAGTGCCACCTTGGATCTGGATCAGGTGAGTGCAGACAGAGCTGGTACAGTACCCAGGCGAGAAACCTGCACACCAACTATTAGACCTGGGAGCTGAGACAGAACTGACGAAGGGCTAGCAAGGAAGGAGCTGCAGAGGTAAGAAGAAAACCTGGCTAGTGACTGCTGTCCCTGGGAGTCAAAGGGAGCAAGCAACAAATGTTAAGGATCTAACAATCTGAATAATGTATACAGAAGGCAAAACATTAGATGTGTGCATTGGGCGTTGGCATGTGTCTGTAATCCTGGCACTGGAGCAGTTCAGTTGGAGGCAGGAGGATCACCGAGTTCAAGGTTACCATTTGAGGCTAACCTGAACTACATGAGACCCTTTCTCAAAAAACAAAATAGGCTTGTATAAACAAGAGGCAGATGACAAATAGAGGAAGTCGTAAATTAAACGCTTTTGTTTCCAAGTTCGTGGCAAAGTGAAGCAGTAGATCTGCGGTAGGCAAACACGAGTGCCGAGCGGGATTAGATCTCGAACCTCCTGAGGCCCACAACCACTTTCCAGAGGTGCTAGAATCTGTGGAGCAGTGGGCGGTCACCGAGCTTGAGAAAAGCCAGTCAAGGCCCAGTCTGTCGGGCAGAGGCTCCCTCTGTGAGCGGGTCACTTCGCGGAGCTCCTCCGCCTCACGGCCAGCCCTTTCTGCAGACTGCAAGTTCACCTGCCATTACCGCTGCCGTGCGCTCGTCTGCCTGGACTGCTGCGGGCCCCGAGACCTGGGCTGGGACCCCGCACTGGAAAGGGACACGAACGTGGTGAGCATGGGGTCGGGGAGAGCGGGCAGGGAGGGGACCCGGGACTCGTCCGCCCTCAGCGGAGGGGTTAGTCCGGGCGCCGCACACAACGAGCATCCCTATTATCGACCTCCCGGCATCAGAGAGGTTGCTTCTGCCTGTGGGTTTGTCAGGAGCTGACTCCACGCAAAAACCACGGCTCACAAACCACTGGCCGCGAAGGCGCGCCCTGGCACGCTGCAGCGCACTTTTCACACCCCACTTCCGGCCCGGAGGCAAGGTCGGTGCACATGCGCACACGCCCTGACGCCGCCCTCTGGGAGGTGGGGCCTGAGAGGCGGAGCCGGGTTGAGATGCCTCGGCGATGAGGTCATTCCCCGTCGCGTTGTGTCCCCGCCCCTCGCCCCCCCCATGACACCAGCGCTGGATTCTGGCTGTCTACGTCTCAGTCCTAACGGTCGCCGCGCGGCGCAGGCCTCAGCGCAAGCGCGTACAGACACGCTCACACTCACGCACGCGCCCGGGGCGGTGGTTGGAGACTCCCCACGCAGTGGACTAGGGATCGGGCGGCGGGCACGGCGATGGGCGAGGCTGAGACGCCTTCCTTCGAAATGACCTGGAGCAGCACGACCAGCAGTGGCTACTGCAGCCAGGAGGACTCGGACTCGGAGCTCGAGCAGTACTTCACGGCGCGTACCTCGCTGGGGCGCAGGCCGCGCCGGGACCAGGTGGGAGCCGGGGGAGCGGGGAGCGCCGGCGGGTGAGGGGCGGTCGCTGCAATCCCGCCCCTCCCCGCTACGTTGCGGCGTGGAGAGTTAGTTGATGGGCAGCCTCCCCGCCTCTCCGTGAAGCCCCCCGGCGGGTCCGGACGAAAACCGGCCCGGGAAATGTGTGTCGGGCTCTCTACTCCGAGTAGAAGCTCGGTTCCAGCGCGCCGGTCCTGAGTACCCAGGCTGCCCTGGCTTGCGGTCACAGACTGGTTGAGCCAGGGGAAGCAGCTCTGAAGCTTGGGTGGACCAGAGGCCGGCGTTATTCATCCATGACTAAAGCCAGCCTCAGCCCAAACCGGCGTCTTGGTTTCGCATTTGGGCGCTCCTCCTCCCTCCCTGGGGGAAATAAGGAAGTGGAGGAGGAGTCCGCCGGGAAGTGAGAAGTTTGTTTGGGAGGTGACTCTGTCCCTTCCATTTGCAGTCTTGGATCAGCCAGAAAAGTCCCCAGCCATTGCTGGGCCAACTCTGCTACCAGCTGCTGGAAAGTAGACCATTTTCCGGTCTTCCTTCCAGGGTGGAACTTTGGAGGGGTTTGGGGAATATAGTAAGAGGGCCCTCACTTTGGACTTTAAGCAATAGGAACATTTTACCCATAGGGAGCAGGAAGTCTATAAAATGCCCCGAGGAGGGTATCTACTTGAAGACAGCAAGTGTGGAACCAGGGCAGCTGAATCTCTTAGAGTCTCCTTGATGTGCCAAATTATTACAGAGTTTTCAGGGAATCGTGGTTGGGACCACCAAGCTCAGATAAGTTGTTCTTGAGCCAGAATACCTCAGAAGAGTGCAGGGGCCAGGGCATCAGGAAAGTGAGGTGGAGACTGAAGGTTAGGAACCTCAGCAGCAGCAAAGTAGAATTCCTTATTTGAGCCAAGAAAAAAAAAGTTGTCTGTGGTGTTGTAGGAAAGATTTGATACAAATTTCTTACAAATGGGCTGCTATTTGACACCCCCAAAACCTTAATTCAGACCGTACATTCAATGTGGAACCCTGGGACAGTCTCCATGCCACTCAGCCTGAGTCGTCTTCTATTAAGGAAAGGAGGAAAAAACACAAGATACTAGCCAGTGGACAGTATATAAAGAAAAGAATTGTTAAAAAGCAGCTGAAGTTTGTAGCAAGCTCGGTTGGAGAGTCCTTAGCTAGCTAGCATGAAAGCCTGGCTTCCATCCACAGCACCATTAATGAACAAATAAATAAATCGAAGCTAAGAAGTCCCAAATGGTAAATAAAGTAGAATCATGAGTGCTTGCCCGGCATGTGTGAGGCTGTGGGTTCAGTCCCCAGCTGAGACGTTGTGAGACCTTCTCCTGGGACAAGGCATTGGTCAGTGGCAATCCCCGCTGCTTTTGTTCCAACCAGGACCTTTCTGATGTCAACAGGAAGTAAGACTGAGGCAGTGAGGCCAAGTGAGTTTGGTAGGGGAAAACCAAGTCCTGCCTGCTCTGACCCACAGCAAAACCCCAGTCCCTGAAGCTAAAGTCTTCAGGCTAACTTTCCAGACAGCAAGGGGAAGAGCAGCCTGCTTAGTACTGATAGGACGTCCTCTGCCAGAAAGTTGCCCATACACCTCTGGCAGATTGGAACCTGGCTTGAAGCTGCTTTTTGTGCAGCTTGAGTCAAGGGTAAATGGTATGTCACAGTGATTTCCTCCCTGTATGAGATGTGGTGGGGCTGGCCCCAAGGAACCCACTAAGGCATGTTAACATGGCGACCACCTTTCCCCTCCTGCCCACCGTAGTTGACTACTGATGTGTATCAGCTCCCATGCTTCTGACCCTGCAGGGGTCATGTTCTGTGCTGATACAAAGTGGGAGAGTGGGCTGCCTTCTCCAGAACAAACTCTGACCCAACTGGTGTTCTGGGATCAGTTATGCAGTTGAGATGTGCTTTGAATTTTATTGGGGGGTGCCTAGGGGATTGAAGGGCTTTTCACATCCTAGGCAAGTACTCTGTCACTTCTATCCCCAAGAAGTGTTTTTACTTTAAACAGCATTCCTCCCTAATAGTCCTTCAGGGTTTCCTGGCCCCTTGCCATGCACCTTTATTTGTCTGTATTTCTATAATGTTGTTAGGGGCCACAACTGTTGCTGAGGTCTCTCTCTCTCTCTCTCTCTCTCTCTCTCTCTCTCTCTCTCTCTCTCCCTCTCCCCCTCCCTCCCTCCCCTTCCTCCGTCCCTCCCTCCCTCCCTCTTTCTCTCTCTCTCTCTCTCACACACACACACACACCACACAGCAGACGAAGCAGAAAGCCTTTCTTTGCCATCTCCTAGGAACAGTGATGGGTGCAAGGTGTATGGGTTTGGTGACAGAGCCAAAATCAAGATCCAAGGGGTGTTCTGGCTTTTTTTCCCCCTCCAAAATAGCCTTGCGCTTTTTAAGGGCCCCGTATCCATGTTGGTCTGTCCTTTAGGATGAACCTGTACAGCGGGAGACACCCGATCTTTCTCAGGCTGAGACTGAGCAGAAGATCAAGGATTACAATGGCCAGATCAACAGCAACCTCTTCATGAGCCTGGTGAGTTGACTGCTCAGGCGAGGAGTGTGGGGAGGAGCAGAACCCGCTTTGTGCCACATGGCCAGAGTCGTAGCCAAAGTATTCTTGGTTGGCCAAGCAGTGACCTATCTATGCACACCTGGCCCAGCCCCAGGTGGACTCAGCCCTAGCCTCTTCCGTCTGCAGTGGAACTTCCTGTCATAGTCGGTTTTTTCTTTCTCTTTTTTAGAACAAGGACGGCTCCTACACAGGCTTCATCAAGGTTCAGCTGAAACTCGTGCGTCCTGTCTCAGTGCCTTCCAGCAAGAAACCACCTTCTTTACAGGACGCCCGGCGGGGCACAGGGCGGAGCACAGCTGTGAGGCGCCGCACCTCCTTCTACTTGCCTAAGGATGCTGTTAAGCACTTGCATGTTCTGTCACGAACACGGGCACGTGAGGTCATTGAGGCCTTGCTTCGCAAATTCATGGTAGTAGATGATCCTCGCAAGTTTGCACTCTTTGAACGAACTGAACGTCATGGCCAAGGTAGGTTTCCTATCCCAGCTCTCCCTGTGTAAGGGGTATATATTGCATACCTGTGCTGTGCACTCAGGGGCTGGGGCATCTCAGCCTGTTTCTAATTCTCTATCCTTTTCCCTCTGCCTGACCTCCAGTGTACTTCCGGAAACTGTCAGATGATGAACAGCCCTTGAAGCTCCGGCTTCTTGCAGGACCTAGTGAGAAGGCCCTGAGCTTTGTCCTGAAAGAGAATGACTCTGGGGAGGTGAATGTGAGTACAGTCTTTATTTTCCTACCACTAGACAAAGCTGGTAGGATGGAGCTACAGTGAGGGCTTCAGGAAAAACTGGGCTAGAGAACAAGCCCTGCACAAGCTCTCCATATGCAGGACCTGGAATGACAGTGGAGGCTTCCAGCACACTCCAGCCAGGGTCTAGAGCCCATTCCAAGAAACTGGGAAGAAACTGAATCTAGCGGTTCATGGTTGCAGTCGAGGTACTTGGGAGCTGAGACAGGAGGATTGCTAGGATTTTGGGATCAGTCTGGGCCACAAAAACAAGCTAGGAAGATTTGTCCTAGTGCTCTGTTGTTTCCTGGTATGGAAAGTCCTCCAAAGACTGAGGGATTGACTCATGGTCAGCCAAGACAAGTTCAGAGCTCCACAGGTATGGCCTTAGAGATGGCTCAGCAGTTAAGAGTGCTTGCTGTCTTTCCAAAGGACTCAAGTTCTCTTTGAAGCACCCATGTTGGATGGCCCACTTTTAACTACAACTCCAGATCCAAAGGATTTGACTTCCTCTTCTGGCTTCAGGGGGTTCCTGTACTTATGTGCAGATAACCCCACACAGACACACACATACACAAAATTAAAACAATGGGCTAGAAAGGTGGTTCAGTGGTTAAAAGCACTTATTGCTTGTGCAAAGGACCCAGATTAGGTTCTTAGTAGCATCCACATAGAGGCTTACAGCTATTCATAATTCTAGACCATGTACACAGTGCACATATATGCCTACAGGCAAAACACTCATACACATAAAACAATTTTTTATGTGTATGAATTTTTGCCTGCAGGTATATATGTGTACATATGTGTACTCATGCCCATAGAAGTCAGAAGAAGGTATTAGCTCCCCTGGAACTAGAGTTACAGATGATTAGAAGCCACCATGTGAGTCCTGGGAATTAAACTCTGATCCTCTGCAAGAGCAGCCAGTGCTCTTAACCACTGAACCATCTCTCCATCCTCTAAAAGTAAATCTTAAAGAGAAGAGCTTCACAGGTATAACCAGGAACCAGGAAGGCCTTCTTTGAAGCATTAAGACTTTTTACCAGCTAGAACTGATGACACAGGCCTGTAGTCTCATCTACTTGGGAAGCTGAAGCCAAGAGTATTCCCTGAAGTTCAAGACCAGGCTGGGGTACATCAAAAAACCACTCTTGCTGGACGGTAGTGGCGCATGCCTTTAATCCCAGCACTCGAGAGGCAAAGGCAGGCGGATCTCTGTGAGTTCGAGGCCAGCTTGGTCTACAGAGTTAGTTCCAGGACAGCCAGGGCTGTTACACAGAGAAACTCTGTCTTGGGGAGAAAAAAAACAAAAACAAAAACCGAAAACCACTCTTTCTAACCTAGTGACATGGAGCTATAATCCCAACTACTTGGGATGCTGAAGCAGGAGGATCACAAGTTCAAAGCCTTCCTGGGTTACAGAGTGACTTAAAGGCCAGTCTGGGTTAACTTAGTGAGATACTATCTCAAAAAGTAAAAAGACAGGGTTGGGGATTTAGCTCAGTGGTAGAGCACTTGCCTAGCAAGTACAAAGCCCTGGGTTCGGTCCTCAGCTCCAACAAAAAAAAAAGTAAAAAGACTTGGGGCTATAGTCAATGGTAAAGTGCTTAGCATGTTGGATGCCCTTGGTTCATGTCTTAGAGTTTCTATTGCTGTGATGAAACACCATGACCAAAAGCAAGTTGAGGAGGAAAGGGTTTATTTGGCTTACACTTCCACATCATAGAAGTCAGGACAGGAACTCAAACAGGGCAGGAACCTGGAGGCAGGAGCTGATAGCAGAGGCCATGGAGGGGTGCTGCTTACTGGCTTGCTCCTCATGGCTTGCTGAGCCTGCTTTCTTACAGAACCCAGGACCACCAGCCCAGGAGTGGTACCACCCACAATGGGCTGAGTCCTTCCCCATCAATCACTAAGAAAAGTCCTTCAGCTGGATCTTATGGAGGCATTTTCTCAAGGTTTCCTTCTTTCAGTAACTCTAGTTTGTGTCAAGTTGACCTAAAACTAGCCAGCACAATTCAGTTCCCACTAAGGCGAAAGAAAAGACTTTAGTGTAGATGTAACCAACGGTCTTATTAAATAAGAAACACAGAGCCAATTCAGAGAAGAAAGCCAAGAGGTCAGAGCTAAGAGCCTCACCCTTCCAGATTCAGGGATCCTCTTCAGCCAAGAGAGCTCTCCGAAAAAGACCTACTTCCTGTGTGTCTGTCTTTATAGTCTTTCTGTTCTGCCTTCTCATTGGTTGTAAACCCAAACATGTGACTGCCTCGTCACTGCCTGTATGTACCGCCCTCCAGGTCCTTAAAGGCGTGCGCCACCGCCGCCACGCACTTGCTATGGCTCTAATAGCTCTGACCCCCAGGCAACTTTATTTATTAACATACAATTAAAATCACATTTCAGTACAAGTAAAATACCACCACACTTTAGTGTATGGCCCAGTGGTAAGAATATATGGTTGGCATGCATAAAGCCCAGCAGCAAGAGAAAAAAGTCAGGGTTGGCTAAAACGGGCTGCCTGGGAATGCAGCTTTGGAATAAAGAAAAATGTAGCTTGCACACAACAGTAGATAGTTGTCCCTCTATGAGGTGTCTATTTTGTCGGTTCTGTCTGCTATGCAGACTGCTCATGAGGATCCTAGCCCAGACTATTTAGTCAAGGCCTAACATCAGCCAGCACAGTGATACATACTCGTCGTCGTCGTAGCATTCAGGAAGCAGAGAAGGAAAATCACAAGTTTGAGACTAACCTGGGATACATAGCAAGTTCAGGGCCAGCCTTGGATATGTGGCAAGACTGTGACTCAAAAAACAACAAAAAAGGGGGCTAAAGAGTTGGCTTAGTGGTTAAGAGCATGTGTTGCTCTTACAGAGGACCTGGGTTTGAGTCTCACAACCATCTGTTTGTAACTCCAGTCCTGGGGATCCGATGCCCTCTTCTGACCTCCACGTGGCACCAGACATACACATACACATGTGTGTGTGTGTGTGTGTGTGTGTGTGTGTGTGTGTGTGTGTGTGTGTGTGTGTGTAAACACCCAATAACAAAACCAAAACAGGTAAAGTTGGGGAATGAAAAAGAAGGTAATATCAGGAAGCCCAGTCCTAAGTTGTGTGACCATGAGGCGCTAGTCTCTAAGGAGGGTCTGCCAACTTAGCCATTTCTTGCTGTGACCCATCTATCTCTCCTCTGCCCCTTTGCAGTGGGATGCCTTCAGCATGCCTGAACTGCACAATTTCCTACGTATCCTGCAGCGGGAAGAAGAGGAACACCTCCGACAGATCCTGCAGAAGTATTCTCGGTGCCGCCAGAAGATCCAGGAAGCCTTGCATGCCTGCCCTTTGGGGTGACCTTTCGTGTCCCTGGGTGGCAGGAGGAAAATAGGCAATGCGAAGAGCGTGCCGTGTGAGTGTGACAGGGCCCGTGGGGCCTGAGGAATGAGTGTGCGTGGAGGTCCTCCTCTGCTAAAGGGAATGAGCCCAGAGAAAAGGGAAGGAGCTGGCCCTCTACCAGTGGATATCGCGGGGCAGGCTTTGCAGCCCTCTGCCCCTCATATACTGGGTCATACTCTGGGTAGCTGCTCCGTCTTTCATCAGGGTCTCAGCTGTGAGAATCTTAAGAGACTCTACAAACAGAACAAGGTTATGTTTGCAGGGCTGAGGGCCCTTATCTATGGAGAAAGATTGTTCTGGGTCGTGAATAAGTCTCAGGGTAGCCAGTCAGAGCCAAGGGTAACTGCTCAGAATAATACAGGCATTAAGGTAGAGTCTGTTTCCCTCTTTTTTTTTTTTTTTTTTTTTTTTTTTGGTTTTTCGAGACAGGGTTTCTCTGTGTAGCTTTGTGCCTTTCCTGGAACTCACTTGGTAGCCCAGGCTGGCCTCGAACTCACAGAGATCCGCCTGGCTCTGCCTCCCGAGTGCTGGGATTAAAGGCGTGCGCCACCACCGCCCGGCCTGTTTCCCTCTTATAGTGCCTTATGACTTATACACATACCCTAAGGTCAGGGAGGGCTGGCAAGTACAGCTACAATGCCTCAGTGCCTCCTCTAAGGAAGATGTTTCTGAACCAGACCCACTTCTTGTTTGCCAAAGCCAGAGTCTCCCTCAGATAGTTTTGATGGAAGTGTATGAATGTATGTAATGCTTTGTGGCCTCAACTGAATGCCTCCTGTGGGGAAAGGGATGGGGGTGTGACAGTCATCATCAGGGCCTGAGACCTGAGAGAATTGGCTGAATAAAGATTTCAGAATTTTTCTGGTTTTGGACTCTGTAGATGTGGGCCCACAGTCAGGGCAGCACCTAATGAGAACGACTGCCAACAGTGATTGACACACCCAGAGTGCATCCTTTCCACGGTCACAGTGGGACCAATGTTTAGGAGATGTATGCCTGTGGATTCAGGTATCTGTCAACACTGTGGGGCCTAGGTCATGGTGGAGACAAGAATAAACTACAGTTAGAGCACACGGAAACTATTTCTCTCACATAGCACCTCAGAGAAACCATAGCAATAACCCCTTCACCAAATAACTACGTGAATACAAAACAACAGTTCACATGCTACAGGGTACAGCTGCTAACAATTCTTGTTTTCCTGAAGTATGTTATCTGGTACATTTACAACACTTAATTTAACCTCAAATGTAGTCATAAGAAATTTGACCAAAAAGTTTTAAAAGATATTTTGGCCCCCTACATAGCTGCTCCCTCCTTTAATCCCAGCATTTAGGAGGCAGAAGCAGGTGGACATGAGTTTGAAGCCAGCCTGTTATACATAGCAAGTTCCAGGCCAGCTAAGGCTACATAGTGAGACCTTGTCTGAAAACGAAGACATTTAGCAAGTTCCTTAATTTCCTTTATGTGCAAAGGTAACAACTGCAAAGACACAGTTGTGAAAACAAGCTAAATGTATCCTAGCCTGAGGCAGGCCTAAAGTCCCTTTGGGTGGAGGGCTGACCTAATTGAGTATTGCCACTGGGCCCAAGTGTTGGGCGTCAGGGACTTTGGGACAATCATACCCGGCCCGACCTTAAAGTCCATAACAACACATTACCTCCGCTTTTAGGGGAGGGAGCCGTCCCAGCTGACCCTCGGGACCCAAAGCCTTCTGGGACCTGGAGGCAGCGCATCCTGGGGTGGTCATCCTCCGAGGGTGGCCATTGGCTCGGCCTTACAGACTGACGAGCTCCTTAGCCACTCAGAGGAAGCAGCGTGCGGGGCGTGCGGAAGCGGAAGTGAGGTTTCCGTGGAGACAGCAGAGCCTGCGGAAGGCGGCGGCGGCGGCGGCGGCACCTGTGAGTGGAGGCTGGGGCAGGGCATGGTCGCGCCCGGCGCGCTGTGAGAGCGGAGCGGCCGCTGGGTCCGCCATGCGCCCGCGGCGCTGACATGGGCGCCAGCGGCTCCAAAGCTCGGGGCCTCTGGCCCTTTGCCTCCACCACGGGGGGCGGCGGCCCTGAAGCGGCAGGCGCTGAGCAGTCTTTGGTGCGGTCTCGACCCCGAGCGGTGCCCCCCTTCGTATTCACGCGCCGCGGGTAAGGGCATGGGTATCTGTCTGCCTTGGGGAGGACATCGGGGAGCGGGAACGCCCCCCCTCCCGTTTCATTCAGGACGACTGTCATATTTTGGATCCCCATCAGAGCAAAGGGAGGGGAAAACCAAGTGGCGTGCCGCTCCTGACTGCCCAGAAGGTCTTTTTAGAGAAGAGTTGGCTGAGGCTTGTCCCTTGGGTAGAAGCTCTCCCATAATCCCGCAAAGACGGTCTCTGAGAGTCTTAAGATCTTCGTTTCATCCAGCTCAGCCTGCAAATTAAAGGCATTTAGGTACCTCTTATTCTTCTAAGCCTTAATCCAAGGGGAAATGACCTTCTGTTTAGGTGTCTTGCTCTCCCCACAGTTAAGTTGGACCTCTGAGAGGAGTGTCTGTTAAAGCAGAGCCAGGCTTCAGTGCTGAAGGTGAGGCCACCGAACAAAAGGCCTTCTCCCAGTTGGGTTCTCTAGACCTGGAGCACTAACCCTCTTTTTCCCCAGGGGCTCGCACAGAATGGCCTGGACCTAGTGGACTCCTAGGGACTAACACTCCCTGTAATGGGAATTTGACAGTAAACACCAGAAAGACCCAACCAACAGCGTGGATTAGGCCGTACCAACCAGTTGGGAATGAGCGGGAGTTGAGTGCAGCCTTCCTGGCTCAAACATCCATGATCTTGGTCTTTGGCCATGAACTAGCAGTCTTTAGAAGTGAGACCAGTATGCCCAGGCCACTACCCTCCCCACTTTATAAGCTCTAGGTGAAGGGCCTGCTACTGGATAGTTACCCTTGAGGAACAGACCAGCGATAGGAATTGGCTTTGGTTGCCTAAACAGTGTGCTCTGAGAAGACCTCCTGTGAGTGTGATAGTAACGGTGACATTGCTGACCTTTCCACTTTTCTATGGCTCCAAGCACCAAGCAAAGAGCCCTTCAGGCATACTAACTATTCTTCCCCCAAGATTAAGATTGTGCCTCTTCATTTGTGGTTCAGCACACTTCCCTGTGGTCTGTGGCATTTGCCATGACCAGGTGTGAGGCTCCAACCCAGCCTGTTTCCTTTTCTACACAGCTCCATGTTCTATGATGAAGATGGGGATCTGGCTCACGAGTTCTATGAGGAGACAATCGTCACCAAGAATGGGCAGAAGCGAGCCAAGCTGAGGCGGGTACATAAGAATCTGATTCCTCAGGTGAGGGGCTGGGCAGTGGCACAACCTCCATCAGTGTGTCAACATGGATGTAGATGGGGCTCCCTGGGGGAGGGGCTGGGAAGGCTGCTAGCATAGAGGCCTGAGCTGATCTTCACTAGCCTCTGTTTCCATGGCAGGGCATCGTGAAGCTGGATCCCCCCCGAATCCACGTGGATTTCCCTGTGATCCTCTATGAAATGTGAGCCTGTGGCATGGCAGACACAAGCACCCACTGCCCCAGCAAGAAACTCCCAGGCTCAAGGTGTAGCTTCCATTCAGGAGTCCAGGCTGGTGCCACAACCCTGAATAAACTAAACTCCGTTGGCCCAGAACCTTCAGTTGTAAAAGGGGCAGTCCCTCAGTGTTAACTGGTGTTGGTTTATGTCTGAACAATAAGTGGTTGGTGGCTGGTGAGGGCTCGTGGCAGAATCGCCAGCCCATTGCCCAGCCACTTGTGCAAGAAGCATGGCGGGGCTTATGCTGGTCAGGAAAGCCTGGCTCCTCGATCCTTGCCCGACCTGCTTTCTTCCAAGCTTGCCTAGGGCCCAGCCCTCCTAGAAGCTACAGCACTTTACAAGCAGAGTCTGCCTTCTTCCAGCCCCTGGGCTCTAGGGGCTGTACCCAAGTGGGAACTTCCTTCCCTCACTTCCCGTACCCCTAGTCAGAGCATTTCAGCCGTTTGCTACCTCGATTCCCCCTGTATTGGACAGAGACTGGGGATAGGACCAGCCTCAGTCTTCCTGCCTACCTGCCATTTGTTCCCACTCTAAGATGGACAGTTTGCTGGCCGTTAAATAGGATGGGGACCAGTGTAGGAGGCTTCTCCTATCACCCAGAGCTGGACTGATCTCTCTTGATTTCCACCAGTTGCCCTCCCCCAAGTTGAGAGGGTGCAGGCCGGGGTCAGGACAGGCCGTGGATGCCTGTGCCTGTGGGGACTTGCCCCAAACCACATATTCCATATTCTGTCTAACCTCCCTCGTCTTTGCACCAGTCCCACCCATCCCCAGCTGTGGGGGAGGGGCTGTCCACCACCCAGCGGTAAGAAGCCACACACATATACACACACACACACACACACACACACACACACACACACACACACACACCCGGGGCTGGTGCCAGTAGCTATGAGGAGCCCATCACCCTTTCTACAGAATCTTCACCTCTTCAGGGTCAGTTAAGGGAAAGTACTGGAGCTCCTTGGTAAGGATCAGAAGAAGGGAAAAATACAGAAAAGGGGTAATTAAAATGTGAAGGTTTGTAAATAGTCTAGACAATGATAATGTTGGGGCAGAGTCTGATTTCTATATAGAGGTGGCTTTTAAAACAAAATCCTTATTTGTGGAAGCTCCGGGCTTCTAGATTGTGGGAAATGGCTTGGGGAGGGTGGCTTCCTTCCCCAGCATAGGAAGACTGTTGTGTTATTCGTTCAATTTCAATAAAATTATGTGTAGACCCTGCACATCAGAGTGCCTTCCAGTGAAGCTTCAACACCCAGTGTCTAGACTACCACTTGAGCTGATTAGGTAGGCCCCTGGCCCTGGGCTCTGCCAGGCTGGCAAGCCCCCTCTAGGAGCCAATGGTAAGTCTGAACATCGCCTGTAGCAATACCAGCCATGGCCAACAGGTGGCTGTGTTCACACACCATCTCCAGCCCTCTCAAGATCCTGGGAGTGGCTCACCTGTCTTGTTGGGACTCTGGAATCAGGTCTTGAAACACTTGTGGAGATTTGCTCAGCTGCCTTGCCTAAGGGGTGAGTGTGACCAAACTTGTGGGATAGTTCTAGTCCCAAGAGTATCATATTATCTCAAGTGAGGTTAAAGCTCAAGCCCCATGGACCTCAGAGTGCCAGCTATAGCTAAACAGCAACCAGACACTTCCCACCATGCCCTTGGCCTCCTACCAGGCCCTGGAGCCCACACTCACCTGCCTCTTCCCAGTTAGCCATGGGTCAGATGAGCTCAGGCTTCTGCTGCAGCTTCTGTTGTAAGGCTCTGTCGACCCAGTCCTTCCTCAGCTCTCTGCCGCCAGGGCACACTCTGCCTACACTTCTAGGGTATGCTGTGAGCAGGTTCTCTGCTAGGCCTAGCCTTTGGCCATAAGCTCGAGAACTTCCAATTAAGAAGGAGGAATTCATCAGCCCAGGGTCAGGGCAGTCTCTAGGAGGATCACCCTGGGTAGCCTAGACTCCCAGTTCTGTGGACTGATTTCCATCCCCTGTAATAAGCCAGGCTTAAGGCCCCTTGTTCAGGGCCTCCTGTTCAGGGGCCAAGACTCCCCATATCAGACAGTATCCTATCTCCTCCACCACCATCCTGCCTGGGGGAACTCCCTGTTCTGGACCTGCTTAGCTGACCCCAAAGCTATAAACAATAGAGGCGTCAGGGCAGTGTTTCCCCACTCCATCCCATCCGGCTGGGCTGTGCTCACTTCCTTCCTGCTGGCTGCCTAAGGAAGTGTCCCTGCCCTGGACAGTCTGGCCTGGCCTTTGTTTTCCCCGGGGGTCCCCACCCTTGGTGCTTCCTAGACTTTTGTCCCTTAGGAAGCCAACACAGCGGTTCAGGGGTGCTCCTGGGGAGTACCGCAGCCTAGGCTATACACCCAGCTGCCATACAGCTTTTTATTAGAAGAGGGACTCCCTAGCACTGGGGAGGTGAGCCACTGGGGTTCTGCAGGGTGGTTGGTTCAGGGTGGTTTGAGAGCAGGCAAGTTTGTGTGTACTTCCAGAGAGGTCGGGTGGGAGGGACCCTGCTAGTCTTCAGGGGTTCCTATTGTGAGCTCCCTCTCCAGCAGGGACACACTTGAGTGTAAGAAGCCTCTTACCCCATAGAGCCTCCTAGGCCCTGCCCACCCCCTACTCCCATATCACACAGGCACAGGCATCATCAACACATTGTCACATTGTCTTCTTGGTCATACTTCAGATACTTCCGCTCTCAAGGGAAAAAAAATTGACTCAGTTACTGGAAGACCCCACCCCACCCAGGTCTCCCCCTCACAGGAGATGGTTTCCTTCTTTGGCACCTGCCCTAGGGGATCATTAGCTAAACAACCCAGCAAACAGTGTGACTCCCATGAATACGCCCCTTGGTGTCCGTCTGTGTGTCCGTCCGTCCCCTCCCACTACTGGATTTGACGATGATTGAAACTTCAAGGAGATGAGCGCCTGACCCTAGGCCCATATCCTTCCTGTCACCTGCCACAACTCCTGGGTCCAGATCCTACTCAGAGAAGGGTGAAGAGGGCAGCCATCCAGCAAGGGAAACAGGGTCAAGGGGCTCTCCTCCCCGCCCCTGTTCCTGTCCCTTTCCGCCCAGAGGGGCAGCAGGAAGTGAGGAGAAAGGGCAGGGATGGGAGGCGGGAGTGGGTGGGAAGGAATGGGGTTTATCAAATCCCCAGCAGGCTGCCCAGAGGGCAGCAGCTGGTGCAAGTAGCCTGGCTGGAGAAACCCACCTCAGCAAGAAGGGAGGCCGCCGACCTACTGGGCCGACGGACTCCCACTACAGGTGAGCCCAGAGAAGACCATGTAAAGCTGATCCTAGCGCTGCTATCGATGCGCTTGGCGCTCCCTAGCTTTCAGGCGTGCGGGCGGGAAAGGGGCTGGCGGCTAGATGCGGGCTTTCGGGGAGTCGAGTCGTGCGTGGAGAGCACGAGACGAGGGAACAGCTCTAAGCCTACTCCCTATCAGAAGGGGATTGCAAGGCAGAAGGGTTCAGAAGATGGAAGAGAGGCACCTGGGGAGCCTCTGCAGCCTACTTTCCACAAAGGCCGGCCTGAAACTTGTGTGAATTGCACTTTACTTGGAGTTGGGTGAGAGTCCCCCTATGGACAACCATCCCACCTTCACCTCGTCGCAGAGACTGGACCCGAGAGAATCCAGCGGATTGGCCTGCCCTGGTGTGGATCCGGAGAAAGCGGGTAGACCACTCTCCTCTTAGGCCAGGCTGAACCTCAGCCCCTCTGGCGACTCAGCGACCTACCCCTGGTTACCAGGACAACGGCTGGGTCGGCTTTGCCAGCGGAGGCTCAGAGGCCTTACTAGGCCCCCTCCTCTGGACAGGCAAGGGGCGGGGCTTCCCTCTGACCACAAACTAGCGTAGGGAATCTAGGATCGGAGAAGGCGGATCATTAATGTCCCAAGAGGCTCCGAGCCACTCAGGTCAAAATCTCTTACACTACGCAAAGGGCCCACACTGCTAGAGTCCAAATCCAGGCATGTGGGACTGACTTCGCAGCTACCCCTAGTTAAGGCCTCGGCCATAAGCCTTTATTCCACATGCCGCCACCACCCCCTCCGCGCGCGCCTGCCCGCCCCATCTAGTACTCTGTCCCTTTAAGAGGCCGGCGGCACAGAGTGGATTGGTCCACTGGAGACAGACTGTGGGGGTGCGATCTCAGGCTGGTTTGCTCTCGCGACTGAGACTCTAGCGGGGATCCCGATCCCAAGACGTATTAGATCTCAGAGAGATGACTATGTTCCTCTACAGAAGATCTGAGGGTCCTCGAACTCGAAACGCAACACTGGAAGAAAGGAAGGCGAAAACACCCTCCCCACGAGGCCGCAAATCCTGCCATCGGCCCACCTCCGAGGCTAGATTCTTAAAAGGCCCGCGGGCCTCGGGGCGGAGCCAGCAGAGGCTGGAGCTGGGGCAGTGCTTGGGCGAAGGGCCGGAGCGGGCTTGGCTGGTACCAGGATGGCGGCGGCCCTGGCGTGGGTTCTGGTGGCGCCTGGTGCGAGGTGAGGGCGGGCGTTGCAAGCCTGGTGACTCTCTCTCCCTGTGAGCTGGGCTCTGAATCTCTAGGGGAGCCTTCATAAATGACCCAGGAACCCCCCCCCCCGGGGTGAACTCTGGCCCCACGTGCGGGGCGGGGGCGGGGTCCCGCACAAAGACCAGGAGGAATACCCTCCACTCGGGACCCCTTGTGCTGGGAAGTGAAGATGTAGGCTGGTCGCGAGGGCTCGCACAGATTCTCGGTGGCTGTGGCGAGCCCCGCGGAGCGGAGTCCGCTGCCCCTTTGTCCCCCGGGCGCCTACTCCAAGCCAAGGACAGTGTCGGTGCCCAAGACTTAAGTCCTAACAGCCTCACTCTTGTGCTTGGAACATGGTTGCACGGATCTCAGTTCTTCTGCAGTGTTGATAAAAGCGTCTCAGCTTCTGTATGCATTGTGCCCAAATGCTGTCCCTTCTCTGAATCGAGAGTTTTTAATGTGGGGTGGGGGCCTGCAGGGTGGAGCTTGGGTTCACGGTGTTCTAAAACAATGTGCTGTGTGGTATATAGGCGTGTAAGTGACTCTGGCTGTGAGTCTGTAGCCTAATTCGTCCCGTTTTCAGAAGGGACACAGACCCAAAGGAGACTCTTGCCCAGCCACAGGTAGCTCCAGAAAGGACTCTGGTTTTGGTAGAGTCCCTAGGGTCTCTTGCCTACCCTTCAGTAGGCTGCTAACTCTCAAACCTGTTTGTTACAGGCTTGGCAGTCTGAGCAGGAACGTGGTGTGCGGCACAGTATGTGTTTGGGGGGTGTGGATGGGATTAAGGCGCTCATCTCTGGAGTTCTCTAGACTAATTTGTTCTCTCCCCACACTTCCTTCAGTTCCTGAGCTGCTCCCAGGCAGGTGACACTTGCTGTAGCCCCCAGCATGCGGGCAGGACTGGGTCCCATCATCACACTGGCCCTAGTGCTGGAGGTAACATGGGCCGTGGAGCTTAAGCCCACAGTACAACCCATCTTCACTGGCCGACCCTTTGTGGTAGCATGGAATGTGCCCACACAAGAATGTGCCCCACGCCACAAAGTGCCACTGGACCTTAGGGCCTTCGATGTGGAGGCCTCACCTAATGAGGGTTTTGTCAACCAGAATATCACCACCTTCTACTACGACCGCCTAGGCCTGTATCCACGTTTCGATGCAGCTGGGATGTCTGTGCATGGTGGTGTGCCTCAGAACGGTAGCCTCTGTGCACACCTGCCCATGCTGAAGGAATCTGTGGAGCGCTACATTCACACCCAGGAACCTGGGGGGCTGGCGGTCATTGACTGGGAGGAATGGAGGCCTGTATGGGTGCGAAACTGGCAGGAAAAGGATGTGTACCGACAGTCTTCGCGCCAGCTGGTGGCCAGTCGACACCCTGACTGGCCAACAGACCGAATAGTGAAGCAGGCACAGTATGAGTTTGAGTTCGCTGCTCGGCAGTTCATGTTGAATACGCTACGTTACGTCAAGGCAGTCAGACCTCAGCACCTCTGGGGCTTCTACCTCTTCCCCGACTGCTACAATCATGATTACGTACAGAACCGGGAGAGCTACACAGGCCGCTGTCCTGACGTGGAAGTGGCGCGCAATGACCAGCTGGCCTGGCTCTGGGCGGAGAGCACAGCTCTCTTTCCCTCTGTGTACCTGGATGAGTCACTGGCCTCCTCCGTACACAGCCGCCACTTTGTCAGTTTCCGTGTTCAGGAGGCCCTGCGTGTGGCTCACACCCACCATGCACACCACGCTCTCCCGGTGTACGTCTTCACCCGCCCCACGTACACCCGAGGACTCAAAGGACTTAGTCAGGTATGTACGTGTTCCAGGGCGCCGCCTCTGCCTTCCTCCGGGAGCCACTGCATGCTTGGGTTGCCGGGGCAGACATACTAGAGTGTGCTGCCTGTTCCACATCTCTGAATCCTGTGGAAGGGTGATGTCATCCGCATTCTGTAGATAAGACTGAGGTCCAGAGAATTAGCCCGGAGCCTCTAGAAAGTCCGTGAAAAGTGCACAGAATTCAAGCCAAGCATCCTGACTTTGGAGTCAGAATGTGTGCCCTTGCCGTTGTGGGCTGATATGTGGTGCTCGTGGCTTTGGAGACGAAGGTTCCACATGAGGGTGGAAACGGCTTAAACGGGAAACCAAAGCAGCCCCTGCCTGGAGGCACACAGGGGAAGGCCTCACTATGGTCAGCAGGTTAGGCCAGGTCTGCCCCTCTTTTCCTGTCTGGTGTCCGTCCCCCTCAGTAATCATCCCTTCCCACACAGATGGACCTCATCTCTACCATCGGTGAGAGTGCAGCCCTGGGCTCAGCTGGTGTCATTTTCTGGGGCGACTCAGTGTATGCTTCAAGTATGGTAAGGGAGGCCTCCCCAACCTGCCAAACTGGGGGGAAATTTATACTCTGACTTCCACACTCACCTTGGTATACAGACTGAGTCCAGCTTGTCTGTCGCCTAAGCATGGAGGCTTTGCCCCTGAACCCAACAGAGAAGAAGGGAACCCCCCCACACCCTGTTTCCAGGAAGAGGAAATGCTGTCCTGAACAGCTGGAGTTCCATCCTTCCTCATCTGCACAGCTGGGTTCCAGTCTGTCCCCACCACACTTCTCACTAGGGACAGGGGACTGGAACTGTGTATATGATGTGTGCATATGTATACAGATAAGTGTGCCAAGGATGAGGTTCAGTAAGAGCACTTGTCTAGTCTAGGATTCCAACTCCACTACTGCCAAAAGAGGTGTTGTCACCGTAGTGTAGACAGTTTCTGTCAGGGCTTTGGGCTGAGGCAGCTAACATCAGATGCTTACCTGTTAATCTTGGCCTCTTCCTCCAGGAGACCTGCCAGTACCTCAAGAATTACCTAACACAGCTGCTGGTCCCCTACGTAGTCAATGTGTCCTGGGCCACCCAGTACTGCAGTTGGACCCAGTGCCATGGCCATGGGCGCTGTGTGCGCCGCAACCCCAGCGCCAATACCTTCCTGCACCTCAGTGCCAGCAGCTTCCGCCTAGTGCCTGGCCGTACACCTAATGAACCCCAGCTTCGACCTGAGGGGGAGCTCAGCGATGCCGACCTCAGCTACCTGAAGACGCACTTTCGCTGCCAGTGCTATTTAGGCTGGGGTGGTGAGCAATGCCAATGGGACCATAAGCAGGCGGCTAGAAGTGACAGTAGAGCTTGGGCTGGGTCCCACGTCACCAGTCTGCTGGCTTTGGTAGCCATGGCCTTTACCTGGACCTCATAAGGGGGGTCTCTCCCCCCTCCCCCCCACTCCGGGATATCAGTCCAGCTGGCCTCTGGCACAAGGATCTGGGCATGAGAAGCCTGTTAGAGGGTAGACAAATGAATCTGGGGAGGGCAGAGCCCCTTGGATGCCTAGCAGGCATCCATCCCAGCTGTCACCCCCCTGTTCTAAGGGGGAGAGAAGAATCCTCTCATCTTGCCAGAGAAGAAGGAGGATACAGCTAGGCCAGGGAAGGCCTGACTACTCCCCTGCTCCTGGATAGTTTATAATTTTGGGGTCTCTTTTGTAAATTAAATATAAAACAACTTCTGTGCTTGGTTTTTCTCCTTCTGGGCTAGTGTGTGCAAGAGAGCCCAGGGTTGTCCATGAGGTTAAGCTCAGCTCTTTGAATCCCTCAGCTGTGTGTTGGCTCGGGCCTAAGGAGGCAGAGCTGCCTACCCGACGCCTCTGCTGAGGCAGGACCCACTAGAGGAGGATTTACACTCTCCCCTAACGCCAATCTCACTTTATCTTGATTGGAATGGAGTTGGGCCCACCATTGTGCGACCGATAAAGCCAGTTGTGTATCTGCGCCTCTCCCCGAAACCCCAGGCTGGGCCAACACCAGCTTTCTTACCTCAGCCACCCTCGGAGAAAGGGGAAGTGTTGCTCAATCTTCCCGGATGTTCCTATAGACAAGGGCATTTCTGTTCCCAAGGGCAGTGGGCTCTTGTCACGTGCCCCTCTCGCCATCTGCGCCACAGCCTTCCCTTGGGTCTGAGATGTCAATCTTCAGCGTCAGTCCCTGTCACCATGTGGATGCATGATGGAGCTGTTGGGAACTATTCTGCTCTGGGGAGCAGGGTCCTCCCCACAGGTCAGCTTTGGAGCCAGGACATGAAAATATATAAGTTCAGTGGTAGAGCACTTGCCTAGCATGTGTGAAAGCCCTGGGATTGAGCACTAGCACCATATATATACATGGGAATGAAAAACCACTCCTGCCCATGGGACAAACAGAGTGTCAGTGATGACTCAGCCCTGCCCTCAAACTTTGTGGCTCTACAAGCGTTCCCACGATTAGCTTGCACTAGGTCCTGAGTTCACTCACGAGAACCAGAAAGTGAGTGAGAACAGCCAACAACCATGTTGAGATTTGAAAGGGATGTGGAGGAACCAGGTGATGACATATACCTATTGTAATCCCTGTAACTTGGGAGGTAAAGGCAGGAAGATCAGGAGTTTAAGCCCAGCCTTGGCTAGGAGGCCAGCCTGAGCTATATGGGTATAGCTCGGGTATATATCTTTTTTTTTTGCGGGTATGTATCTTTAAAAGAGGAGTCTGCCGCCGGGCGGTGGTGGCGCACGCCTTTAATCCCAGCACTCGGGAGGCAGAGGCAGGCGGATCTCTGTGAGTTCGAGGCCAGCCTGGTCTACGGCGCGAGATCCAGGAAAGGCGCAAAGCTACACAGAGAAACCCTGTCTCGAAAAACCAAAAAAAAAAAAAAAAGAGGAGTCTGCCAGTGGTGGCTCACGCTTTTAATCCCAGCACTTGAGAGGCAGAGGCAGGTGAATCACTGTGAGTTCAAGGCCAGCCTGGTCTACAAAGTGAGTTAGTTCCAGGACAGCCAAGGCTACATGGAGAAACCCTGTCTTGGGGAAAAAAAAAAAAAGCCAGGAATAGGGCTCAGTGGGTAAAAGGCATTTGCCGTCAAGCCTGACGATCAAGTTTGATCCCTGGTACAAAACTGACCCCCTAGAATTGTCCTCTGACCTCCATACACACCTTGTGGCACCCATGAGCACACATAAATAAACAAACAAACAAAACCTTTAAAAAATTGTGAGATCCTCGAAAAACCAAAAAAAAAAAAAAAAAAAAAAAATTGTGAGACAAGAGTCTCAATATGCAGCCCTGGCTAGCTTAGCACTCACTATGTAGATGAGGCTGGTCTTGAACTCACAGAGATCCACCTGCCTCGACCTCCTATGCACTGGGATTACATGCATGTGCCACCATCCAGACTTACTAATTTTAAAATCTGAAGAAAGAAGAAAGACCAAAAATAATGGAGTTCAACAAAGGAGGGCAAAGACTAGGGAAACTCCCGTCTCCTCCACACCTGTGATTTCCAGCACATGGGGACGGGTGCTGAGAACTGAATTCCAGGCCTCTGGAAGAGCAGCAAGTGTTCTTAACCACGGACCATTCTCCAGATCAATATATATATATATGACAGGCAGTGGTGGTGCCCCCCTTTAATCCCAGCACTTGGGAGGCAGAAGCAGGCAAATCTTTATGAGTTCAAGGCCAGCCTGGTCTACAGAGGGAGTTCCAGGACAGCCAAAGCTACACAGAGAAACCCTGTCTCGAAAAACCAAAGGAAAAAACAATTTGTATATATATTAGAAAGTCACAAGATTCATGAGCCCCCTCTCCAAAACTGAAAAGCAGTAAATCATTGCTGGAGAGAGGAGCTACCTACAAGCTGGCAAGCTTTTCCATGGAAGCAGCTTTTGTATTGTTCCCTGTGCCAGGGTGGACCGTGTGGTGGTACAGCTGTCTTTGAGTCACCCGTCCGTGCTGCTTCTCTAGCCCCTCTTGTTCCTCCTGTAATGTAATGACAAAACTCATGGACTCAGCACAGCAGACTTGGACAGAATTGTTCTTCGGTCTGTTGTCAGTACCCTATCTGAGATGAACAGAAGTTTGTTCACACTCCCTTAGAAAAAGTCATGCCACACCAAAGATGACCAGAACTGCCCTGAGGGGTAGGGGAAGGGTCAGGGTAGGAAGGTGGGGTTGCTCAATGCCCCTATGGTAGCCTTATCGTGAATGCCAATGCTCAGTGGCCACCAGGAAAGAGGTTTAGTGGTTCAGGACCAGATACAGCTGTAGGCCCAGACAGCATTTCACCCTGGGCAGGGCCATGTCCTCTCCTCTCTTACTTTCCCAATCCTTGCAGGCAAGCCTGGGCCTGAGCACCGAGCAGATCAGACTAACCAGCCTATGATTCAGTGAACTGGTAAAACTACAAACGCATGAGCACACATTACTTTTGCATGTACTCACTAACAGATCTCTACTAATTCCCACAGTCATGCAAATACAGGGTCTCGTGGTCACAGAACCGCAAGGTCTATCACACATGATCCCAGGCACTGAGTCCCCACATTTGAATGTATAAACCTTGGGAATTTGGGCAGTGGCCCAGTTACCAACCAGAGCTTCACAAAGACAATCTGACCCAGAGTATACAAAGGGTGATACCACACCACAACTTCATGAACACAGAACCTCCCAGAAACAGGGACCGGTTACCCATTAGGCATGGCAGGCAGACAGGGCTTAGAGCCACCATACTTCTAGGAACCCACAAAAGTTTCTTTGTTTGGCTTGTGTACGTGTTCGTGTGCGTGTGCGTGTGCGTGTGCGTGTGTGTGTGTGTGTGTGTGTGTGTGTGTGTATGCATATGTGTGGTATAAAGGCCCAAAGTTAATTTGGAATGTATTTCTCTACTGCTCTCCACTGTTTTTAACTAGCATTTTACATGCATTTGTACTTACATGTGGGCATGTGGATGCCATGGTACGTGGGTGGCAGTCAGAAGACAGCTTGTGGAAGTTAGTTCTGCCAAGTGTGCTCCAGGGATTGAACTCGGGTCATCAGGCTTGGCTGCAGGTGCTCTTACTGGCTGAGCCATCTCACTAGGCAATCTTATATTTGAAAATGCCTTTTTAAAGAGCTAAGGATATAGCTCAGCGATGGAACATTTGGCTAGCAAGCATGAAGCCCTGGGTCCTATTCCCAGCACTGGAGAGAGAGAGAGAGAGAGAGAGAGAGAGAGAGAGAGAGAACAAAACAACTTGTTTTAATGAAGGAGGGACCCACAAAGGCAAAAGTGCCTGGAGCAGTGGTGTGGAGAAAGTACTCTATAATCATATAGTCCTCAGGGACCACACTGCAGGACCACACATTTGCTTGACCGGTTGATTAAGTCTGCCTCCAGCCCCAAGGGGGACACAAAGCCCTCCCCAAGTGCAGTCTGAGTGGGAGAGGCTGTTGCTAGTCCAGCCCCTCCCACCCATGCAAAGGCCAGCCTATAAACTGGGTGGGGTGACTATCTACAAAAACTCAGAATTTCCCCGAAGCAGCAGCTGCAGCAGCTTCTCCAAGTTGCTGCAACTAGGGCCAGTTTACGGAATTCAGCCAAGCCATGCTTGCGCTTACACAGCATGGTCAGGAAGTTTGGAGAATGAAGCCCTTCAGTCCTGAGGTCAGCAGGGACAAGTGGGCTGCTGGAGGGTTTCCAGGGCTGGGTTCTTGGTCACTTGAGCATCCCTTTTCCCAGCGGCTGCCAGGATTTCTGGTGTTACAAAAACGGAATGGCCTCCCTTAGTCATTACATCGGCCTGGAACTGAGGGCCCGGCTCTCAGGTCCTCTTTCAGAACAAATGGGATGGTTCCTCTGGCCCTTCAGGGAAAGGGTGGGTAAGATGAGGCCAAGGCAAAGCCTGGGGGAAGCAGATGGCAGGGTCCTGTCCACAGAGATGTCTCACTTGTACTTTTCATGGCCATGCTCCTCGCCAAGCCTCTGCTCTGCTCTCTCTGACTCGCTGAGCCCTGCAGGTCAATGTTCAGCTAATACCACACCCGGGACAAATTTCTGAGGAATGGGCGAGGCGCAGCTACTTCAAGCAGGGTTCAGAAAGTTTGATATATGCCTTTAACTCTGCCTCCTTTGGTCAGGCTTCCTCAGACCTACCCCGTGCCACTGCAGCCCACCTGCTTTACATCTACACTCTCTTCCTGAGCTTGCTCAACTTGGTCCAAGGCTCCAGAGGTTCCATGGTACCCAACAAGCCGTTCATCACTATTTGGAATGGGGACACTTACGACTGCCTGAAGAGTTATGGAGTGGATGTGGATGTCAGTGTGTTTGATGTGATTGCCAACAAGGAGCAGATATTCCAAGGCCCTAACATGACTATTTTCTACAGCTGGCAGCTGGGCACCTACCCCTACTATACATCCACCGGGGAACCCATATTTGGTGGCCTGCCCCAGAATGCCAGCCTGGTTACCCACCTCACTCGTGCATTCCAGGACTTCAAGGCTGCCATACCTGAACCTGACTTCTCAGGACTGGCAGTCATTGATTGGGAGGCATGGCGCCCACGATGGGCCTTTAACTGGGACAGCAAGGACATTTATCGGCAGCGCTCAATGGCACTGGTCCAGGCAGAGCACCCTGACTGGCCCAAAACTTCAGTGGAGACTGTAGCCCAGGACCAGTTCCAGGAAGCTGCAGAGGCCTGGATGGCAGGTACCCTCCAGCTGGGGCAGGTACTGCGTCCGCATGGCCTCTGGGGCTACTATGGCTTCCCTGACTGCTACAACCATGACTTTCTAAGTCCCAATTACACAGGCCAGTGCTCCACAGAAATCCGTGACCAAAATGACAAGCTAGAGTGGTTGTGGAACCAGAGCTCTGCCCTCTATCCCAGTGTCTACTTGCCCGCAGCACTGATGGGCACAGGGAAGTCACAGCTGTATGTTCGACACCGTGTGCAAGAGGCATTCCGTGTAGCCACAGCTTCCAGAGACCCCCATGTGCCCATCCTGCCCTACGTCCAGATCTTCTATGAAATGACGGATCATCTTGTGTCCCTGGTGAGTGCTGTGTGACCTTGTCTACCTTATCAGCCTTCCTTGTTAGGTAATAAGGTAACAGGTCCAACAGCTGAGTCCACATAGCTGCAGGGTACTACTCTCTTGTTTTGTGGGGGGTGGGTCTTGGGAACTCAGGGCCTTGTACAAATGCTTTCCTACTGCCTTAAATACCCTGGTACTTTGTCCATTCATTCCCACATACAGGCAGCATCTACTTTGTGCCAAGTTCTGTGTGAAGCTTGGGTGATTCAGAATTTAATAGAAAAATTAGTTCCTGTCTATTTACAGGCTAGACAGAGAACAGGCTCGGCCCTGGCCACCAACGCTAGAGCAGCCTCAGGTGAAGGTTACAGATTATTTGTCCCATCCAGTGATGTCACAGCAGTTCCCACAGGCAGGAAGGACAGTAGGTCCTGTAGAACTAAGCAGTCTGCTTCTCAGGAGGAGCTGGGGCACAGCCTGGGGGAGAGCGCGGCCCAGGGAGCAGCTGGAGTGGTGGTCTGGGTGAGCTCCGAAGAAACAAAAACCAAGGTAAGTCGCGGCCTGGGAGGAGGGGGAGGGATGAGGAGAAACTGGCCTACTCTTTGTACTCCTGAAGTCCTGGCTAAGCAAAAGTAAGTACCGCTTGCCTGTAAGGAAGGACTAAGTGGGCTCATCCAAGGCTGTGGTCACTTATGCTCTCCTCCCCACTCAGGAATCATGCCAGGTCATTAAAGAGTACATGGACTCCACACTTGGGCCCTTCATCGTGAACGTGACCGGCGCGGCTCTTCTCTGCAGTGAAGCTCTGTGTTCCAGCCATGGCCGCTGTGCCCGCCATCCCAGTTACCCTGAGGCCCTGCTCACCCTCAACCCTGCCAGTTTTTCTATTCAGCGAACACATGATGGCAGGCCCCCAAGCCTCAAGGGTACCCTCTCACTTAAGGATCAGGCCCAGATGGCTATGAAATTCAAGTGTCGATGCTACCGTGGATGGCATGGAAAGTGGTGTGAGAAGCAGGGTATGTAGTGATTAGCTGTACCAGACTGCACACACTAAACACCTAACATACCCTGGGCCTACCTATGACTTCCTCAAATACAGTCACACGCACACAAGTCACAGTCAGGAATACACTCAGCCACTGTCATGGTCATATGCACACAGGCACACTCATAGGGGTAGTCACAGAGTGAGTCAGAATTAAGGGCAAGCACTATCAATTCTGTGCCTATAAGGACCTACTTGGCAGGCAGGCAGGATCATGGGCAAGTCCTTCAGAATCTATGAGTGAGCCGTCACCAAAGCTGACACTTGCCATATGTCTGCACTGTTAGCACTAAAAGTGGACGAACTCAGTCTCCACACCTCAAGACGTGCAGGGAGGGTGAATACTTTTATTTACTTATTTTTTGCTGTGCTGGAAATTGAACTTAGGACCTCACACATGCTAGGCAAGTAAGTGCTCTACCACTAAGCTATATTCCTAGCCACTGAGGGTGAGTACTCTTTGTCCAGTGTTGCCCAGCAAGAAGAGACAAGCAAGGCCAGGCATGATGATGCACACCTGTAATCCCAGCACTCAGGAGGCAGAGGCAGGAGTCTCCCTGTGAGTTCAAGGACAACCTGGTCTACATATTAAGCTCCAGGACAGCCAGGACACTGTCTCAAAAGAAAACAAAACCAAGAGAGATGCATATTGAAATCTAGGTTATCTGGCTCCAAAGATGGAACCTTGCACACCTACTGTGTGTTGATGGTGCCCTAAGTGAGCTGGGAAAACACAATAACACCACTCTACAGGATCCCTGAATCTGATGAGAGACAGGAGCACTGCTCAACCCAGCAAACAGAGCTATCATATTTTACTTAGCTGTTTAATTAGCTCCTAAAATAGGCAGGCCTCAGAACCCAGAGAGCACTTCGGAGGCTCGTTTCTTTCACCCAAGTGCGTGGTCTAAAGACCGCTGCTTCCCATGATCAGGAGGAAATTCCTCTGATGTACTAGGGCTGGAGACGCTGCCAGAGCTGAGACAAGACGAAATTCCATTACTTTGAACCTGGGGCGGGGAGAGGTGCAGGCGGAGCCAAACCCAGGCAAGCTGCTAGAAGCCAGAGGCCGGGCCCGCAAGGGGCCGGGCCAAGAGGAGGCGGAGCCATCGGGAGGAAGCTTCTGGCCTAGCCGCCGCCGGAAGGGAAGGAGCCAGGGAACATAATGGGCCTGCACTGGTTCTGTTGTGACGCTCAGAACCAGGGGCGGGGTGTCTAGGTGGTGGCGTTCCGGGCACGGAGGACTTAGAAGGAGGTGCGCCGTCGCCTGCGAAGACTGCTGTGTGTCCTCCGTACTGCTGGGACCAGCGTAGGCAGACCGAGGAATCGGAGCCAGAGACAGCGAGATACCGAAACGTGCGCAGGCTGGACGCGGACCATCCCGGAACTCGGCTTTAACATGTCAGTATCACCCTCACTTCTCACACGTTGCCCATCAATCCTCCCCACGCCCGTGGTCCCTAAGTCACCATGTCGCCCCTCAAGTCTTACCAGCGTTGGCCCTTCCCTCCTAGAGCGTGCTGAGCCACACCCACCTATAATCAATCAAAACCCCCACTCCCCCCGGAAGATCCATGGCCTGTGTACCACAGAGGGCAGGTGCAGACCCTCTCTGAATACCCGGAGCTCCGCTCAACCTATAGTGTTGGGGCCCGCAATGAAGGAGTTAAGCCGGTCTGGGGAACCCTGGGGTTCTGGGCTAGGGGCGGACCCTGAGGTTCCTCCTTTCAGACCTTAGCAGCCTAGGAGCTGGGAGAAGGTGCTGCTTCTCCTGAACTGACTGATGCAGGTAAGGGGCTTAAAGCCCGGCGTGTGGGATTTGTGTGAGGGGTGTGAGAACTGCCCGTCTTCAGGCTCAGAGAAAGTTGGGAAGGGGAATCTGGAGGCACTTTATGGAGCAAATGAGTAGAGTGGGACTCAGCTGCCCACCCACTACAAGAAACCCTCCAGTATAGCTCCTCCTTCCAGCCGAACCTAAAATAAGGTGGGTAAACAATGAGGTTTGAGCATGGAGGCCTGGGTCCCCAACCTGGTGGCCGTTGGGCACCTGTAGATTTAGGAAGGAAGCCATGGTCCTTATCAGGGTAACTGAAACTCAGGCCAGAGGGCAAGCAGGCTTGCAAAAGCCACATTCTGTGCTGCGATGGGCCAGGCTCCGTGCTGATGCTGTGAGGGCACCATATATAGGGGCAGTTGGGTCCAGGCCCAAGGTGTCCTGAACTGACAGAGTGGGAGAGGAAGGCCATAAGCTCTGCTTTCTAGGGAAGGCAGGCAGTAGAGGGGGTGAAGGCTGAGCCTGTTTGGGTGGGTACGTGGGTCCCAGGACCCACTTGATAGCAGGCCTGGCCCGGAAAGCTGCAAAGGCTCAGAGCTAGAGGAGAGCTGACATGTAGGGAGGAGAGGCAGGGCAACTCCTGGGGGTGGTCTTTCTTCTGAAAAGAAAACTCCAGTAGGAGCAAACTAGAGGTATGATGTCTGGCTCACCCTCTGCCAAGGCTAGCCAGCTACAGTCATGGACTGCTAAAGATAAGACAGGCTGCTTGGTGTGGTGGTGTGGCGGTGTGGCGGTGTGGCGGTGGCTGACGTCTTCGATCCTAGGACTTGGGAGGCTGAGGCAGTCGGCTCACTATTTTGAGGCAAGCATAGTCTACATACCCTGGAGAGAGACAGAGGTGGGGGAGACCCATACAAAAGCAAGATAGTCAACAACTGGGCTAGGTTGATTAACCCAGTACAGTGAGCTGTTATAAAGGACAAGTTTGTAGCCAGAACTTCTGGGTTCTACCGCAGCCTCCAGCACTTACCAGTGTTGGGTAGGACTCCTGGATTCATTCACCCATAGGGATGGGTCTCTTCCAGGACACCTATACTTTCCAGTGCATGTAGGACAAAGTTAAGCACATCATTCCCCAGTTCCCAGATGCATGCCCCCCTTCCATCCATTAGTTCTTCCCTGCCCCGACCCTGTCTTCCTGACACAGCCTAGCATGGCTGTTATCCACAGGAGGTGAGCCCTTGTATGAGGAGATGCCACTGCCTGGAGACCATAGCCTTCCCCTCCAGCCTGGCAATGAGCCACCTGAAACCTAACAGGAAGTGACCTTGGCTTCCTGCCTGACTCAGCTGAGCCTGGATCCTACCTGTAGGCAAGAGTTGACTCTGAGCCCTGGCCCAGCCAAGCTGACCCCTACCTTAGACCCCATGCACCGGATGGAGCTGATCCTGAGTACCAGCCCAGCAAAGCTGACTCTAGATCCTGCATGCCAGCCAGAATTGACCCTGAGATTCAACCTGACCAAGCTAACCCTGGATCCTACACGCCAGCCAGAGCTGTCACTGAGTCCCAGGATAGCTGAGCTGACCCTGGATTCCACATGCCACCCAGAGATGACCCTCAGTCCGGGCCCAGCTGAGCTTACCCTGGATCCTGAACACCAGGCAGAGGAGACCCCAGCCCTCAACCCGGCTGAGTTGACCCTGGAGCCTGTGCACTGCCGACCTGAGCTCCTGAGTGCTTGTGCTGACCTCATCAATGACCAGTGGCCCCGCAGTCGTGCCTCCCGTCTCCATTCCCTGGGCCAGTCCTCAGATGCCTTCCCCCTCTGCCTGATGCTGCTGAGCCCTCACCCCACACCTGGAGCATCCCCTATTGTGGTGGGCCATGCCCGTTTATCACGGGTCCTGGACCATCCCCACAGCCTCTTAGTGGAGACGGTGGTGGTAGCCCGGGCTCTGAGGGGCCGTGGCTTTGGTCGCCGCCTCATGGAGGGCTTGGAGGCTTTTGCCCGAGCCCGGGGCTTTCGCCGGCTACACCTCACTACTCACGATCAGTTATACTTCTACGCCCATCTGGGCTACCACCTGGGCGAGCCTGTGCAGGGTCTGGTCTTCACCAACCGTCGGCTGCCCACTACGTTCCTACGTGCCTTCTCTAAGACACCCTGCCCCCAGCCACCCAGCAAGGGGCCTGTCCTAGCTGCCCAAGCTGTCCCAAGGAGCTCTAAGGGACCTGCATTGCCACCACCTCCTCCCCTACCCCCATCTCTGACCACCTCACTCCCACCTTCACCAGGGCCCCTTCCTCAAAGCCTGCTAGAGGCAGGATACCGAGATCTGAAGGGGTGCCCTATATTCTGGATGGAAAAAGACATCTGAAGGCTAGGCCCTGTCTCTCTGGGACACTGAATTGCCCAGAACAGTCCCAGCCTCCTCAGTCCACTGGCCATACTTTAGCCCCCTAGCCCTTGGGGCCGACCTTAGCCTGTGTGTGTTTCCTGGGTACCAATGGGCCAGGAGGTGGCTTCAGAGCTTTGGCTCAGAGCTGTTAGTGTGGCTAAATAAAGGCTTCCATTAGGTATGGCTGTGACAGTTTATTTGTTAAACCCCCTTACCAAATCCCCTATCCCTGCAGAAGCCCTGCTCTCCACCTTGGCCCAAGAGTCACTGATGAGGTAACATCTGTCCTTTGTTCCTCCTCTTCCAGGCCCAGGGTAACTGTTCCTTTACACTTCCACTGACTCATCACCATTCACCAAGCACTTATTATGTGTCAAGCCCTGCACTCGACACAGGCAGTGAGGCATTTGAAGACAAACAGTGGTGGGGGTGGGGTGTGGCAGGCAGGACTTGTCCTGGGAGCCCACGGACCCTCACTTCCCCCAGGATCTGGGAGATATGTGATGATAGAGACCCGAGTGCCGAATACGAAGTAAGCCAGGGAAGCAAGAAGGCAAGCGAGGGATGTTTTTGAGGCAGAGACAAGATGGGCAGGGGAAGCAAGGGGACTTATGACAGCCATGAGTTGGGGTGGCCTCAGAGAACATGATGGTGCCTTAACAGAGATGGAGAACACCGGAGGGGAGCAGCCCAGGATGTTTGGGGTATGGCCTCTCTGAGAGACCCATGAAATGCTTGAGAGCCATGTTTAACCCCCAGCCCCGCCCCTTTCCATAAGAGGAGGAACTTGGGAAGCTTTCACAGCTTTCCTTGCTATGCAGAAGGCATGGTCTTGGCCATGGACTCTAAGCTCATCCCCCCTCTCTCCTGCAGGTTTCCATCTTTGTGGCACCACCATGCAGCTAGGCCTAACCCTGATGGTGGGGGTAGCCCTGTGCTTTGTGTGTGGCCAGTCTTTGCTGCAGGCTCCTGAGCGTCCCTTTTCTGTGCTGTGGAATGTACCCTCAGCAAGATGTACGGTTCAGTTTGGTGTGCACCTGCCACTCAGTGCCCTCAGCATCATAGCCAACCATGGCCAGCATTTTCATGGCCAAAACATCACCATCTTCTATAAGAACCAGTTTGGTCTTTATCCTTATTTTGGATCTAGAGGCACAGCCCACAATGGGGGCATCCCCCAGGCTGTGTCACTAGACCGCCACTTGGCACAAGCTGCCCACCAGATCCTCCACAGCCTAGGGTCTAGCTTTGCTGGCTTGGCAGTGCTGGACTGGGAAGAGTGGTATCCACTCTGGGCTGGGAACTGGAGCCCCCATCGCCAAGTCTACTGGGAAGCCTCCTGGGCTTGGGCACAGCGGATGTACCCTGACTTGGATCCTCGGGAACAGTTCCACAAAGCCCACACTGGCTTTGAGCAGGCTGCCCGTGCTCTGATGGAATACACACTGCAGCTGGGCCAGGCACTTCGCCCGCATGGGCTCTGGGGCTTTTACCGATACCCAGCCTGTGGCAATGGCTGGCACGCTACGGTTTCCAACTATACAGGCCACTGCCGTGCAGCCACCGTTAGCCGAAACAACCAACTGCATTGGCTCTGGGCCGCCTCTAGTGCTATCTTCCCTAGCATCTACCTCCCACCCAGACTGCCACCTGCCTACCATCAGGCCTTCGTCCGACACCGCCTGCAGGAGGCCTTCCGTGTGGCCCTTGCTGGGCATGCACATCCTTTACCTGTTCTGGCCTATGTTCGCCTCACACACCGGAGCTCTGGGAGATTCTTGTCTCTGGTAAGTAAAAGCTGAGGTTTAGGGGTCTGAGTCCAGAGACACAGCCCTGTTCTAGAAAGGCCTGAAGAGAAGACTTTGCCTAAGGGACTTGGGAAAAGTGGTCATGGTCTCAGGTTTAAAAAAGGATCCTATCCTGCTGGGCGGTGGTGGCACATCCCTTTAATCCCAGCACTCAGGAGGGATTAAAGGAGTCAGATCTCTGAGTTCGAGGCCAGCCTGGTCTACAGAGTAAGTTCCAGGATGACTGGAACTATATAATGAGACCCTGTCTCAAAAACAACAAAACAAACAAAAAAGATCCCATCCTGGAGTGGAGAGGCAAGGCTGTGTGCTGGGAGATCTCACTGGGTTAGAGTCTGGCCTTTGGGTATCTGGAGGTCCTGGGAAGTTACTTAGAGGCCCTGTCAAAAGGGTCCTACTCTAGGAGGCTAGGGAGATGATGGTTAGGTGATTAAGAGCACTCACTGCTCTTCCAAAGGTCCTGAGTTCAATTCCCAGCAACCACATGGTGGCTCACAACCATCTATAGTGGGATCTGACACCTTCTTCTGGCACAAAGGCATACATGCAGACAGAGCACATTAAATAAATAAATAAATCTTTAAAAAAAAAACAAAAAAGGGCCCTACTCTAGAGGCAGAATCAATCCTAGCAGTAAACCAAACAGTACCATGGTGAAGTTGGGCCCTGATGGATCTGGCCAGTCCAGCTTTGGCTTACCGGTTCTTTGCCTCCAGGATGACCTGGTGAGGACTATTGGTATGAGTGCAGCCCTGGGCGCAGCAGGAGCAGTGCTCTGGGGAGACCTGAGCCTCTCCAACTCTGAGGTGAGTGTTCCCCCTTCACCACACACATGCTGGAGTTCTAAGTCGAGGGAGAAGCCATGCCAAGGCTTAGAGAAGGAGCAATGATAGATCTCTTTTCTTCTTAGGAGGAGTGCTGGCATCTCCACGACTACCTAGTGGGCACTTTAGGCCCCTATGTGATCAATGTGACAAAGGCTGCCATGGCCTGCAGTCACCAACGATGCCATGGCCATGGTCGCTGTGCCCGGAGAGACCCAGGACAAAAGGACGCGTTTCTGCATATGAAGCCAGATGGTAGTCTTGGAGCTTGGAAGTCCTTCAGATGCCGTTGTTACTTGGGTTGGGCTGGCCCTACCTGCCATGAACCTAAACCTGAGTCTAAGGAAGCAACATAAAGTCAGGAGGTCTTGTCCCTGTTGCCACTTTCCCAGCCCTAGTGAAATTCCCATTTATGCTTTATTTAGCTAATAAATAGAACTTTGCCAAGTACATAGACCACTTCCACCAACACACCTTCCCTCAGAATTCCTGAGGAATAGATAGGGCCTAATAAAAATATAAAACCAGAATCAGAGCCCACTGAGATCATCTGACTTAAGGCAATAAAGCAGCCTCAGGGAGTCAGTTCCAGGCATTTTTGTTTGGTTGGTTTTTTGAGACAGGGTCTTTCTTCGTGTAGTTTTGGTGCCTGTCCTAGATCTTACTCTGTAGACCAGGTTGGCCTCGAACTCACAGAGATCCGCCTGGCTCTGCCTCCTGAGTGCAGGGATAAAAGGCATGCGCCACCGCCGCTCGGCAGTTCCAGACATTTAAGGTTGCCAGCTAGCCTAGGGCTTTGTTCCTATACCTCAGTGAATCTTCAGAGAAGTCATATCTAGGGAACAGTGAGACAACCTCCCAATGCACATGCACATACATACGCATGCACGCACACGCCCTCGCCAAAAAAAAAAAAAAAAAAATTCAGCTAAGGTCTGTTAAATGCTAAGCTATTATCTGTACTCTCATCCATAAAGTCCTCTTTCGTTACCTGAGGTTTGTCTGTTCTCACTATTCTACCAAGTGTCAAACCCTGGCCTCATCGCAAGTGCCTTGTTAAAGGGCCTAGAGATGCTTCCAGCAAGGAGGGAAACTACTGAGCTAACTATGAACCCAGGCGCCACGGGAATGGGACCGGGACCTAGGGGGCGGGGGAGCGGACCGGGGACCGGGACGGGGAGGAGGGGCAAAGAGGTACGCAGGGCATTGTGGGTACATAGTTTAGCTGGAGCGGCGTCGGCTTGTGTGCCTCCGGAATGGACTACGATTCCCGTCGTGCACTGCGCTCAACTCAGGCCGCCCTAATCTGTGTGCGCAGACGCCTGGGGATAGTAGTTTCGGCCGCGTGGATGTGGCTCTGAACCGGGTGGCGGGGAACTCACCTTCCCAGCGACCCGTTTGACAGGGCGGGGCGCCTCACGAAGATGGTGGCGCGCGCGGCGTGTGGCTCCTGTCGTCTTCTCCAGTCTCAACTCAGCGCACCGGCCAGCGTTTCGCTGGTTTGGAGTCCCCGCCCTCCGGGTCCCTGACCCCGCGCCCCCTTACCGTGTCCCCGACTGCTGGTTCCAGGAATGCCTCGTGCTCGTAAGGGCAATGCGCTCCGCAAGGGCGGTCAGCGCCGTGGAGGAGGTGAGTCCGGGGGCTCCGGCAGAATTGTTCAATAGTGAGCGGGGGGCGTTTCGTGGTTCCCTTTGGATGTCACCAAGGGTCTTGGGTTGGCGAATCTTGCAGGATCAGTGCAGCGCAACCTCCGGGAACTCTGCTAAGGCTCGCACGTGCCCCAGCAGGCACTGGCCACGTGTGCGCCCAACTTGAGCTCATTGCCAGCTATTTTTCGAAATCCCGCGCCCGCAGCGGTGATTTGGCCAGCATTTAAGGACCTAGGTTTTCTCATCACCACCGGGGTGGACAACCACACTAGACAAAAGCGCGAAGCCAGCCCCTTTGCCAAATACTAGTGCATTTGGTAGACTGCACAGGGGAGTTAATAGAGAGGCCTCGTCTGTTCTATGAAACCGGGAAGTGTGATTGGAAAGGTACAGAATTGAGGCCTTAGCAATTTGGGCTGGAGACTGGGTGGAGAGTCCGTCTTGAGACTCCTTATCAGCCTCAACCAGAAGCATGTCCTGTTGCGGTAAACACGTTAACTCTGCTGAGATAGAGTGCCTGCCAAGCACAGTTTTGATCTGGCTGCCACCCTAATGTGGCTTGGGTCTGGGGGCATCTAGTAGAGTTATGACAGCTCCACAAGTACTAACACCAGTTACTGAATGGTATGAGATGGAGTCATGGGAGGCCCTGTGGGAGGAGCTTCTGGTGAGACCAGAGAAGGTAAAGAGCCCCAGGCAGAGAGCCTGTTGTGCCAAGGCAACCAAAGGGACCATAGTACAGGGAAGCAAATGAGGAAGTCTGGGCTGTTCTGACAAGTCGGATAGTAAGAGTAGAGGTGAATAGAAGCCAAGGTAGGGCCTGAACTTTTCCCTCCAGGCAAGTAATGTTAATAATCCCTAGGATGTGAGGACTGCCACCAGATCAGAACCTGTCCAGGGCTCTGCTACAGCAGCTGCTCATCTGGAGAGAATTCACACACAGGAATGTTTCTGCCCTACTGACACTTTGAGAGTCCCCTCTGTTTGCTTTTTTTGTTGTTTTGTTTGTTTTCTCTGTGTAGTTTTGGTGCCTGTCCTGGATCTCACTCTGTAGACCAGGCTGGCCTTGAACTCACAGAGATCCGCCTGGCTCAGCCTCTCGAGTGCTGGGATTAAAGGCGTGCGCCACCACCGCCCAGCTGTTTGCTTCTTTTTCAAATGCTCACGTGGTCAAGAGCTTCTGGTCTTCCAAGGCTAGGAGGAGCCCTTGTGTCTGTAAACTTGATGGCCCTGAGTGGACCAAAGGAAGCCCAGAAGACTATATTTGGAGCACAAAGCACCCAACACACCCACTGGGACCTAGGCTTCTGCTCGCAGAGTTGATGGGCAGCTTAGTGATTGTGGCGGCCTGTGCAGAGCTGTTACAAGTCACTTGTTTCCACCTGCTACACCTGAAAGGGATGCTTTCTCAGCCGTGCTTTAAAGGCTGGGCAACTGGTCAAATTATACCTCTGCTAAGATTGGGGGATGGGGCAGGGGATCCTAAGGAGAGCATGATAAGGAGGGGGTGCCCAATGAGAACACAAGACCTTGGGTCAGTTTAAACCCCTGGGTCGGTCTAGTACTATAACCTGAGCCCCAACCTTTACATTGCTCACTTTGGAGCATAATCTAGACTAGGCCACAGGCCTAGGTGGGACTCATCCAGTCCCTTCTGCCACTCTGTGGTTCTTGCTCTCCTTAAAGTAGGCTGTGCCCTCCTGGGGTCCCCACTCACCAAGTCTGCCAGGTTGTTGCGGGTAGGCCTAGCACCTGTGTTCTCTAGCAGAAAAACCTCCTTCCCTTTTTCCTGCTTCCTAATTCAGGTCCCATGTGGCAGCCCCTGTGCCGCTTAACCTAGCCTCAGTTTGCACATCTCTGAGATGGGATAGTATTCATGAAGGTGGACGAGGTACGTCGAGTCCTCCATCACCAGTGGAAGCTGGTCACATAGCAGTTTTATGTTTCCCAGGTGCCAGGAGCAGTACCCAGGCAGACTCAGGTTCCAGTGAGGATGAAGCAGCCAGTGAGGCCCGGAGTACCACCAGTGAATGTCCCAGCCTGCTCAGTACCACTGCCGAGGACTGCCTGGGTGAGAGCAAGTTGGATTTGGACAGGGACTCAGTGAGGGCGTCACTGGAGAAGGGCAGGATTCAATGATGACCAGCTGGCTTTGCAGGTGGGGAAGCTGTGGATGAGCAGAGCCAGCAGGGAGACCTGGAGGAAAAGCTGAAGGACTCCGTGGACTGCCTCACTGATAAGAGGTACCTCTGGCTGCTGGCCAACTTCTGCACATAGGGCCCTGCTCAGCCTCTGGCAAATGGAACCAAGGGAGCGATCACCCACATGAACCCTTTCTCTGCCTCCCAGTGCCAAGACCCGGCAAGGAGCTCTGGAGAGCCTGCGCCTGGCCCTGGCCTCCCACCTGCTTCCTGACTTCTTGCTGGAACGCAGCCTCACACTGTCGGATGCCCTGGAAAAGTGCCTTAAGAAAGGTCAAGTCCTGGGCACTTGGGGAACCCTAGCTAGGCAGGTGTTGACACTTGCTGCATGCGCTAACTGAAAAGCATCCTGTAGGGAAGGGTGAAGAACAGGCCTTGGCTGCCGCAGTGCTAGGCCTGCTCTGTGTGCAGTTGGGCCCTGGACCCAAGGGCGAGGAGCTGTTCCATAGCCTGCAGCCCCTGCTAATCTCGGTGCTCAGTGACAGTACGGCAAGCCCCGCTGCCCGGCTCCATGTGAGTATTTCCATGCCTCGTGGTCCCTCGCCCCAGAGCAGGGTGTCGGGTTCTACCTATCTTCAGACTCCCTCCCCTAAAAAGGGAGAGCTTCATATGATGGTCCTGATGTTGACCCATGGTAGCCTAGCTTTGTCCTCTTCCAACAGTGTGCTTCTGCTCTCGGCTTGGGCTGCTACGTGGCTGCCACCGATGTCCAGGCAAGTGGACTTTGGAGATGGGTGGCCTAGTAGCTAGACTCAGTAGCTCTGTCTGTGAACCACCTGTCTCCTTGTGCTCCTAGGACCTGGTCTCCTGCTTGGCCTGCTTGGAAAGTATTTTCAGCTGGTCGTGTGGCACCAGTGACTCCACTGCTGCTCTGGTCCCTGCCAGCCTCCACGGCCTGCTCTGTGCTGCCCTGCAGGCCTGGGCATTGCTGCTCACCATCTGTCCCAGTACCCACATCAACCACATCCTTGACAGGTAGGGGCGGCTGCCTACTGGGAGTGGGGGCAGTTGTGGCGAGACCCTCGACCCAGACGCGAAGCTTAGCTTGCCATTTCCTTAGGCAGCTGCCCCGGCTGCCGCAGCTCTTGTCCAGTGAGAGTGTGAACCTGCGGATTGCTGCTGGGGAAGCCATCGCACTGCTCTTTGAGCTGGCCCGGGACCTTGAGGTGCGAGGGAAGTGCCTGCTGGCACCACTGACCATCCCCCCCCCCCCCACACACACACCCCAGGATATTTACACACACACACACACACACACACACATACACACACACATACATCCTGCAGAACATCACACACACACACACACACACACACACACACACACACACACACACAAACCAGCTCAGCAGTCGGGTCATTTTGTAGGTTGCATGCTAGGTGCTGTAGTGGGGATTCTGAGCGGAGGTGGACTGCTGGGGGGAGGTCAAGGAGGGCTTGAGAGAAGAGGAGCCAGGCAGAGGAGAACAGTGAGGGGAAGAAAACTTGGGCAACACCATGCTCAGTTCCAGAAGAATTCAGGCTTCCACCCAACACACCACTGTTCCCACCCAGGAGGACTTTGTGTATGAGGACATGGAGGCTCTCTGTGATTCCCTGCGGACTCTAGCCACTGACAGCAATAAGTACCGTGCCAAGATTGACCGTCGACGCCAGCGCTCCATTTTCCGAGCTGTGCTGCACTTTGTTGAGGTGTGTGTGAGAACATGAATATTCCTTAAAAATGTGTCCCCAAGGGTTGGGCTTGGTGGTCCATGCCTGTAATACACACACACACACACACACACACACACACACACACACACACACACACATGAATGTGTCCCAGGTGTGTTAGCCAATCCCAATCACGGGTCCTCTACCCTATAGGGTGGTGAATGTGAGGAGGAAACGATCCGCTTTGGACTGGAAGTGCTCTGCATAGACAGCTGGGCTCGCCACCGCATCTACACAGCCTTCAAGGATGTGTTGGGCTCTGGCATGCACTATCACCTCCAGGTGAGGGCACGTGACATATGGGGAGGTCTACCCCGCATGACTCCTCCAGAATGCCCTTAGCTAATCAGTTGCCTTGTCTTAGAACAACGGGCTTCTCCGGGACATCTTTGGCCTGGGTCCTGTGCTGGTGCTGGATGCCGCCGCCCTGAAGGCCTGCAAGATTTCTCGTTTTGAAAAGGTTTGCATCTTGGGCACCTTTATCGTGTCTGCTGTTCTCTGGAGGCCTCGAGCTGTGAGTGGGCTACAGGAGGAGCCCCAGCTTTCCCTTCTCAGTTCACCAGGCTCCCTCCTTTGCCTCTCCCTCAGCACCTGTACAATGCTGCAGCCTTCAAAGCCCGGACCAAGGCCCGGAATCGTGCGAGGGACAAGCGGGCAGATGTCTTGTGAAGCAGACTGGCCAATGAGAAGGCTACCCGTACCCTTACCATATTTTTAACAGAAGACAGTGCAAGAACTGGTCCCCGCCAGTGACTGTCACTTTATTTTATTTTTTTTTTTAAACGATGAAACCAAAAATAGACAAATGTGGGAAGGCCTGGGATCAGGACACTTCAGACTCTGGCCCTTTGTATCTGCACTCAGCCCTGTGACTCTGGCCTCATCCTGCCCTGTCTCAGGTAAAATCAAATGTACGCCAGTCCCAGAGCTGAGGGGCAGGTGAGAAAGGACTGTCCCTTTCCTTTTTTAGACCTTGCCCCTGGGGCCACTTCCTTTGGGGGTCTGGCGCCTGTCCACCGTGGCATAAGGTGGGCAAAGCTGCCTAGATTGGATGCGTGTGCTGGTTTTTAAAAACAAGAGAATTAAACAGTACTTACTCCCCGAGGCCTTTACCCGGAGTCTTTGCTTGCCTTTGCTCTCATCTCCCACCCTAGGCTTGGCCCCAGCTAGCTCTCTAGTTCACCTTTGTCCTCCAAGGCAGTTCCCCACCCCCAGCTCGGCATAGCTTGTCTGAGAGCTGAGACTGGACCCCCCACCAGGAGGCCTGGCAGAGTGGGTGGCTGAGCAGGGACAGCTATTTCTAGACTTCTGAATCTCCTATCTGGGGGCGGCCAGAGGGTGCTGACAGGCCATAGGAGGAGCCAGGAGGAGGCTGGTGCCCCATCCTCTGACCTTTGGCTATCCAAAGCAGGGCCTTGGCACCAGAAGGCCTGGTCAAGTCTACCCTGAAGAGTTCAAGAGAGACGGGCAGCTGTTGAGTTACATCAGGCTCTTGTACAAAACTCTCACCAAGGAAGTAGTGTAGACGTAGCCATCGGTGGGAGAACAGACCTGCCAAAGGTCCTTTTGTCATCCCCCGCACGGCTCACATACAAATGGCATTTCAGCTGGGCGCCCGAGCTGCACTGGAGTTGAGCCTCCTGAGCTGGCTGAGGCTAGCCAGGCGCAGTTTGAGCAGAGTCTCCTCTTGTGTGCGGAGGGTGTGTGCCAGGACCCTCAGGGATTCACTCTGCAGCACTGGGGATGGAAAGACATTTGTGGGACCTTGTCAGACTACACGCCACTCCAGATCTCCCGCGCAGCGTCAGGGCTTGCCCACTGACCCAGACCCCACCCTTTACTGCAGCATTTGCAGGGGCCCTGGGGTCCCAGCCCTGCTTGTCCCTACCACTTAGGTAGACAGCCAGGATGGCTAGTGCCAGGCAGGTGAATACCAGCAGGGCCAATAGCAGCGGGAAGCCCCCACGGCCACACGTGGGGCTGCAACCAGCTTGAGTGCACAGTGATGGTGGTAAAACACCCAGAAGCTCTTCCCACGTCTGTGCCTCTTCAGCCAGATAGGGTTGTAGTGAACCTGCGGGGAGGGTGGTTGGTCGGGAGGGTGGTACCCACATCATCCGTCCCGCTCCCCTCCGCACCCTTACCTCCACTGTGTAAGTCACTGATGGACTCGACTCGATGCAAACGCACCTCCTGCACGTGGTTAGGAGCCAGGGTTCCCCTGCTCCTCTGGTTCTGCGTTGGCAACACAGTGTCTGTGGGGTAGTGGGACTGATTTGAGCAAGCAAGTCACTCCTTATTACCTTGTAGGTAAGTTCAGGCTGCAGGGACTTGGGATATGTGGGAACTACACCAGGGGCATTTGGTTCCAAATTCACTACAATTTCAGGAACGAATCTTAGTTTTGATCCGGGGTTCCAAATGCTCTCATGTTCGCATTCAGGCATTCCGCTGCCTGCCTATTATTGCTAGCAAATAGTTCATCAACTGTGTCTCACAGAAACAGTGAGATTGCCGGCAGGCCTGATCTGATAACAGGGTGCCCACTCCTAGGCGAATGTGACTGCACTCCAGCAATCCCTCCTGGCCGAGGCTCTGCCTTCCTAACCGACTGGAGTCCTACTGTTTTCACTCAACAGCACTGCGGGAGTCTGCTTTTTATCTTAACAGTTTCATGTAACTGAGGACTCCTTCCGGCCTCCCTCTGAGGCTATCTGGGCATTTAGGTTGTTTCCAATTCCCTTTGGAAATTAACCCCCAGGACATCAATCATTAAATAGGAAGGTTTTCCCCACTTTCCTGAAAGTTATTGAGGACAATTCTCAGAAGTGAAATCGCTGAGTCTGAGAACAGAGACTTCTCTTTAAAGAACTGTCCTCTAAAAGGCCTGTCCAGAGCCCAGCAGGACAGCACCACCACCATTAGGCATCCCACTGGAAACAAAAGAATGTGTATGAGTGTGCACATGGAAGCCAGAGGTCTCACCGACCTGGCACAGGAACTCAACAGCTAGGCTAGGCTCACTAACCACAGAGCCCCAGGAACTGCTGTCTCCACCTCACCAGACCCGGGATGAGAAGTGTGTCCCCAAACGTGACCTGCAGTCCACCTCCCAGACACAGGGCCAAACAGCATCTGACTTTGGCTTGTGAGCATGTCAAGGGGCCCCAGAGACATGAAGTCAGGTCTTCATGCTTGCAAGGCAAGCTTTTTACTGAGCTAAACCAGATCCTGTCTGCACAGACCTTTACATATATTTGCTAATTTGAGAGATGAGAAACAGCTTGATTGTTGCCTAGGGAGCCTGACTAATGTGTGTAATTACCCGTTCACAGGTTCTGCCCATTAGTCACTGACTCTATGGTTCCCTTATGGTTATATTTATTTCAGATTTTGTTTTTGAGATAGTGTCTCGCTGTTGTACTGATATATTGTGTACCCTAATAAAATTTGCCTGAAGATCAGAGAGACAAAGGAACAAGCCACTGCTGCGTCTTACCTCTGGGACTCCTCAGCCTGAAAAGGCTCTCTAGCATAAAAGCCGTTAGCTAAAAGGGCTTCCTCAGTCGGAAAGCCTTAGTTCCTGCTCCTCACGCCTTATATACCTTTCTCTGCCCCGCCGTATGACTTCATTCTTAGTGCTGAGATTAAAGGCATGTATGCTTCCCAAATTCTACTGGTAGCAAAGGCATGAGATCTCAAGTGCAGGGATTAAAGGCACGTGATGCCCAAGTACTGGAATTAAAGGTGTGTGCCACCACTGCCTGGCTCTGTGTTTAATCTAGTGGCTTCTGCTCTCTGATCTTCTGGTAAATTTTATTAGGGTACACAATATATTACATTTCCCCTTTTCTCTCTAAATAAAAGGTTATAACTAATATAAGAAAAATTATATACAGTAAGTACATACAATATATACAGTCAAGAATTATATTAGCACACTGTGTGTGGCCTTTGCTGGCCTGAAACTCATTGAGTAGCCTAAGCTAGGATGGGCTTACTCTCAATTCTCTTGCCTCAGCCTACCCATTACTGGTATTACATGTGTGTATCACTATACCCAGCTTTGTTATGTGTTAGTGGTGTGTGTGTGTGTGTGTAGAGTGTATGCCCACATGTATTTAGATACCTGTGCTTACGTGTAGAGCGCAGAGGAGGACTTTGGTGTCCCGTCTATTACTCTGCCTTACTCCTTTGAGTCAGGGTCTTTCATGAGGCTGGAAATCTGGTTGTTTTGTTTTTTGGTTTTTTTTGTTTGTTTGTTTGTTTGTTTTGATAAGGTTGACTGGCAACCAGCAAGCCCCAGCGATCCTCCTGCCTCCCAGTATACACACCTCTGGGGTTATAAGGCATACGAGACCACGCCTAGCTTGTTCTGTGGGTGGGTACTGGGATCTGAACTCTCATTTTTGGTTTTGGCTTTGGATCTTCAAGACAGAGTTTCTATGTCTTACTCTGTAGAGCAGGCTGGCCTCAAACTCAGAGATCCTCCTGCCTCTGCCTCAGAGTGCTGGGACTAAAGGCATGTGCCACCACCACAAACTCCAGCCTTCACGATTATGCAGCAAATGCTTTTAATCGCTGAGCCATCTTCCCTCCCCCCCCATTACCCCCCCCCCCCTTTTTTAGATTGGCTCAGAAAGTTCCCAGCTGGTCTTGAGTTCCTGGTTAACTGTAGTAATCTTTCTGCCTCAGCCTTCCAATTACTATCAAAATATGATTTCTAACTATAACTATCCTTTCTGCTGGTGTTATTTGACTGGATATTTATTATTTATTTTTGAAACAAGGTCTCACTGTGTAGCCCTGGCTAGCCGAGACTAGGCTGGCCTTGAACTCTCAGAGATCCACCTGCCCCTGCCTCCCGAGTATGCATCACTAACACCTTCTATTTGCTATTATTTTATTTCTGGCTCCACAAGAGCTCCAGATGCCTCCAGAGGCCTAGGTAACAGTGTGGCAGGGCAACGGGGTAAGGCTGGCTTTGGGCCCGCTGGTGTGCGTGAAGCTGCCTTTGGACATGCTCACGAGCAATTCAAACCAAAGCAAATGCTGTCAGTCCTTAAGCCTGGATAGTGACTGCAGGTCACATGAAAGCCCTCTTTGCACTTCACTATGCTTCTCCCGTACTTTATATTTGGACATATTTTATTTGCTACAGAAAAAAAACACATGGTAGATGTTACAGTTAAGTCATAACCCCCCCCCCAAAAAAAAGGTAAACACTCCCCCTTAGTAGAGGGCAGGCCCTTTCTCTGCAGTATAAAGTATGGAGGTTCACTGAGATGGCTTAGCAGGTAAAGGCACTTGACTAGTACTGTCAGCCTTGACCAGGCTCAGAGACTCCACTTTGGGACGTTTAGGGCCCAAGTTAGGGCAGGCCAGGGGCCTGTCCACTTCCCAGTCCCTGGGCCAGATGTTGAGGTGCTCCGTGGAACCGCTTTGCACACCAGTCCCAGCTGCTTTGATGAAGGAAGAGCTGAACGGCTTGGCAGCTCCCCAGATGCCCACACCCACTTGGGTCCAGCCTACAGTTGACCCCACTCTTAAGTGGAGAGCTATGAATCCCTCCCCATGACCCACCGCAGGGAAACTGAGGCAGGGCCTGAGAAAGGGAGGAGTTCTAAGTATGGCAAGTCCATCCTTTCTCCACGCACAGGGACAGGTCCCTAGAACAGGTATGAAAAGACTGCTCAAGGCAATGAGTCTCTCTATGAGCCACAGGGCCATAGGACTAGAGCCTGTCCTCCCCCATGGCTATCCTCTCCTACCTTCCTGGGTCTCCTCAGGCATGGCAGTTGATAGGTAGTCAGGGGCCCGATCAAAGTGCCCAGTAGCAGAACTGGACGAAGGCAGCAGTGGCTCCTTTGGGATCCTGGGAAAGGCCTGGCTGCCTCCCAACCTGGTCTTAAAATAGACCTGAGCTCACTTCCCTGGGCTATATTTAGAGGGGGTATCTCTGAGTCATGAAAAGGGGCAGAGTGACCCAGATGGGCTGGCCTAGACTACCTACTTGGTGATAGGGCTCAGCCAAGAGCAAGCCTCTGCTAGCACATGGGCCCAGCGAACTTCTCTGAAAACCATACCAGCTCTATACACACATAGGCTCTGGGGCCTTCATCCAGAAGGTTGGCAAGCAGCATGTGCCATGTAGCTATTGACAGAAAAGAAACCCTGCACATCTCTGCTCAGCCAGCCATCTCCTTCCAGCAAATGTGAGATAAGCGCCCACCACTGTGTGGCCAGCTAGTCCCAGATATTGGGGGGTCAGGGGAACAGCTGGAGCACACCACCATAGGGATCTTGCAGCCCCACAAGTGGACACCCATACTGGCCAGTGGACAGACTGGGATTAGAAGCTAGTATTTCTAGTATTAAACTGTAGCCTTAGGTAAAGAGAACCTTGGGAGTGGCCTCTGTTTTCCCATCTGTAAAACAGAAGCAAGGGTTCCTAGCCAATTGTACTGAGAATAAAAAGTGCAGAGACATGACCTTAGCACAAAGTAGTCTTGGCCCCTCCCACTCCTCTCCACAGGGGCTTAACAGACCACGTGGGGGCGTGTGAGGGTGCGCAGGGACATTGCTCACTCCTGAAGGGAGCTGGTCCAGTTTCCAGGCCTTAGTGTGTGAACTCTGTTCTGCTGCTTCTTGGTGGTGAAGAGCAGGACTGGGACAGGGGGAGGTCTGCCTTCCAAACATCCTGAGTCCACCATGTCACACCATCACATTAGCCCCCTGTCGTTGCTCGGACTTGTCGGGCTTGTTCCCCACTCCGAGGCTTTGCACTGGTTCTTCCGTCCTGGACGCTCTGCCACCAGACACCCTCTGACTGGCTCCTTCTTATCTTTCAGCTCAAGTGTCAACCCTTCGGTGAGTTCTGCACGCATTCTTGCCCACATCAGTACTGTTTGTTTTACTTAGCCTGGCATTAATAGTTGCAGAATGCACTGCACATGCCAGTGCCCCCACAGGCTCCCTGGAGCCAGTTTAATCATCTAATACCACTTTTAATCTTCACTACATTCACTACAGCAATCTTTTTTTTTTTTTTTTTCAGGACAGGGTTTCTCTGTGTAGCCCTTGTCTATCCTGGAATTTGCTCTATAGACCAGGCTGGCCTCGAACTTTCAGAGATCCACCTGCCTCTGCCTCCCGAGTGCTAGGATTAAGGGTGGGTGCCACCACTGCCCGGCAGAACGGTAATCTTGGATGAGAAAAATTCAGGACTTAAGACTGCTAGGACAATGCCCCAGACTCCCAGCAAGGTCAAGAACTACCTGTTATCTGCTGGGGCCATTCCAACGTCAGCTGATAATGTGTTTATTGCATTACTTTAGTACAGTTGGCCTGCCTCACCCGGAACCCAACAACCTAATCTGTTTCACAGCTTTCTGCTCCCTGCCCAAGAAAGAATGCTTCCCCCAGGGCAGGCACCCAAGACAGTTCTCTGGCCCTGCTCTACTCTGGAGCCCCACGTCTCTGTCCCCTCCCTCCAGGCTAGATCCTGAATTGGGCCTGGACCACTCTGCTGAGGCTACATTCGCGGGTTATCTTGTTAATAAATAAGCTGGCTCGGTTACCCTTTGGCCAGGGCCTATATATGAGTTAGGTGTCCTACTGGCCCCAAGGACCTCAGTGTGCCTCAGTCTTCCTGGCGTCTGCCTGCCCCCTCTTCTGAATGTCATGTCCAGCCTGGTCCCCAGTGTGGGGACAGCCCAGTCACCAGTGTGCTGCGCTACGTGGCCCACGCTCAGCACGCAGCTCAGAGGCATGCATTCGCCTGTTGCGACCCTTCCGACGTGATTCTGCGGCCACAGAGTGGGGCCCGGGCTGCGGGCGGCACATTCGCAGGGAGTTTGCCCCTCCACCGCCGCCCGGCTCCACCAGCTGCAGAAAGTCTCGGTACCAGAGTTTAGGGCCTGGTGGTGCAGGGGCTGCCGCTTCCTCAGCCCGTGCCAGTCGTTCGGCCTGGACCGCGCTCAGCACGTGCAGCACCAGGCGCCGCAGTGGCTGTGAAAATCCTTGTTCAACCGCGACGCACAGGTACACGCCAGAGTCCTGGCGCCGCAGACCACGCAGCAACAGCCCCCGCGCTGTACGCTCAACCCGCTCCTCAGCCAGCACCTGCGTGTGAGCACAGGCACAGGAGCAAAGGGTCACTGGGAGCCAGAGCTGGACAAGGAAAATAGGTGGTGGCAGGTACTCACTTAAAGGCTAGGTGCACAGGTTTGGTAGCCTTCGGATGAAGATTCGATCTGGGTGAGGGGTCACTTGAATGGGAGATGAGGTAGACTAGAAACCTCAATGCGTGGGTGGGTTGAGGATCCTCTCCCTCCAGATGGTAGAGGATGGGTCAGGAGTCTAGTTGGACACAGCGGGGGCATCACTGGGCTGTGGCGTTCAGCCCAGGGCTGAACCGGATGGGACCTATGGTAAGGAGTCTGGCTGTGCAGGGCCTCATTGAACTGGACTTGTATGAGGGTACAGGCCACAGGCCTCCTTAGGCAGGGCATGGCTTCTCTTAGATGGGCCTGGTTAGGAAGGGTGGAGGGAGACACACCTGGGTGTGAGCCACCTCCCCTGCACGATGGAAGGTCCACTCCACATGCGCTTGTAGCGAGCGTGGCTCACACTCCAGAAAGGCGCTGCCACTCTCCACGCCTAAGACCTTCCGCTCCAGCAGCGCAGGGTGAGAGGAGTCTTAAGACAAGGGGGTAAAATTCAGACAAGGTAGGGCTGGGTGTGGCAATTTCAAGGCCTGAGGGTATCTGCTGATGGAGTACTCACCCCCAGAGCACAGGGTGCTGGGGTCACCATTCCTAATGTCTTGCCTCCGGAACCGCCTGAGGGAGACATTAAAAACTGAGTCCTTCTCGGAAGGTGGAGGAGCAACAAGAGACTCCTTCCCAGTGGCCAGATCCAGACCCCAAGCCAGCCCACCTCTTGGCAGTAGGCTGGAAGCGTGTGCAGGCTGATCCATCCCAAGCACAGTAAGGATCGCGGGCCAGGCAGCATTCTGCGCAGGCGCGGCCTAGGGCCGTGCAGCGATGCAAGGCAATCTGGGCCACGCCACTCGGTGATGCTACGTAGAGCTGATGCTAGAGGGCACAAGAGTCTCCAGTCTGAGGGCAGCCCTTACCTGGCTCCCTTCGGTCAGATAGACTTTTCCCCACTTGACAGATGGGAACACTGAGGTCTCATTGTCTAGCAAAGCAGAAGCTTACACCTGAACTCTGGGCTGTGAAAACCAAGGAGAAGAAAGACAGTGAGGGTCCTGGTGTCACAAGTTCAGTTACTCACCCTTTTAGAGGAGATCTGCATGCTGGTGATGGTGGCAGAGTCCTGAAAGAGAGGCGGGACATAGGGATCAGCACTTAGTGGATCGGGGTGACGTGTCCCAGGGTGACTGGGATGAAGCCTCACCTCAAACGCCTGCAGCTCTTCCAGGAGAAGTCCCTCAGAGTGAGGTCGGCTGCCCTTGGGGACTGAGATCACTTTCAGCACTGTGCCCACATCTGTAGAAATAAGAAGAGGGCGGGACTTGCTTCTCCCTGACGAGCCAAGGGCCCGCCCACCTGTGTGTTGGAGAATATTAATTTAACTGGGCAAAGATGGGTTACATTTGTTTATGCTGGGGAATATTACTTTAACTGTGTTAAGGTGTGTTACACTTGTTTCTGCTGCCTTTGTTAATGATCTAAAGATGTGTTGCATTTGTTTAATTATGTAAAGACGTGTTGCTGTTTCACCTTGCCTGCCTAAGGCACCTGATTGGTCTAATAAAGAGCTAAATGGCCAATAGCTAGGCAAGAGAGGGGTAGGTGGGGCTGGTGCACGCCTTTTATCCCAGCACTCAGGAGGCAGAGGCAGGTAAATCTCTGTGAGTTAGAGGCCAGCCTGGTCTACAGAGCGAGATCCAGGACAGGCACCAAAAACTACACAGAGGAAACCCTGTCTCAAAAAAAAAAACCAAAGAAAAAACAAACAAGAAAAAGAGCTAGGCCGAGCACTCAAAACTAATAAGTCTCCGTGTCATGATTTGGGCGCTGTTTGTTGGCCTAAAAGCAAAAGCACAAACAACTACATGCACATGAACAAGCGCAGTCTCCACCTTCATCATGGTAAGGTCATGAAAAAGTGAAAATTGTAGGTTAGACCAACTAGGGCAGCCTCCATAGAGTGAGACCATAGCCCAGACAGGATGTAGATATTAGACTAACCAGGCCCAACTTCTGCCTGTAGGCCAAGGAACCTGGAGGGGGCTATGGTGATATTTTATTTGTACTGAAATGTGACTTGTATGTTAATAAATAAAGTTGCCCAGGGGTCAGAGCTATTAGCAAGCCATAGCAGAAACTGGGCGGTGGTGGTGCACGCCTTTAATCCCAGCACTTGGTAGGCAGAGCTAGGTAGATCTCTGTGTGTTCAAGGATACAGCCAGCATTGGAGACACACGCCTTTAATCTCAATACCAACCATAGAAGACCTAGAGGTCTGTACAGATGGGCAGTGACTAGGAGGTCATGTGGTTGGGTTTACAACCAATGAGAAGGCAGAATAAAAACTCTATAAAAAAAGACAGACACAGGAAGTAGCTCTCTTTCAGAGAGGTAGGACAACAGCAACAGGAAGGGTAAAGCTTTTAGCTCCTAGCTATTGCTCTGACCTCTTGGCTTTCATCTCTGTATTGGCTCTGTCTTATTTAATAAGACAGTTACTTCTACAGGGGGCTCTATGTCCTACTGGCTATTGTGACGAGACCCTGACCTGTACCAATGAAGAGAACATCGTAGTGTCCGTCAGCAGCTGCTACACGGTCTGCAGCGATTTGGGTGAAGGTGTACCCAGCTCCCACTTGGAGGAAGAGAGGGCGCCCCCCCACGGGCAGGACTGAGTTGTACATGAGAGGGTGGTTCCGAGCAAACTGGATAACGTCATCTGGGAAGTCCTTGGTGGAACTGAAGGTGCCAAAGGTCTTGCTGGGGCACTGGAGAAGGCAAAGCAGGTCAAGCAGAGATAGACACAGGGGTTTTGTGGCCAGCCCCTCCATTCAAAGCCTCCGGGAACATGAAAGGTGGACAGGGACAGGCGTCCTGAGTATTTGAGCCTTTCCCTGGGGAGCCTTAGGCTGAGGGGGCACGCGGTCTCACTCTGCAGTTCTGTCTTACAATGGTGAGATTTCCCCACCCATACCAAAAGGAAGGAATCAGACCCCCCAACAAAACCCCCAGGCCAAAGTCAAGTTCTCTACCCTTGAGACTTTGAAGCTGATTGTTGCAAGCAGTCCCTAGCAACGCACCATGCCGGGCCGTGGGTAGGGGACGCGACCCTGGTAGGACACCCACTGATGCGTAGGCCCCTCCTTGTGAGCGAAGGGTCCCAAGAAGACTCGGCGCACATCATTCATGCTGTACACGCACACGGCAGAGCCCTGGAAGATGCCACTGCGGGCAATGAAGAGCGCAAAGTGAGGAGCCCCAGCCAGCCAAACTGACGGCCCAAGGGAACCTCTACTTCCTGCCCCTCACCTGGAGGTGGAGAAGACCGCATAGAGAAGCGGCGTTTGGCGGTCCCGGGAAGACAGAAGAAACACGTCCTCTGCAGGGAAAGGAAAGGTTGGCAGGGCAGTACACACGCACCCCAGGCTCCTGGATTCTGCACCCCCCTTGACTCCTCCCCTGGTGCCATCCCTCGTTCAAGACACTCACGAAGTTGGTCAAAATGGGTGTCACCCTCGACTCCAGGTACTGAGCATACAAGGCGCGCCTTCAGAAATGTGGTCCATTTGTTGACCAAGCTGCGCTGGCCCCCCAGGTCATTCTGCTCACAAGATCAGAAGGGATGAGGACAAGACCACAGCGGGCAAAGGGGCAGGGGCAAAGGTAGCCAGAGAGCGAATGGCCCAGCGTCTCCTTACCCTGCAGATCTGACCAACCCGGGACACAGTCATGCGCCCCGTTGCTGGTGCTGCCTCCACTGCCGACTCACGGAAGAAGAAATAGATTTTATCGTCGTCGGGGTTCTCGCTCTCTGGGATCCAAAAGACCTTGACAAACTTGGGTTCTAGACAAAACAGGAGGCATGGTGTCAGCGGGTCCTAGTTCTAGCCCCAACATTTATCTGCAGACTCCTGCAACTCCAAGACCTACCCTTATGATCAGCAGCTGCAAGGCAAGAAGCAGCCACGAGGGGGCAGTAGAGACCACAGCTACAAGCACGAGCAGGCTGCCACTCTCCCCTTTACAGGGCTTCTGACCAGGCCACGCTGCCTTACATTTGCCAGGAAGAGGGCAATGAGTATCTGTTTTCACCTTCATTCATAAATCTTCCTCCCTAGCAAACCAACACTCCCTGTTCCTCCTTCAGTTCCTGCCGTCCCATAGTAAAGGACTCCAGCCCTTGAGAGTCTAGGTTTCCGATCAATACTAGTTCCATGAGTCTGTTTCTCTGCTGACTCTGGCCTCAGGGCCTTTGCACTAGTCACTCCCCTTACCTGGAATGCTCTTCCAATTCTGTTGGCTGGTTTTCTTGTGTTCTGGAAGCTGTTAGCAACTCATACCTCCTCCAGCAAGCAGCTCCCCTTCCTCAACCCAAACTCCTTTTCCCTCCTCGACTCCTTCATCGGCGTCACGGCCGCTGGAATTTGTCTCATCATGTATTTATTCTGAGATCCATGGGCTCGAAGATGCCTGCCTGTCTCTGGGACCCTGGCACAGGGCCTGATTATGGTAGCTACTTGGGGAGTCTCCACTCTACCCATTGCTCTCCTCATTGTGTGGTGCCTTCCTTGTTGGAGGATGGCAGTTCCCGCCCAGGGTCCCCACCAGCTTCTCACCATTGAGCCAGCGGGAATCATGGGGTTCTGTTCGGAGACTAGGATTCTGGCCCAGGCTGCGAAAGATGGTAAAGTCTCGGCCCATGAGGTCCGCTGCCACCCCTGAATACAGTTCTTCCCCTGCAGACAGGGTAAGGGGGTGCTCAGCCAGCTGTGAACTCTCAGAGTAAAAGTGCCTAGAGAGCTCTGGGGGTGCTCAGGGAGTCAAGACTATAGTGCATCTGAGGGGGTGCCCTCGGGACATGTGAAGTTCTAGAATTTCCAGTGGGTTCTAGGGTTGTGTTGGGTGCCGGCCTTTGGACTCACCCACCAGCACGGAGGCAGCCCGATGCCTCGGGTCGTAAGGACTCTTTCCCTTGCCATCTTCAAGCTTCTTCGGGTCCAGTCTGAGCATGGGTTCCTGGGAGGTGGGGGAGCTAGCTGTTAATGCCAGGTCCTTCTCCGTGCTCCCTGCTTCCTCGTGCTCCCTGCCTCCCTCTGTCCAGTCCTGGTCTTACCTCCAGGCGGTGGCCCACCTCCACAAATGCACAGGTTGGGTGGAAGGCCCCTGTGCCACAGGCCAGCAAGTGTGTGTGGTTATAGACGTGCACCAGCTTCACGAAGTTCATGCACTCCGTCTGGTAGGCAGGCGGGGGTGGGATGGGGGTGGGGGCCGGCAGTCAGGCTTTCCCCAGGGAGGCAGCCCTAAGGAGCTGCAGTTCACTGGGGGTACCCCACCCCTTCCTCTCTTCTGCATTAGCCCAGGGAAGCACTAGCATGGGCCACAGGGACTTGAGTGTCCTTCGTGACAAGTCCTGCCTATCTTCACAGGGTGGCTACATGAGGAAGTGGAGCTATGCACAGCAACACCCCCCCCATGACTCAGAGGCCCCCAAGAAGAACCACCCTGACTCACCACCTCCAGACCTCATCCGCCTTGACCTCCCTGCCCTTACCCCAGCCAGAACAGGCTAGCCTCTCTCTCAGCCCTGGGATGAAGGGGCCCCCCCACCCTCCTCCGCATGCGCCTCTTGGAGTAGCCCACACTCACACCAATGTCCTTCCCTGCCCAGTTACACTCTTCTCGCCATTCCACGGGGGCCGGCCAGGCCAGCTGGGGAGGGAACACAGGTTAGGGGTGAGTTTCCCATTCAGTTGCCCACCCCTTTGGGTTTCTCTGGAGTTCAGGGTCTAGACAGTCGGGAGTAGGGTTCTAAGGCGTTTTCCTGGGGCAGGCACTTAAGTTGGGGGAGGTTAGGGGTCCCTGGCACCTTCTTGGCTCGCTTGCTGATGTTATCCAGGCTGAGGGAAGCCACATGGTTCTCAGCACCCACAAACAGGCGTCCACGCTCCTCATCCACCAGCAAGGCTTCATAACAGCAGGTCCGCTCCAGCCTGAAAGTTCGGACACCATGCCGGGCCTGCAACTCTGCAGGGAGAGATACCATGGAGTATTTACCTGTCATGACAGGACTGTCCTCAAGGTCCTGCCTGGTTGTCTGTCTACAGACCAAGGTTATTTGTGTGACCCAAGCCACACACCTGTACACTTACATGCATGTGAGCAGCTTACGCATATGAAGACTGGCCCACCCAGGTGCGTGTACAGAGAGTCACAGGGTGGGTGGTACAGCCCCCAGAAAGGAGAAAACAGATTTAGGAAAACGTGTACAGACAAGCAGACTGCCAGGCTGGGAGGCCAGGCTCATGGAGTCCAGGTTCTAGGAAAAGGTAGGAGCAAGTAGGAACGAACAAGACAGAATCCCATCCCTAAAAAGTCAGGCTGAGTGTCCCTTCCAGTCACCCTACTGCCGGCTTGGATTCAGCAGTTGGCCACCAAGTGCCCCTGCCCCGGGACCACCCCTCTCTGCGAGGGGTACACTAAGAAAGGGGCTCTGATGGCCCCAGAACCTTGACTTCCCTACCAAGAGGCATGGCTGGCCTTGGGATGGGAGATGAGACAGAGACAAGGTCTGTTGCCATGGAGACCGTAGGGGTCCTCCTTGGGAAAGCATGAGGAGAATGTAGGCAGAGAGGTTGGGGGCTGAGGTTAGGACAGGGTTAACTGGAGATGGCCTAAGAATGCCCCCAACCCAACCAGTGTCTGGTGATGGGCATGCACGTACTGGTACCAGCAAGTCTTTCCATACTGGGCCCTTTTCCTGTTCACCGCAAGCCGGCCCTCCATCTGCTAGGTGCACCTACCTTGAAAGGAGAGCCGAAGGCGTGGAAGGTTAGGGGCAGCATCCCCCAGCCCCGCTGCCCAGAGAAGGACCAGGCCTGGGATCATGGCCGCGGCCTCAGCCCGCCCCATGCCGGCAGCTCAGGGCGCTCAGGGTTCAGCAGGCGTGTGTGGAGGAGCCTTCAGCTGCCCTGGACTCTGCCCCAGGATCTGGAAGAGAAGAGCCGGCAGCCAGGCAGAGAGGGTAAGGGCGGGAGGGCATGGGGGAGTCCCAGGGGATCAGATTACAGCCCCTAGGGGAAGAGGCTGGGGGGTCGCATACTGTTTCCTCTCCACCAAGGGTGCCCCGCCTGGCCACAATCAGAGACACACCCACACCGGGCACACCCTCAGGGTCACCCTGCATTGGCAGGCACCCGCCCCACCACGTCACCCTCCTCGGTAACCTCCCCTCCTCTACACATACTCACAAACATTAATTCACAAACACTCTGCACCCACTTCATGCCAGCCTGGGGCAGGGACGAGGACACTGACGACATGGACAAGGTCCCCAGGCAGTAAAGGGCAAAGGGCCAGCAAGGAGTCAGATCCTGTGGTCATTTCAGAGGGCACCGAGTGCAATGAGGAAAACAGCTGATGTCGGGAGGATGACAGGGGACGAGGCCTCTGGAGGTGGCTGTGTACCCACAGACAGGGAGGGAAACGCAGAGGCACTTTCGGGACTGAGCCAAGGTTGTGGGTGCCTTGGGATATGAATATGTTTCTGAGGGTCCCTTTGTGAACATGCATATATGAACAGCGTGTACATGTGTATATGTATAAATGTCTACGAGCAAACACATGTCCCATCTATGTAGATATAAGCGGGGTGTGCAAATGTGCATACACACATGTTGGCACTGTGTGTGTAAATCTGTTCAGTGTGTACCAGCATAAAATATGCCTGTTTGGTACATGAGTCATGTCTGTGCATGGGCTGATGTGTGTGCATGCAGAGTGGACATGCAAGGGGATACAAGAGCAGCATCAGTCACTCCCTTTGACTCTAACATACATACAGAACACGTTCTTCCCAGGACCCCCAGGCAGACCCAGGCCTAACTCAGCAGGCCGAGCTCTGGGACCCATTGCTTCCTCTCTGCAGCCTGAGGGGGAAGGAGCTGGGCAGGCAGAGACTAAGATCAGGCTTGAGACCCAAGAGAGGAATGTGGACAGGGTGAGGTGACCTCTCTGGCTCACCTGAAGCTCCAGGTAGAGCAACGATTTGCCCTCAAAGTCACTTCCAATTCTGGGTCTTAAGTTTCCCAGTCTTTGAGCCCCTCCACTGAACCAGACTCCTTGCCTGTCACACTCAGGTGGAGCCCGGTTCTGGCTGCCATGGCCATCCTCTTTTACAGGAGCAGGCAGGACAGGCTGGGCACAGGGGTCAAGGTCACAGACCCCTCCTCCCTCCATTCTCTACCCCCACCCCCAGCTTCTAGACCTTTCCCCAGCTCTCTCCTTCCATTTGCTAGCACTTGCCTCTGCCTCTTCTCAGGTTCTAGAAGTCTTTGAGGCTGACATGGGCTGCCTTCCCACAGTCCTCCAAGAACTCTGCAAAGGGGGTCTCCCACCTTAACCCCTCTTTCCTGGAGAAGGGGAGCAGGCTAGGGCCCACAGGGCACCCTCTGACGGCTCCTTTAAGTAGAAGCCCCCGCCCCCACCAGGCAGCCACCGCCCAGAATACCATAAAGTTTGCAGGGCTACAGGGTGGATCGGGTGACCGGCACAGGCAGCTGGGACTGGCTGGAGACGGTGGCCCCGCATGAGTGGAATGGGAGCAAGGGTTGGGCAGGTAGAGGTGGCCCTTTCCTGCTGGGTCTCAAGGTGAAGGGTGCCCCAGATGGCCCAGATGGTTGTCCCAGAAACCTGGCAATCAGTTAAGGCAAAGCAGGTAGAAACAGCAGAGACCTTCCCTGACAGAAGGAATAGGAACAGCGCTAGCTAGGCCACCCCGTCCTCACCTGTTCCTCCACAGCTGAAGGATGACTGGATAGCAGCCTCAGTTCCCAGGAGCTGGCTGGGATAGGTGGGTCAGAGGTCAGGGAAGGCACTCTCCTCCCTCTTCTGGGCCCCAGGCCCTGAGGCTTCCTTACCAACTGGACGTCTTAAAACTTCAGCTGTCTGGCCCACAGTGGCTGCGATGACAGCCAGGCAGGAAAAAAAGGGGGGGTGTGGGGGGGCAGATGCAGAAAATCTCACTTCTGCCGAGAGTGTGGGCCCATCCTGACGGCCCAGCTAGGCTGGAGCTAGGGCCGACTGCAGGGAGGTGGATAACTATGGACTCCAGCTTCTCCTCCAAGCTGGGAAGACTGCCATGCCCACCCGAGCCCAGGGCCAGGTACCTGAGGGAGGTTTTGTAGGGTTATTTTTGTTTGTTTGATGGCAGGGTCTCATGTAGACTGGGTTGGCTTCCAGCTCACTGTGTAGTCGAGGATGGCCCTCAGCTCCTGCCTTTCCTACCTCTGCTCCTCAAGTACTGGGCCAGGTGTAAGGCAGATGGCTTCAGACAGGACAGGCTTGGGTGCCCATGTGGGGAGGTGCCTGGGTCCTGTCCTGTAGCCAAGCACCTCTGTCTGCATTCTTAGGAGTACTTTAAAGGTCTGGGTATCGCCTCAGTCTCCCCAAGGCCTCAGCAGTCAGAAGGTCTCCAGCCTCGGTTGTATACCACAGGTTCTGGGGCACTTCCACTATGCAGTTTTGCTACAAACTGCCCGGGTGCCATCCAGTCAGAGATAAGGGGGCACAGACAGAGATAAGGGGAGACGTATCTTTCCGGAGTCTACTCCAAGGCCTTGCCTCAGGACCCAGTGTTCCTGGCCTGCTGTCGAGCGGCAGCAGGAGAAACGAGGTGTTCAGAAGGGAGCCTAGAGGAGCTTGAGGCTTCTAGGATGAGGTCCTGGCCTGCTCCTGGGCTGCCTGCCGCTCCCCAAGGGCCTGGGCAGCCTCCTCTGGCCTCATGCAAGCAAACAACATTCTTGGCTGTTTACAATTTTCCACCCAGCAGCCAAGATCAGCAAGTGCCTTTGAGGCCTCTACCCACCCCTGCTACGTCCCCAGTCTGCCCAGACTGACTCCAGCTCTCCAGGCCCAGGGGCCCAATCTCTCAGATTTCCTGGGCCAGCCCAGTTATTCATCCTGGGAGACAGCCCCAGAACCCATCATCTTTCTGCCAACCGGAGACTCAGTCCCCAGCTCAAGGGGAAGAGCCATCTCTGGCCTACTCAAGCGAGGTGACCCGCTCCGGCAGAGATGTCGCCTCCCTTGAAGAGGAAGGGATGGGCAGCAGGTTCTACACAAAATCTCTTTTCTGCTCCCTAGTTCCGGGTGTCAACATGTCAGGCTGGTGGGGTGGAGGTGTCCCTTAGAGGCAGCACTTCAGGTATCAGTATCTAGGTGTCACTCAGACTCCACAAGACTCTGCAATAAGGCAGTCTTGGTCTGGGTCTGAAATCCAGAGAGGCAGCTGGGGTCTTGCGTGCACCCCTGCCTCGGGACATCCACGAGTACAGGTCTGCCTGGGTTCTTCCTGTGAACTGCCCATCAGTGGCACAGCGTGCCAAGGCGTTGGCTTTTCCTTTTGGAAATAACTGGATTGTTGCACCAAGTCACAGAGCTTGCCTCCCACCCCCCTCACCATTGACCCCTTTGCACCCTGCTCGCACCGCCCTGCGGTGAGGCTGCTGCAGGACACCATCTGATGAAGGTGGTGGAGCACATGCCAGTGCCCTGGGCTGGGTGGGGTCTCAGGCTCCCCAGCCACACCTGCTTTTGCCATCAAGGCTGGTGGCTCCACGTTACAACCTTCCCCCATTGGCCACGTGGGCCCTAGGTCATGCGACCATGAGGACGGAAGCTTGGTGCCAGAAGGTGGTAAGGCACAGTCGTGAAGAGCCTCCTGAAGCCTAGCTTCCCAGACAGTATAACACCTGCCCCCAAGCAGATCTCCTGGGAAAAAGTCGGGGGACTGACAGGACATTTCCCACCCACAAACCCCAAGTCTAGTCCCTATGGTTCAGGAGACCCCCAGCCCACCTTCTGGAAAGACCACTTCCTCCCTCCTTCCTTTCCCTTCAGTGGGCCATGTCAGAGCTGAGGTGGAGGGGGACAGGAGGGGCCATCAGGAGCTTTGGGCCGTTAGCTGTGGCCCTCCCCCTCCTGGCTCCTCCCCGCCTTCCCTCCTTCCCTCCCTCGTGCACATTCCTCCCAGGCTGAGGTCAGCCCCTCTGGGATGGGGAGTCCCCCCTCCCTCAACCAGCCACATCACAGTTCCACACTCACTCCTGTTTTCTTCATTGCCCAGCAGAGTGGGGTGGGGAAGCAAGGGGAGAGGGGGTGGGGCCTCGTTCTCGACAGCCTTTGAGGGAGGGGCTATACCACGAACGCTGCAAATGTAGACTGTAGGACACTCTGTACTTATCATCAGATATTTGCATAAACGACATTTACATAAATACTTCATTCCCTAAGCTGGCTATAGAGAGCCTCCCTGGAAGCCCTGATTTGGGGAGTGTGCTCTGAATGCTCTGGTAGGAGTTAAAGTTGCTGGGGGAGAATCTCCAGAGCCTGTTTAGGGACCGGCTTTTTGTTTCTTTTCTTTTTTCCCCCAAGACAGGGTTTCTCTGTGTAACCCTGGCTGTCCTGGAACTCCCTCTGTAGACCAGGCTGGCTTCGAACTCAGAGATTGGCCGCCTGCCTCTGCCTCTCAAGTGCTGGGATTAAAGGCGTGCGTCACCACTGTGAACTCTTTAGTAGTGCAGGAAGAGACAGGACTGAGTTCAGACTCTGCAGCTCATCAGTACTCTGCAGCTCATCAGTACTCTGCAGCTCATCAGTACTCTGAGTGTCCCGAGCTGGAGACTGAACCTCATAGCTCACCCTCCTCCTCCTCACTGCCGTCACTGTAGCCACTGGGTGAAGCAGGTTGGGAGCATGCTAGAGGAACAGCTGGTATGAGCTATTATTGCCAGAGCAGCAGGTCTGGGCATCTTCTGAGGACCTTGAGGGAGCCTTCCCTGTCATGGCTACCATCCCAGTCTCAGGCTCAACTTCTCTTCCACACATCTCTCCTGCTTCCCACCTGCGAAACCACTTTCTCCATCCTCAAATTACTATGCCCAGGGCTTCATCAGAGCCTCCCTCCCTCCCTCTCCTGGGAATTCATCAGAGTTCTCAAAAGTCCCCAATCCACCCCTAGCAGTACCCAAGACCACCCCTCCTAGGAATCCTCTCATAGGTCTTGCTGGAGATAGGACAAGACCCTCCCCGCCTCCTGCCCCTGGCTGGGTCCCCAGGGTCAACCTTCGTAGTACCTTGCTTCTGCATCCCGACTTGGTTTGCAGGAGCTTGTAGGGACTGTGACTCCTGGCCTGGGTCCACACACATCCCTAGCTCAGTCTTGCCATTCTTCCAGGGCTCCAGTGGCCCCATTTCTGGAACGCATAGAGCTTTGGTTGCCAAAATGTTACCTGGGCCGTGCCCTGACCCCTTCAGTGATACCTGCTGGACTCTTCTTCACGATCCACCAGCCGCCTCAGCTCTCCCCGTTCTTCCTCTGTGGAAGATTCCTGTCGTACCATTTCAACCTCGGGACCAGGTCCTGGGTTCTCTACTGTGGGGGCAGCAGCAGGGACCATCATCACTGGGACCCTACAACTCTGGAGATGCCCAACAGAGAGAGATGCAGGAGAGAGCATGCCTGTAGAAAACCTTCCCACTTTCCTGGGCCTCCTGGGTCACCATGCGGCTCAGGAATTAATAGAGAAGATACATGTCAGGTCCGCCTTTCACTCTGCTCCAGGCCTCCCAAAATTGACTTTCCCCCAACCCTACCTAACGAGATCAGAAAGCAGAGATGGGAGAGGATGCCAAACTATGATTTTTCTCCGAACCAAGATTACCTGCAAGGCTGCATCTCCATTAAGAGTAAGAAATTAGCCGGGCGGTGGTGGCGCACGCCTTTAATCCCAGCACTCGGGAGGCAGAGCCAGGCGGATCTCTGTGAGTTCGAGGCCAGCCTGGTCTCCAAAGCGAGTTCCAGGAAAGGCGCAAAGCTACACAGGGAAACCCTGTCTCGAAAAACCAAAAAAAAAAAAAAAAGAGTAAGAAATTAGCACAGAGGTGGTGGTGCATGCCTTTAATCCCAGCACTCAGGAGGCAGGTGAATCTCTGAGTTCCAGGCCAGCCTGGTCTACAGAGCAAGTTCCAGGACAGTCAGGGATACACAGAGAAACCCTGTCTCAAAAAAAACAAGACTCTACAAAAAAAAAAGGGAGGAGGGGAACTGGAGAGATGGCTCAGCAGTTAAGAACACTGGCCGCTCTTCCAGAGGACCCCGGTTCAATTCCCAGCACCCACATGGCAGCTCCCAACTGTCTGTAATCCAGCTCGAAGTGATTTGACACTCTCCTACAGACATAAATGCAGATGAAATCAAAAATAAATCATACAAAAGTGAGAAGTTAAGACAAGAAGATAGAAGGAACCATGGTCTCCACCTCTGTCTCCCTTGAACCCTGATACCTGCCACTGTGTGACTGAGGCTGACTGTCTGGCAGACATGCATACACTTGCTGTAACACAGCTGTACACATGCCCCAACTGGCTGGAGGCCATCACCCTGAGCACATATGGGGGTTGCCCTCTGTTCCGACTGCAACGGAGTTGGGGAGACACAGACCCACAGGGCAGTGGTGAAAGTCCTAGGATCCAGTCAGTGTTTGGGGACGGGCTTAAGCCCAGGGCTCAGCCAAGAGACACTGGAGTCTTATCGTCACCCCTTTCTATCTCCCAAGGCCACTGGGACCCTGGCTGGCCATGCCACTGAAGTCAGGCTGTTGTGCTTTAGCCTGAAGCTAGCCTGGCGATCCTGGTCTACTAAGGGTGTGTGTGTAATGTTTTTTGAGGGACAGCAGAAGTTCGGGGTCTAGGCTGTGGAGATGGCCCAGCAAGTGAAGATGTTTGCCACCAAGCCTGACACTCTGAGTCAACCCCCAAAACATACATCGTGAAAGAAGAGAAGTGAACCCCACAAGTTGTCTTCTGACCTCAAAAGCATGTTGTGCCTTGCACGTGTGTCACACACACACACACACACACACACACACACACACACACACACGAGTAGATATACGTAAATAAAATGTTAACATAAAAAAGTCTTAGGTCGGGATTGGGCATTTAGCTCAGTGGTAGAGCGCTTGCCTAGCAAGCACAAGGCCCTGGGTTCAGTCCTCAGCTCCAGGAAAAAAAAAAAAAAAGTTTTAGGTCTGCTTTGAAACATGGCGAGAGACTCCTGCAGTCACAGAAGCCCTGGCTATAATCCGAGGAAGGGCCCCTTTCCCACTCTGCACAGGACATCTGTCTCCACCTGCCTGCTGGGCCTGCCTCCTCCCCACAAAGTCTCCCAAAGGCTCCCTTCTTAGGCCTCTGACTCCCAGGGCTTGTCCCTTCCTTCCTCTCTTCCCAGCTGTTCCGATACCCTACAAATAGGTTAAAAATACCAAGGCCACCACCAACCACATCAGTAGCTCCAGCCACTATTTCAAGTGAGCCAGACTCTTGGAGGCGGACCAGCCTCGTGGCAGTCCTCATAGGCTGGGGACTACCCACTCTACACTTAAAACAGGAGCTTGGGTCCCTCCTTGGCTCTGCACATCCTGCTAAGAGTCTTGGACCTCATACGGCAGCTGCCCATGGGTGTGGACATTGGGAGAGTTCTAGAGAAAGGACTCAGTTTCTCTTTCCTCGCTCAGCTGTTTCTCAAGAAAGGAGGAACTGCTGAGGCCCAGCCAAGAACAGCTCCAAGCCGTGGGGGATGCCTACCTCACTGGGTACCTCCAGTTAGGGTTCAGGATACCTGGGCGGTCCTTCTTGCCTCCCCCTTAGCCCCCACGCATGGCTGGGAATTTCCCACCAGCTAAAGAAAGGCTGAATTGAGAAGCCGCCCCCACCAGTCCCGGGACAATGGAGCCTTATGCCCTCCAAATCAGAGCTGGAGTAGAAGGAAGGGCCAAGGGCAGGTGGGGGCCCAACTGTCTGTACCGGGGTAAGCTCTGCTTGCCAGAACCACACCCACATCCAGTGCCAAGTGAGATCCCAGGGGATCCAGGCCAGAGCCCTAGATGGCCCACCCAGGCAGGGAGGCACCGGGTGCACCAGACAGACAATGCCGGTCCCTCAATGGCCCTCTGTGCAGGGTTCCCCTCGGGACAGAAGGAAGGAACTATCTCCGGTGCTTGCTTCCTGCTGGGCGGGTATGGTGGCCCTGGAATAGCTCCAGCCCGCCTGCGCACATTGGGGTTCAGGCCCGAGCCTCTGAAGAAAGACAGGGATTTGGGGATGGCGCAGGATCCTGTCCTTGTCAGTCGTACCCCATGGAAGAGATAGCCGGAATGGCCTGAGGAACTGGGGCGGAGGAGAGGCATAGGAAAACAGGCGCTCCTTCCGACCCACCGCCACAACCTTTCATCTCCTGCCAGCATCAGAAACGCGGTGGCCTCTGGCCACCGACAGGTGTAAGGAGACGAAGTCCCAGGTCCCGGGTGCAATCCCTCCCTCCCCCGCCTCCGCGGCGCCGACCCTCGCTCGCCCCAGGACCCAGCCTGCTTTGTTAGGCCGCGGGCGCGGAGCCTCCAATGCCACACAAAGCTGCTTTTGTGTCCAGCGTCCTCCACGGGACCCGGTGACGTCAGCGTCCGAGACCAGCTCAGCAGCAGAGAGGACGGGCTGTGGCGCCCCCTGGCGGCCGGCGGCAGAGGCCTCGGAGCTCCGCCCAGCTGGGGCTGGTCTTTCGCCTACTACTCGCAGTAGCAGGCCCGGTCCGCGGCTGCCCTGCTGTTCCTGCAAGAAAAGCCAGGCACTTAGCACGGTACCCTGCCCACGCTCATGCCACAGGCACTCAGCACTTTGTTTTCCACATTCAGCCCTCCAATGCCGCCAGTGACAGACCTCTATGAACCCTGCCGTGACAGCCTGTCCTACCCCTCTGATTTGACGAGGTGGTATTCTAACCCTTACTTTTTTTTTTTCAAAATGTTTATTAGCATGTCAATTATACATAATAATGGGTTTCATGATGACGTTTCAACATGTATAACATGTATTTTTACTCTATCAACCCCCGTGACGCTCTCCTTCCTCTCCCCAACTAGTCCCTTTTCCATTTTATTTTTATTTTTTTATTTTTTTGGTTTTTCAAGACAGGGTTTCTCTGTGTAGTTTTGGTGCCTGTCCTGGATCTCGCTCTGTACCCAGGTTGGCCTCGAACTCATAGAGATCCGCCTGGCTCTACCTCCAGAGTGCTGGCATTAAAGGCGTCCGCTGCCACCACCACCCGGCTCTATTTTCAATTTTTTAAAAAGTGACCCGAGATTCAACAGGGTTGTTTCCAGGAGTATGGATACCTTACTGGGGGGCTAGAACACTGAAGAAAACGCCTCTCCCGTCATCCTCCATCAACCACTTAGTGTCTGTAAGAGTCTGGGAGAGTCGGGGCTTGCTAAGTCACCTCCTTCCACAAGGGGATGTTCACAGGCCCCAGCCAGCCTGGCAGAGTTCTACATTTCACCTTCTTGCAATTCTTATATTCTCTGTCCCACTTTTACAATGTTCCCTGAGCCTTGGAGGTGATTTGGTTTTTTTGAGTCTCAACAGGTAGCCCAAGCTGGTCTGGAACTCTTGGTTGATCTCCTGCCTCAGCCTCCATGTGTGCTAGAATTACAAGCATGTGCCACCACTCCCAGCTTCTTCTGAGTTTGTCAAAGCATGCAGCCCACTTATCTGTGACTTCAGCCCCTTAAACTGTCTTTGAGCTCCTGTGGTAGTCATTATCTCTTGCATTAAAGGCTGGTTAGACACCCTGGGCTACTCCCAACTTGCAAGAACCCTCTAGAAGAGCCCCCGAGTCTGCTTGGAGGTTCTGCAGGACTGAAGGCTGCCCCAGACCCCAGACTGCAGAGTTGGGAAGTGGAGAGGCCCTAACACCTAAACTGACCAGTCCAGAGGGCTAACTGAAGCTCAGAGCATTAGGACCTAGAACGCTGGACGTCCAGGGTCCCACCCCAGGTGAGTCACTGAGGTGTGATCCACCCTCTTCTCCTACCGTTCCACACCTGGGAGATAATAACCACCAGCAGTTCTTGGCGTTTTGTTTCTACCTTTTATTATTTCAAATCATGTGAACAATTCCATAAAACATGTGAAAAAAGCAAGGAAGTGTTCAACGCTGAAGGACCCGGGCCTGGGGCGAGGGCATGAGGGGCCTGGCCCCTCAGCAGGCAGCGGCGGTTCCTAGATTAGCGCTAAGGAGCTACATTTAGGTTAATGGAGCCTGGGCCCAGGGCTTCAGGGCAGGGCCCTCAGTGACATTGGCAGTTGTCTGGAACAGCCCTTGGAATCCAATTCCATGGAGGGCAGGGCAGGGCAGGGGGCCGCCCGAAGAGGGATGGGTGTAAACACGCAGACACACTCAAGGCACGGAAATCACCGGAAAGGGGCTGGGGGGCGGGGCGGTGCTGGTCAGGACCCGACAGTTTTAAATAGGGCTTCTCTAAAAGTTTTCTAGGTTTGCAGTTTTCCATTTTTTTCCCTTTACTTTTTCTTTTTCTTTTTTTTTTCTTTTTCCTTTTTTTAAAGCTACGAGAATGAGCAGGAGGACTGCGTCTCCAGGAATGGTGGGGTCTCTCAGGCTTCTTGTGCTTTTTCCTTTGGGGCCTCCGAGCGGCAGAGGGTAGGGTAGTCAGGAGGCTCCCTGTAAACATTTGGACTTGGGTCAGGGCTGGTGTTGGACAAAGCCAGGGGTCTAGGCTGGAGAAGTGGGGACCCCTCCAGACACAGGCCTTGGGAAACTCTGCATGCGCTCCCCTCTCACCCCAGAGCAGACAACAGTTGGAAAAAACCAGAACAGATGCCCAGGAAGGGTGTACCATGGCCACTCCCGGCACCTCAGCCGAGGGTGGGCTTCAACCAAGGAGGCCTGTGGCAAACCCTCCCCCAAGTCTAGAGCCAAGGGAGGGGACAGGGGAGCTGAGAACAGAGAGAAAAGATGGGCGAAGCAGCTGGGGGACAGGCAGGGAGCATGGTCTTCTTGTCCCCATCTTCCTCAAGGGTAGTAGGGAGCAGAGTCGGCGGTGGCCCTGCAGGTGGAGACAGATACAGCCTGGGTTACATGTGACTCTTCTTCTCACCTCTCTAGACAATGACCTTCTTTTCCCCCTACCTACTTGTCACCAGGGACACAGCTGTGCCCAGGGGCCAGCTTCTGTTGCTGGGTTACAGGGTGTATGTATCAGTAACGCTGGAGGTCACTGCACGTACACCAGGGCCAGGAGCGCTGGCCTGGGCCTGGGCTTCTCAGGTCTGAGAGACAGATGGCTAAGAACAAGTGTAAAGCTGGCCAGTGAGCAGTGGGGTGGCCAGGTCTCCTGCATCTAGACTAGGCTAATATGACGAGCTGGGGAGGAGGCAATTTCTTCCAAGGAACATTGACTAGTCCTCTATTTCTGTGCAGCAGCAAGCCAGGTCCCTCTGTTTCCCTCTCTTGTCCTCTGGTCCCCAACTGCCCTGCCCACTCTTGCTCCTTCAGGCTGACTACCCCCAAAGGACCTCCATAAGCCCCCAGCCCCATGCCCTCTCTGAACTCAAGGGTCTCGCGACGTTGTTTGCCAGCCCCCTGCCTTGCCCCCTCCTGACTCACCATCCTGCCAGGTCTGCTGCCCCTCAGAAGAGGCCACAGTCCTTCAGGTTGTTCTTAATGATGACATCAGTGACGGCATCAAACACAAACTGCACGTTCTTGGTGTCCGTGGCGCACGTGAAGTGCGTGTATATCTCCTTGGTGTCTTTGCGTTTATTCAGGTCCTCGAACTTGCTCTGGATATAGCTGGCTGCCTCATCATACTTGTTGGCCCCTAAGAAAGACAAATGAGGACGTGTGTATGTTGAAGGCAGGTGGGCTCCTTCCTGTGTGCACAGGAAGGATCTGTGCACATGATAGACAAGCATATAATGTGTGCGCAGTATGTTCGTGTGTAAGTGCATGTGCGGTATGAGAGATGTTTCACATGTGGACATGCTCAAAAGTACAGGCCCACACTGGGTGGCGGCGGTGCACGCCTTTAATCCCAGCACTCGGGGAGGCAGAGCCAGGTGGATCTCTGTGAGTTCAAGGCCAGCCTGGTCTACAGAGCGAGATCTAGGGCAGGCACCAAAACTACACAGAGAAACCCTGTCTCGAAAAACAAAAAACAAAAAAAGAAAGAAAAGTAGAGGCCCACATGTAGTAATAAGCCTCCTGTGTGTGAACAGTACACACTCCTGAGTACCACAGATCCTGTGTTTTCCCTTCTGTCCAGATGGGGGCAGCCATGGGCCACCAGGTCCCCAGCGGCACTTCCTGGGATGGCCAACCCCCGCCTGGGAGATGAGTCTTCACAGAGGCCCACCTGTGTACTCCGGGAAGCAGATGGTCAGAGGACTCTGTGTAATCTTCTCCTCAAACAGGTCCTTCTTGTTGAGGAAGAGGATGATGGAGGTGTCTGTGAACCACTTGTTGTTACAAATGCTGTCGAACAGCTTCATGCTCTCATGCATGCGGTTCTAAGGAAAGGACACGGAGTTGGTGTGGGCACCCCTTCTCCCCCTGCCAGGCTCTGTCCCCACCACCAGGGCTCTCCTGGTCTCTTACCATCTCCTCATCCTCAGCCAGCACCAGGTCATAGGCGCTCAAGGCGACACAGAAGATGATGGCTGTGACCCCCTCAAAGCAGTGGATCCACTTCTTCCGCTCGGATCGCTGGCCACCCACATCAAACATCCTAGGGACATTGGGTCAACTTAGCTCTGAACAGAGGCCCAGGGGAGGCATCCTTGCATTTCACAGGCTAGCAGGCTGAGGACCGAGACCTGGCCAGAGTGGGACAGCTGCCATCATGGAATCATCCACATTCACTCACCACAACCAGGGTTTTGAGTCTGGTCAGAGGCAGGCTGGAGCCACGTGGGACAGGGGCAGGAGAGGCCATTAGCAGGAAGTGACTACTGATAAGCTAGGTGGTGAAACTTTGTGCTTTCCCGACATAGGCCCGAGGACCCACAGAGGTACTGGGGAATTATGCCCAATGGTTACCCCAGTGGTTAGCCCTAAGTGTTGCCCCGACCCTGTCCATACACCCACTCACTTGAAGTGTAAGTCCTTGAAGGTGAAGTGTGTTTCCACAATGCCCGTGGTTTTCACACGGGTCCGAAGCACATCCTGCTGTGTAGGGATGTAATCACTCTGTGCAATGCGCTCCAGGTCATTCAGGTAACTGCAGGGAGGGAGAAGAGGGTCACAGAGACCAAAAGGAGCACCCTGACCTGGACCTCAGACAGACAAAACCCCGCTACTTTCTTCTCTTCTCCCTTCCTCCTCCTCCACCCTCTACTCCAGGCAAGGTCTGGTTTACATAGCCCAGTCTAGTCTCGAACCCACAACCCTCCATGCCTCAGCCCCAAGTGCTGCGATGACAGGTGTGTCCCGCTGTGCCTGCCATTCTTGCTTCCCTAACCCTTGCTTGCTTCACGATCCTTAACGAAAGGAACAAACATGGGCTCAGTGCCCTTGTTCCCCACCCATAGAACGCGATTGGGAGAGGGGTTATGGCTCTGTGACCCTAGCAGTCAGGGTCACAACCAGACCTGCAGCCAGCAGGACTCAGAATGTTGGAACTAAAAGTAAAAATGGGAGGGGGCAAATAAGTCCCTTGGGGAGAGATTCAAGATGCTAATCGGTGTAATTAAGGTACCCACTGCAGAGCAACCTGGTGTGGTCCATTCATATGGGACTAAACATGTTGGGGCCTGCCAGGCCCAATGGGTCCTTTGCTTAATACCCAATAAAACTTGAGCTGAGGTGGGAGCAGACACCTGCTTGGCAAACGTCCCTGGGGACCCTCATCACAAGCTCCTTGAATTAGTATCAATGCCTCTGGTGTAGGGTCCCGGGCCCAGTTCTCTGTCTGCCTCAATATCCGAGTTGTGCTTTTGGGCTGGGTCCGGGCCTTGAAGTGGCTGCCCTCTACTGGTCTTTTGTTCTTGGGGCAGGGGTGCTGGGGCCAGCAGCCAGGCAAACCAGGCCAAAGGGAAATGATCTCAGAGAGCAGGGATAGAACAGAATAACAGGAAGGGCCATGGGGGACCATGACGCGCTTGCTGTGACCTGCATACCATGTTCCATCCCCTGTGGATGGAGGCCCTAGCCTGGAAGCCTCAAGGTGGGCTCCACACCAGTTCCTCTCTTCTCAACAGGCGGGTTCACCCTAGGGAACCTCCAATGTACTGTGGTCTTACTGGACTGTGGTGAAGCTTGGTGGACCCCTCCCCTGCAATGCTCCATCCCACACCCCTCCCTTAATGATCCTGTCAAGGCAAAAAGCACTCTGGCAGAGCAGAGCCTGTGGTGACTACTGAGCCCAGCTCCTACGACAGTGCTGGGCATGCAGGAATATCTGGGGAATAAAGACACGGAAAACAGAGGAAGCGGGCAGGGGTCCGGAGAGGGCTCCTCATCCTACCCTCCTAGAGTACGGGGGACACTGAAGTAGTTTTGATTGTCAACCATCAGGTTACCGGGCTCACCCCTCCCTGCCTCTATAACCCACAAGCTCAGCTGGTGGCTAAGCCCGTGACTTCAGGGCGGGGCAGTGCTGAAGCCTAGAGGCCTCTACAGATTTGGCTATGATCCCAAAACTAGTAGGGGGTGGGGGATGGCACCAGGGCAGTTAGGCCATGCAAGGATGACAGAGGAGGCCTGTTCATGTGACTGGACCAGGCCTTGGGAACCCTGGCCAGGCAGATCTTCTCCTGCCTACTCTTGGGAGGTCTAGCGCTGTTGAGTACCTAGGGATGTCTCCTACCGCCTACCTACCAGGAGGTCTCAGCAGCCTGCCTCAGTCCTGACACACAGTTGAACTGCAGGGGAATTCTTAACTATGTACAGGCCTAAAGGATCCAAGCCTGTTGGGCCTCTGGGATTCCTGGGACACTGTGATTCTCCAGCTGAGTCCTAGGCTTGGCTTGGATCCAGAAAAGGTCAAAAGCAAGGTCCAGGCCTTAGCTTGTAAATGTCTGTCATCTCAAAGACGCCTCTTCTTTCTCTGTGAGCCTTTGGGCAGCAGGCTGAACTCCTGTGTCCTCAGTGACAGTCTGGCGTTTGTACATGCCATGCCCCTGCCTCAAATCCCCTTCCACTCCTCCCTTTCCTACCTCTGGCTCACGGTTCTGCTGAGGCCGCCCCTCCTCTGGGCTTCCTCCCAATGGTACCCACACCTTCAGCTGTCATTGCTTAAGGACCTGTCTTTTCCACTCATCACGGTGTCCCTGACGCTTTGCCCAGAGCAGCAAATGTTCTTCAGAACAATCGTGTGTGTAAAGACAGATAAGCTAAAGTAGTAAAGATAAGCCTGAAATCCACTGCGGCTGTCATTCCTCCAGGCCTTTCCATACCATGCTATCCCAGCGCTCACACCCAAGCTACCAAAGCCTCCGTGGACAATTATCGGCTTCGGCACCCTGGGACCCCTTTCCAGGGCCAGCCCCTTGCAGTACTTACTAAGCGGCTGAGTCATTGAGCTGGTATTCCCGTGAGCGACCAAAGCAGGCTTGCACACCATGATCAGCCCAGAGCCTCCGAATGACACCAGACAGATCTTCAGGAAGCATACCTTGTTCCTCAGCAGCACAGGACAGTGCAAACAGCTGCCTGGCATCATCCTGGGCACAGGAATGGAGGGCAGGGCAGTCAGCCAGGTAAAGGAACTCCTCCAGAATGGAGCCCAGGTTGGGGCACCCTCAGGTCCCCCAGGACGAGACCTGCCCTGAAGGCTTCTGGGAGACAGGCGGAGGGGAGGGGGTGGGGGTGCACACATACCGCACGCTGGGGGTCGGCAAAGTCAATCTGCAGGTTGCCCATGGCCTTGACGATGGCCATGATGGACTGAATGGTGTTGCTGTAGACAACCGCACGATACTGCCGGCACTCTTCCTCTGAATAGCCATCTTCATGGATGATCCTGATCAGCAGAGGTCAAGAGTTACGGTCCACAAACCACGAGAAACACATGGGTTGCAGGGACTACCAGGGGCTGCAGGGATCAGCTCCGAAGATGGGGAATGACCCCTGGCTCAGGAAGCCAAACTGATGGAAGCAGTTATGCGGCACTCTGAGACAAGTGGAACCACGCAGGGAGACAGTACATACAGATCAGAGGAGGATGGTCAAATCTGGGGACTACCGCATACCACTTACTTCATCTGCTTGACGATGGTACTCTTCCCCGATTCCCCAGCACCTGGAATAGAGGGTACAGATGTCAGCAGCAGGCCCAGTGTGGGCTCTGGAAGCAGACAGATAGCCTAGCTGCCATTAGCCCTGAAGGTACTTCTTACCTTCTACACATTGGTGGCACAGGGAGACACAGGTGTAGCCAGCAGGGGCCAGAGTGACTAAGGAAACCTATATTACCTGCCCCGTGGTGGGCTCCTGCAGGCCTCTGCTTCCCTAAGCTCAGATGTCTACTAGGACTTAGCACCCCTGCCCTGCATGAGTTCAGGGATTTGGCTAAAGTCTTAAGTCTGCAGGCTCTGTTCTCACATATAAAGGCTCGCCACCCTGTGCACTTGAGGCAGGGCTGGCTGGAAGGTACCCTGCATACTGCAGAAAGGGCAGGAACCCCTCCTCTCCCCAAACCCTGAGATTTAGCTGCTAAGCAACCTAGAAGGGCCAAAAAGTCACATTCCTGTCCTCTGGATATGGCCCAAGGCCCAGCCCTCTGCTTTCTGGACCAGCTCTGTCCTAAACAGATGGAAAATAGAATCAATCTCTCTCTCTCTCTCTCTCTCTCTCACACACACACACACACACGTTCTGACTCAAGCTTCTCTAGCCTCTGTCCTCATTTCTCCGGGACTGGTCTGAGGTTTGTTAGTCTCTCCCATGTTTACCACAGCAATTCCATTAAACAAGATCTCTTCTGGTCTCATTTTACAGAGGACATTCAAGTTCAAAGGTTACATTCTTGGTGGAGGATCATGCAAACAGCACTCCAGATGGCACCACAATGCCAAGATGAGGCCTGCTCTTCCTTCCCAGCCTCTGCCCAGGTCCACTCGGCTCCTGCCCCTTCCCCAGTTTCACCCACACTGCCAGGCACCACCTGCCTCTTGATTCCCCCAGGCCTCTGCTTACACCGCTCTCTTTACTGGGTAAACCTACTCCATGTTCCGTTCACAGTAGCCCAGGTCTGTCTCCAAGCAGTCCACAGGGTTGGCGGCAGGGTCTATGGATAGGTCAAACTTGGGAACTCTGTCCTTTCTACTAGGATCCCTTAGGGACAGTCAACTTATAACCGGGCTAACCCACTAATGACACATCATCAGTAATAATGATGGCAGAGTTGTGATGAGCACCCACTGTGTGCCAGGTGACGTTTTATACCTATTGTTTTGTTTTTTGAGACAAGGTTTCGTGTAGACCAGGTTGGCTTCAGGCTTGCTATGAAGCTAGAGATGACCTCAAATTTCTGATCTTCCTACCTGGAATTACAATTGTGTATCAACACAGTCAATCTGTTGCTGTTTGGTCCCCCTCCCCCAAAATTAAGACAGGTCTCACTATGTAGCCTTGGATGGCCTAGAACTCTGTATGTAGACCAGGCTGGCTTCAAACTCACAAATATTCCTACCTCTCCCTCCCAAGTGCTAGGTCTGGAGGCATGGCATGCACCACCATTCCCAGTTCTTTGTTACAGTTTTTAAAAGATTTTATTTTGGGGCCGGGCGGTGGTGGCGCATGCCTTTAATCCCAGCACTCGGGAGGCAGAGCCAGGCGAATCTCTGTGAGTTCAAGGCCAGCCTGGGCTACCAAGTGAGTTCCAGGAAAAGGCACAAAGCTACACAGAGAAACCTTGTCTCGAAAAACCAAAAAAAAAAAAAAAAAAAAAAAAAAAAGTGGTTATGAGCAACTCAACATGGGTGCTAGGAACCAAATTTGGGTCCTCTATAAGAACAAATACTCTTAACCACTGAGCCATCTCTTTAGTCCTCAACATTTAAAAAATATGTGTGTGTATGTCTGTGTGTGTGCATGTTTGTGTATGCATGTACGTGTTTGTGTGTGCGTGTGCACGTTTGTGTGTGCATGTGCATTCAACCTGCAGCAGTCCGTTCTTTCCTCCCACCACGTGGATCTCAGGGGTCAAACTCGAGTTGTCCAGCTTGGCGGCAAGCACCTTCCCTGGCTGAGTCACCTCACCAGCCCCACTGCCCGGCTGTTGTGGTTTTAACTTTAAAACTCTATTTTTGTATTTTCAGTTATGTGTGTATATTTGTGCGTTGGGATGGGTGTGTGCACATGCATGCAGGTACCCACAGAGGCCAAGAGAAGGTGGCAGACCCCTTAAGCTGGAGTTAAAGGCGACTGTGAACCGCCTGGTAAGGGTGCTGGGAACTGAACTCAGGTCCCCTGCACGAGCAGGAAGCACCCTTAACTGATCCGCCATCTTTCCAGCCAAGCCATGCCAGCTTCCTATGTGGTGCTGGGTCCGACTCCATAAGCACTCCACCTATTGTATTTACTGGGTATTTTCAACTTCACAGCAAACCTGAGGTAGGTTCTAGTCTCCCCTCCATCTCTAAGGAAACTGAGGCACACTGCGGTACAACTAGTCCTGTCTGTGGGTAGTCCCCCCTTGCTCTGCACACAGTTCCTCCTGCAGATCCTCCGCGCCTGAGCGCAGCTGTGCGGGTCACTGTGTTCTCTCTGGCGCGGTCTCAGATGTTCAAGGAGCAGCAGGACCAAACAAGTAGTTTGATGAGGACGGACCTCATCAAGACTCATCAAGTCTCGGTTTTCCGTACCCAAACCCACATCTCACTAGGCAAACTGAGGCACAGCTGTGGCCCTCTCAAGAGTGGGTCTGGGCACATCCCCAATCCAGCAGCTTCTCTGAGGGGAAAGTCTGAATTCTTACAGATGTTGCCAGGTGCCTATAACCACTGAGAATTCAACTGTCCCAAGCCTGCTTGCCCGGGTGGCGTGGGAACTATTATGGCACAAGCCTTCAGGCCCTGGGATAATGTTCTCTCTGGCTTTTAGCCCTGGGCACTGGGGGTACCAGGTGTGACGTACTGTGGGTATGAGCTATGGTCAGTCCATCAAACAGGGCTACGCACAGCAGTGGAATGAGGCTTCTTCACATTCTACAAGCCCGAGGGGTGTTCAGAAGGCCTGCAAAGCCTGCCCACACTACCCAACCACTGAGTACCAGGCCCACGGGCCTCCATATCTGCCAAGAGAAGGAAGGACGGACGCAGTGGCCACCTGGTTATCCTTCCCACTTGCTCCTCCACAGCAGGAGGAGGGGGACCCATCTTGGAGCAGAGGTTAAAGATGTGAAAATGTGGGTCAGATGGATCATACTGTCCAGACTCCCAGTGGGGAGGGTAATGGCGTCACATGACCAGGGCACAGGAGACAAGTGAAGGCTGCCCCCTCTTTCATGACTTCTGAACTCCTGACTATCTGAGGCACTGGTTTCTCTACTGGCCACTGTGGGTAAAGACAGCATCTAATCCTTCGACCACTCTCTCCAGAGGTATTGTGGGCTACCCATGACCCTGCCCAGTGCCAGGGATGATGGCGCAAACTTGCTTTGCATTTGATTTCCCTAGCAAAGCTGGCAGACACCAAGAGGGCCACACCTGAGCAAGCCAGGCCAGGAACAAGGTTCATATACTTCTTACTCTTACCTCAGCCAGCTGAAGGCCTACTTCCACACCGCCCTAATGCCTCAGTTTCTCTTCTTTGGGCCTCTCAAATTCTGAGTCATGGCATTCTCTGTATCTAGCAGGGGTCACTGCAAACACAGCCCCCTTTGACAGGTGAATAAAACAAGGTTATGGAGCGTCCATCCTCGGGACTCAGGGAGGTCCTTTGTCAAGTGCAGCAGCTGTGACTCAGGCAGGAAGTAGTGAGAGGCAGGACAAGGGCGCGGTACTGGCAACCAAGCAGGAAGTAGGGAGACGGCAGGACAGAGTCGGGGAAGGAGTTGGAAGCAGGTCATCTAGTGAAAGGTGTGTAAAGACCTTGGCGCTCACACAGACTTGGTGCGCCAGGAGCTGTGGGGCCACAGCATCCTTCTTACTGCCTCCATGGCCCGCTCTCCATCATGGCCTGACACATCACTCCTACCATCTGGCCTGGAGTTTGCCTGTACTCACTCAGCTTCCCTGCCAGCCCTATGCTACTTCCAGGAGAGCTTCCCTAGCAGACTCTGGATTGATGCAGCGGTGCCCAAGGGAAGCCCACTAAACAGACAGTGGCCTCTGTAACCCCCAACCAGGTGCTCCATCCTCATCCAGATGAGGCCAGAGGGGACCCACAGAGGTTCCCTGAGGTGGCCTGTCGTTCTCACTATGCCACACCTCTTCCCACCAAGGAAAACATCTCTGCAGCTTTTGCGCCCTGAGTCCAGCTGCTGGGCCCACTGCAGGAGGGCAGTGATCTCGGAGGCTGCTCTGCATAGGACATCTGTTTCGACATGGAGCCCTGAGCTCCTGTGGCGAGAAGAGACTGGAGGAAGACAGTAGTACCCTTCATCTGCCTGGCGAGACTTGCAAAGCCTCACCACAGACAAGCCTGCAAATTCAAACACTCGATGTTCATCCAGGCCCCAGTGCCTATGACTCTGCTACGCGTCCATCTTGGACCCTCCCCCTCCTACATTACGTTTAGATCTGCTGTCCTCTCTAGGTTCAGTTTCTTCAAGCAGCTAGCTGGTCTACCTTTTACCTTTGGATCCTCTCCAACCCCAGGAGCAGAGGGGAGTTGAATCTATATCTACAGCAGCACTGTTGCCCACTCTGATCCTTCCTGAGATTGGCATCAGTTTCAACCCTTTCAGGTCTTTGGTACCTCGTCTGTGAAATGGAGCCGTGCATTTTCTTCTCCCCCCCCCCCCCCCCCCCGTTTCTCCCCGCCCTCTGCGTCCTGAGTGCTGGAACTAAAGGTGTGCACCACCATGCCGGGCCATGCATTATCTTCTAACAGGAGAGGGGTGAGAACTGAACGCAAGGCTGCTCTCGATGCACCTCACCAGAGGTTAGTGTGCAGTAAGTTACTCCTGGGGCTGGAGAGATGGCTTAGCGGTTAAGAGCACTGGCTGCTCTTCCTCTGACCCTGGTTTGACTCCCAGCATCCATATGGCAGCTCACAACCATCTGTAACCACAATTCTCGACGTGATGCCCTCTTCTGAGAACCTATGCAGGCACCAGGCAAGCCTGTCGTACAC